CTTTGGGATTGGCACAATGTAATACTTTATCCATTTTAGTATTTTTTTTTTGTTCTAGTACCACTGGTTGAACTCTGTAATTAACACACAATTATTCTTAGGTGTTTAAATTTTAACTGAAAAGTGATCCCTGTTAGGAATTTGGAAAACATTATGCTGAGAGAATCTTTATTCTGCTGGTTCACTCCCCAGATGGTTGCAACATCCAGAGCTGTGCCAATCTGAAGCCAGGAGCCAGGAGCTTCTTCCAGGTCTCCCACATGGATGCAGGGGCCACTCCTTTCCCAGGGCATAGCAGAGAGCTAGATGGGAAGTGGAGCAGCCAGGACTTGAACTGGAGCCCATATGGGATGCTGGCACTGTAGATGGTGGCTTTACCCACAGCACCGGCCCCTGGGTAGTTCATTCTTACAAACTTCTTCCTGGAACTGGGGCAGGCCCAGACACCTAGTTCTGTGCTCCCCATCACAACCATGGTAGATTACTCCTGGAGTTTGTATCTTGTCAGAGACCAGCACACCATGGAGTTAGGACCAAAGCCGGTACTGCTGTGGTCTACCTGCTGCTGAGGTAGACTCACAGCCTGACTGACTCCAGCCAGGGACAGCTGATGCTGACTGCGACATAAGTGACAGAACTCCACCTAGGACTGTACCAAGTCTAGAGGCTCCGTTGACAGGCTGTAGCTGGGGATAGAACCATTAAGATCTGCCCAGTGTTGTGTTTTACTATCCTAGTCCTGAGTTCCAAGACAGTTCTGTGCTTCCTTGCAGTCTGCCCAGGGTTGGGGGAGAGGTGGTAAAAGCAACCTGTTAGACGTCCAGAACAGCACAAAGCTAAGGTCCTACTTGGGTCTCATAGACATCAGGCCCTGTGCAGCCTCAGGATGCATGACAGGCCCAGGCAAGACTGGCAGTGTTACATTTCAAAACAGGTCCAACCTATCAGAGCACTAGACACTGCCTGATGTGAAGGTCAGCCTTGGAGGCTCTGAGCACTGGACTAGGGATAGAGGCCTTTCTGCTTTGTCAGGTGCTGGGTTTCCTAACAGTGGGGCTGGTTCTGAGCTCCAAGGCCAAGTGCCAAGCTTCCTTTCCTGCCTAGTCTCTAGTGGCTGGAATCTTGCTTTGCCGTCTGCTGGAGGTTAAGAAACTGCGATAGAAATGGTCCCTTGGCTACCAGGCTAAGGAGGATCCTAAGCCTCAGTCTACAGGTACTGGCCTTGGGAGCAGTGCCCTGCAGGGCACTGGTTGCTATCTTGATGGGCCTAGTACTAGGTTTGAGGTCTAGGATCTGGACTCAATCCCCTCTCCCTCTCCTAACGAGGAGGTGAGATATGTCTGCTCACACTGTACACCTTGGAGCTAGGGTAGGAGTGATGTGGACAACTCTTTCCTTTCTGATTTCTTCAGTGTATCTATCGTTATGATGAATACCAGGTACCGTGGTGTCTCACCTGGCCTCCTTGGCTCTTGTGAAGATGGCTTGGTCCGTGAATATTTGTTGAATTGGTGATCTATGGGGAGATAATCAGTGCAGCGTCTTACTCGGCCACCATCTGCTCTATTTTCTTTTTTAAAGATCTCTATTTGTGAGACAACTTGTTATAACATTCTTTATTTCCAATTAGTATTATATCTGAAATATTGTCCCCACTTGATAACCTGTTACTGTCTTAGTGTTATTTAGATGACTTCACTTTAATAGTGACTAAGACTTCAAGACCTGAAAACTAAATTATTAGAATAATTGTTAGGACTCCTGAAAACAAAGTACCTCTTTTATTCTCCCCTGATAAGAGAATACATAACTAAATTATCATATGTCATTGTTGCAAAAGGAAAAATAATATCATTCAGGTTTCTAGTTCCAACCTTAAGTGTTTGCATATTTGGGGAGGTTAAAAAAAGGAATCTATAAAAAGTATTTTCACCCCCCAGCTTTCCACAAATTTGTCTCTTTTTTTAAGATTTATTTATTCAAAAGGTAGAGTTTCAGAGAGAGAGGGCGAGACAGAGATCTGTCTTCCATCACTGATTTGCTCCCCAGATGGCTGCAATGGCTGGAGCTGGGCCAGACAGCAGCAAGGAGCTAGAAGCTTCTTCCTAGTCTCCCACATGGGTGTAGGGGCCCAAGCACTTGGGCCATTTTCTGTTTCTTTCCCAGGTGCATTAGTAGGGAGATGGATTGCAAGTGGAGCTGTTGAGAATTTAACCAGTGCCCATATGGAATGCCAGCATTGTAGATGGTGGCTTAACCTGCTACGTCACAATGCCATCCCTTGCAAGTTCTAAATGCATTTTCGCTACTGAGTGGGCATTAGTAGTTTAGTATCTCTGAACCAGTGAGTACTTCAATTAGTTCAATAATTTACTTAATACATACTTACTGATTGCGTGTTACGTTCAGACAATGGAGTATAGATTAATATATTGCAAGTCCCATGGGACCTTCATCACTATAACCATGTAACACTTTATAAATGGTGGACATTCAGGGGCCGGCGCTGTGGCACAGTGGGTAGAACCACCACCTGCAGTGCCGGCATCCCATATGGATGCCGATTCGAGTCCCAGCTGCTCCACTTCTGATCCAGCTCTGTGCTATGGCCTGGGAAAGCAGTGGAAGATGGCCCAAGTGCTTGGGCCCCTGCACCATTGGGAGACCTGAAGGAAGCTCCTGGCTCCTGGCTTCAGATCAGTGCAGCTCTGGCAGTTGCAGCCATCTGGGGAGTGAACCAACAGATGGAAGACCTCTCTCTCTCGCTTTGCCTCTGCCTCTCTAACTCTTTCAAATAAAATAAATATTTTTTAAAAAAATGGTAGACACTTTATAGATAGTAGGTGAATGAATAAGTGCATAAAAAGTACAGAATATAGTATTTTCTTAGAAAGTCATACTTTCTGGGTTTTTGTTCTTACTGAACTGTAAATCAAGAGCCATGCTCCTTCTTATAAAATACATTGCCTCTCATGGGTCATTATCCATTAGCAGTCTGACCATGCAGAAATTTAATGAGGGGGCAGGGATGCATTCTGTCCCTGTCATATTCATACCACCACATATTGTGTGAACCTTCTTTGAACTCTCACCATGTGCTAATCACTCTTCTAAACGCTTTACATGGTTCATGCTAGGAGGGGGTGCTACTGTGAGTACCGTTTTAAGGAAAGGAGGCTTTTTGTTTTTTTTTTTTTTTAAGAAACTGAGGCCAAGAAAGGTAGGTTATTGCCTTAGTTTTTAACAAAAGTTTATAAACTAAAAAACATACAACTTTTTGAAATACAAAATAAACTTAGAATTTGGGTATAAAGAAACAACTATTGTATAGCTGTACAATGTGTCTGTTCTAACCTAAGTTTACAAAGGAAAAATGTCACAGGGAAGCTAAGGTTTATTTATTACTGAAGAATTTATGATAATTTTACCTTAGCCTAAGTGTATAGTGTTTTGAAATCTACAGTAATGTCCACAGCCTTATACATTCACTCACCACTCACTCACTCACCCAGAACAACGTCCAGTCCTGCATATTCCACTAGTGGTAAGTGCCCTATACAGGTGCACCATTTTTTATCTCTAACACCATATTTTTACATACCTTTTCTACGTATAGAGACACGAGTGCTTACATTGGGTTAAAATTGCCTACAATATTTAGTACAGCAGTGCGCCATCTCGGCCTTACAGCCTAGGTGAGTAGTAGGCTATACCCTCTAGGTTTGTGTAAATACACTGTGATGGGCCGTCGCCGTGGCTCACTAGGCTAATCCTCCGCCAGCGGAGCTGGCACATCGGGTTCTAGTCCCGGTCGGGGCTCCGGATCCTGTCCCGGTTGCCCCTCTTCCAGGCCAACTCTCTGCTGTGGCCCGGGAGGATGGTCCAGGTCCTTGGGCCCTGCACCCGCATGGGAGACCAAGAGGAGTACCTGGCTCCTGGCTTTGGATCAGCGCCATGTGCCGGCTGCAGCAGCCATTGTGGGGTGAACCAACGGCAAAGAAAGACCTTTCTCTCTGTCTGTCTCTCTCACTGTCCACTCTGCCTGTCAAAAAACAAACAAACAAAAAAACCAATGTGATGTTCCTACAGTGAAATCCCCTTTTAAAAGTTTGGAAACATAGACCCCCAACACTGAAAGATTTTCCTTAATAGAGAAGAATGTTTCTCAGAACAAATCCCCTGTGGTAAACAACGCATGACTTTTCCAGTGTTCAGGGCAAGGCCTTCTGACTTCACTCTATTCACTCGTGTTTAGTGGCTCTGTTAATCCAGTTGCTGTCACAAATGACAGACAGTGCTGCTGAAGGAGGCTGGGCTTAGTCAGGTTTGAATACTGGCCCTGGGACCTATTTACTACCAACATGCTCTTGAACAGGTTCTCCACCAAGTTTCAATTTGTCCATCCAAAAGCATAACAAAAACAGCTGTCACAAATAGCGGTGTCCATTTTTAAGAAAATTAAAGAAGATTATGGATGGAAACTACTGCACAAAGGTGTTCATGTCTGTGTAGCCTTTGTCTCATCTTATTTCTCATCTTCTTTCCCCTTTGCCACCTGCCATTAGCCTCATGACTTTGTAAGTTACTCAACTCCTGCAGGATTTATTTTCCTCTCCTGTAACGTGAGTGGAGTAGTTATTTAGTCTGTTAAAATACTGTCTACTCTGTAACTCCATGATTTGTTAACTTAATAACTTAGTTTTACTTTGTATCAAAAGAATGTGATTTTTTTGAATAGTGGTTTTTAAGTGAGGTCTCTGTTTAGTGGATGAAGTTACTTGCTCTCCTCGCCTCAACCAAATATCCCATCTCATAGGTCTTGGTTTAGATGCATCTCAGTGTAAGAAAGAAAACTTGAATCAATACATCATGTTATATAAGATGAAAATGTGATTTAAAGTACAAATAATTTTTATTTGCAAATAACAACAATATATTTGAATTGCTTTTACTTGTAATCATCTATTTCAAGAGATTTCTGTCTCTGGTGCTCTGTTTAGGTACTATGCTGGAACTCTGAAAGCTAAGGCCACACATGATGAGACTCTAGATTTAATTCACACAGCAACAAAAGGACTAATAAGAACTATTGAAGATGGTGGAATAGAGTCTGTGATGGAGTGGGAAGTGGATGAAGTGCTGAACTGGACAAACACACTGAACTTTGATGAGTGGGTACTTGTTCTGTCTGATCTTGGGGTCAAGGGCAGTCATCATAAATTTTGCTTCCTAACATTTCCTATTTACATGTTGAATCTTAGGGCCACAAACATAATCCTTAAAAAGGAACAAATATTCTCCACTTATCTAAAAAGAAAAGGGAAAAATGAAGGATAAAAAAGGAATGACTCCAAAATAGAAAACAGCAAATTAGATTTGGGTGTTTGTTATTCTTAGACTTTATTCTTATACCTTCATGTAATCCTGCTTTGTTTTCACTTTGAGATTTATAAAGGTTAAAAGCATGAAATTAATGATACAAATAATTTCTTCAACCTGTATTCTAACATGAAAATGTTAGTTTTTCATTGATGTAGGAAAGCCATCATGGATCTTTATCACCTACCAGAGAAGGGTATTAGGGCATTATGGGCGAGGAAAATCTTAAGTAGACCAGGATGCCTATTTGTTTCTTTCTCTCAAATGCAACTGTTTGTTTGATTCTTTTTTTATCCCAGTAACTACAGGATATCAGACATAGATATTTTATAATTCTTCACTGAAGGTTGCTGGGGAATTAGCCAACTGTATAAAGGAAAGGCAGAGTAGGATTTCAACAGTTTACCTGCAAGAATTCTCTATCCGATCCCCAGAAATTCATTCAAAGTAGACCTCCTGGCCGGCGCCGCGGCTCACTAGGCTAATCCTCCGCCTTGCGGCGCCGGCACACCGGGTTCTAGTCCCGGTCGGGTCGCCGGATTCTGTCCCGGTTGCCCCTCTTCCAGGCCAGCTCTCTGCTGTGGCCAGGGAGTGCAGTGGAGGATGGCCCAAGGACTTGGGCCCTGCACCCCATGGGAGATCAGGATAAGTACCTGGCTCCTGCCATCGGATCAGCGTGGTGCGCCGGCCGCAGCGCACTGGCCGCGGCGGCCATTGGAGGGTGAACCAACGGCAAAGGAAGACCTTTCTCTCTGTCTCTCTCTCTCACTGTCCACTCTGCCTGTCAAAAAAATAAAAAATAAAAAAATAAAAGTAAAAAAAAAAAACAACAAAGTAGACCTCCTCCTATGTCTCTCGCCCCATTTCCTGTTTCTTCTCCACACAACAATTTTAAGTCTTATAAAAAAATAAAAGCAAGGCATTGCAATTCCATCTTTGGATGTTGTTTCTTACATTTTTTAAAAAAAGCATTTATTTATTTGATAGAGCTCTTCTATCCACTGATTCTCTCCCCAAATGGCTGCAGTGGCCCGGGTCTGGGCCAGACTGAAGCCAGGAGCCCTGAGCTCAATGCAGGCCCACCATGGGGGTGTCTGGGTAGCAGATTCCAGTGCTTCAACCATTGTCTATGGCCTCCCTGGATGTGCATTAGAAAGAAACTGGATTGGAAGTGAAGTAAGTCTGGACTCAAACCAGGCATTTTTATTTTTTTAATTTTAATTTTCACTTTTTAACAGACTCAATATAGTTCATGGATCAAATTCAAAGAATTTAATGATATTCTCCTCTTTCCTCCATCCCTCTCTGTCTCTTCATTTCTTCTTTCCTTTCGTTGCATTGTGTCTTTCTTTCTTCCTTCTTATTTATTTGAAAGTTAGAATTACAAAGAGAGAGTGAGAGACACAGACAGGTCATCTATCTTCTAGTCCTCTGCTCAAATGGTTACAACACTCAGGGCTGGGCCAGGCTGAAGCCAGGAGCTTCTTCCTGGTCTCCCACACTGGTGTAGGGGCCCAAGCACTTCTGCTGCTTTTCCCAGGCCATAGCAGGGAGCTGCATGGGAGATGGAGCAGCCAGGATATGAACCAGCACTCATATGGAATGCCAGTGTTTCTTCCTTTTCTTTTCCTTTCCCTTTCTTTTCTCTCTCCTTCCCTCCCTCCATCCCTTCCTTCTTTCCTTCCTTTCTTCAAATCAGGCATGCTGATATGGCATGTAGGAATCCCTAATGGCAGATAAAATACCCACCCAAGGGCTTTGTATACCTCTGATCAAGATCCCTTTCTGGGGCTGGTGCTGTGATGCAGTGGGTTAATGCCCTGGCCTGAAGCGCCGGCATCCCATATGGGTGCCGGTTCAAGACCCGGCTGCTCTATTTCCAATCCAGCTCTCTGCTATGGCCTGGGAAAGCAGTAGAAGATGGCCCAAGTTCTTGGGCCCCTGCAACCATGTGGGAGACCTGGAGGAAGCTCCTGACTCCTGGCTTTGGATTGGCACAGCTCCAGCCATTGCTGTCAATTGGGGAGTGAACCATCGGATGGAAGACCTCTCTCTCTGCCTCTCCTTTCTCTGTGTAACTCTGACTTTCAAATAAATAAATAAAATCTTTTTTAAAAAAATCCCTTTCTTGGTTTTCTGGAGGGAGAATGAAAACCTTTTAAGTAAATGAGGGTACTTCAAAAAGCTCATAGAAAATGTAAATAAAGATGAGTTTATTTTGATGCTAAAAATCTTGAAATCCATTCACAACCTTTTTTTTTTCTTTTTTAAAGATTGATTCATTTACTTGAAAAGCAGGGTCACAGAGAGAGAGCTTCCATCTGCTAGCTCATTTCCCCAAATGGCCAGAATGATGGGGACTGACCCAGGCCAAAGTCAGGTGCATCCTCCAAGTTTCCCATGTGGGTACAGGGGCCAACAACTTGGGCTGTCCTCCACTGCCTTCCCAGGCATACCAGCAGAGAAAGCTGGATTGGAAGTAGAGCAGCTGGAACTCGAACTGGCATTCATATGGGATAGCAGCGCTACATGCCAGGGCTTCAACTTGCTGAACCTTGCAGCATTGGCCCCATATACGACCTTTTTACTTTGTGTGCTTTCCATGATCTTTCTGAAGCCCACCTGATATAAATCCAAGCAAGCAGGGTGACTGGCAGCTTTTCACAGTGCTCCTGAACAACCACTGAAAACACAAAGTCTGCCAACGTTTAAGGTCAAGTGGATTGAATTGCCTATGGAGAGGTCCTGGAAGGGGCTACACCCTCTAGGTATGTGGAGCCTTAGATGAGATAAATCACGGGACTCCTCCTCTTGGAGCTTCCCCTCCTCTTCACAGTTCATCATCTCAAGTTCTTCCATATTCCACCTCTTCCTGAACTATGCTTTGTCAGTCTCTGGGAAGCTGAGCTGGCAGCTGCATTTTCCCTACTTGAATGCTAACCTTTTGTTTTCTGGATACTGCAAAGACTAAACTCTTGTTCTAATAAGGCCATAAACTACATGCTTTACATTTCCTTGAGGTATCAGAGACAGTAGGTTTGACAATCCAGAACCCAGGAAAAAGTTTTTGCTATTTTTCCCTGAGAGTTTTCTGTCTATATTTTACAGTTAGAATTATTAACTAATACATTAGTAGGCACTCACTTGAGAACATGATCTTGCAGGAATGAAACAGGATAAAATGAGATGTGGTAGAGGAAGGCAAAAGGACACTAATAAGGTAGATGGCAGGTTCCATTCTTATACCTACTTCAACTTTTTTTCTTGCAGGCTGCCTTAGGTTCATGCAAACTACTAGGAGATGGGAAAGTCCTAAGAATTAAACCCTGATACTAGTGAATTTGTCACCATTAACTTTAGATTTCTAAGAGAAAGTGGAATAATTAAAGTAATCTAAGTATATGCTAATAAATCAATTTATTACTTACTAATGAATCAATGTGATTTAATGAATGTTAATATAATCTAATTAGGTATATTGCCAACTGGAAGGAAATTGCCACAAGCAACTCTTCAGTTAACTTTCAAGGTAGGTGACTTTTAGCAGTGGTTGATGGGAAAATTCCTGTGAGCCAAAATGATGTATTATGCACATGTGCATATTCTAAGCCTTTACCACATCAGTACCCTGCCAATGTATAGACACAAATGAACTGGCCAAGTCATCTTGCCTTTATGGATAAGATTGTTATTTGGGAAGAGAAAAACATTCTATTTTATTTAGAGTTGAAGAAAATAGTTTTTAAAAAGTGAATGCTTTTTATGGTTACATATTTTAAGGTTTCAATAGTAACTTTTTTAAAATATTTATTTTATTTGAAAGAGTTATAGAGAGAGATAGACAGATCTTCCATCCATTGGTTCACTCCCCAAATGGCCACAATGGCCAGAGCTGAGCCAATCCGAAGCCAGGAGCCAGGAGCTTCCTCCAGGTCTCCCACAGGGGTGCAGGGCCCAAGCACTTGGGCCATCTTTCACTGGTTTCACGGGTGCATTAGCCAGGAGCTGTATCAGAAGAGGAGCAGCCGGGACTTGAACCAGTACCTATATGGGATGCCAGCACTGCAGGCTGGGGCTTTAACCTGCTGTGCCACAGCACTGGCCTCTCAGTAGTAATTTTTAATAAGCAAATTTCATTTGACAAATTAAGTGCCTCAAAATATTTTTTTGGGTTCCATTCTACTTTTGTCCCACTGGTGGTCTACAACACTAAAATCTGAAAGTGGCAGCATTTTTAGGAAGTGTATTAGCACACCCCCAGAAATAGCTATAGTTCCACATAGCCTACTTGGGGTTATTATCTAAGTTCACAAACTCCGTCCTATTATCATTTGAGAAGTAGTAAAGCAGAGATGTAATTGCGGAATCTCTTTCATACAACCTGGGTTTGATTTTGGCTCTACTGTTGGCTGCTGTGTGATCTGGGACCAGCTGGTTGCTCAGTCTTTCATCTATAAAATAAAAGCAACAAGTATCACCCAGCTCATAGGTTGTTGCAAAGTAATAAGTAATAGACATAAAGAGCTTAGACTGGTGCTCCGCACATGACGTGATACACTCCATAAATGTGCACTATCATTAGCATTAACCTATCTACCCACTTGTTTCTTTTTTTTCTTTAGAGATTTATTTATTTTGCTTGAAAGTCAGAGTTAAACACAGAGAGAAGGAGAGGCAGAGAGAGAGAGAGAGAGAGAGAGAGAGAAAGATCTTCTATATGCTGGTTCACTCCCCAATTGGCTGCAACAGCCGGAGCTGCACCGGTCCAAAGCCAGAAACCAGGAGCCAGGAGCCTCTTCTGCGTCTCCATGCAGGTGCAGGGGCCCAAGGACTTGGGCCATCTTCCATTGCTTTTCCAGGCCATAGCAGAGAGCTGGATTGGAAGTGGAGCAGCCGGGTCTCGAACCAGTGCCCATATGGGATGCTGGCACTGCAGGCAGCAGCTTTACGCGCTATGCCACAGTGCCAGCCCCTCTATCCACTTGTTTCTAACTCATTACCAGCACCCCAGTATGCTATCAACTCTCCACAGGCTTGTATGGTGGCCAAATGCTTTCTCAGCCCATTCGCCACACAACATATGGTGACTTTTTTTTTTTAAAAGGATTTCTTTTAAAGATTTATTTCATTTATTTGAAAGGCAGAGTTACTGATAGAAAAGAGAGAGAGAGAGAGAGAGGTCTTCCATCTGCTGGTTCACTTCCCAAATGGCCACAATGGCCAGAGTTGTGCCAAGCTGGAGCCAGGAGCCAGGAGCTTCTTCTGGGTCTCCCATGTAGGTGGCAAGGGACCAGGCACTTCGGTCATCTTCTGTTGGTTTCCCAGGTGCATTAGCAGGGAGCTGGATTGGAAGTGGGGGCAGCTGGGACTTGAACTGAACCCCATGCAGGATGCCATTGCTGGAGGTCGTGGTTTAACCCAGGGTGCTGCAGTACTGGCCCCTGTGGTGACCTTTTACAAATTTAAATTGGCACAATTGAAACACTTGGATTTATTTAACAAACTCTTTAGCAATTATGACATAGACGTGCTTTACATATTAACTCGCTTGATTTTCCAAACCACACAGTGAGACAAGCTCTAGTATCTGCATTGTACAGAGGAGCAAAGAGGATACAGTTACTTCATCGCAGTTCATGGGAGTGCCAGGATTCTGAGATAGACTAGCTCAGAACCTTGTTCTGCTGCCCCTTATAGCTTTCCACTTGGGATAAACTTCTAAAGCGGCTTCTGGCTATGGCTGTGTCCCAGCTTTCCAGCCTTGCAGGCGCCACTCTTCCCCTCGCTTGTAGCACCCCATGTCACTAACCGCATGTCTGCTGCTCCAACACACCATGCAGTTTCCACTTTAGGGGCTAAAGGAAATAATGGCCTCTAGAGGTCAATTTTAGGTAACCATCTAAAGCAAGGAGCCCTTTCGTTTGCTCCTGAATGCTCAGTGTGTAGCACTTAGTAGCTTCTCAATGGCAACTCAAAGAGTGTAAAGGAATGACAAGTATAAAAACTGGAAACAATATAAATGAGTCAAATCATATATATAAAATATATATTTATATGTATATATATGTATATATAACATATATATGTATATATGACAAGAGATTACAGTAAAAAGAAGGAACGATACAGCATAGCAATTGGAAGGAGCGTAAGACCAAGTGGAAGATATTTTAAGTAGCGGAGCCAGTGAAGACGTCGGCACTGCAGAAGAGAAAGTGTGCCACTTTTTCAAGAAACAGGAGAAGGTCAAATCTCGAGCATATTTGGGAACTTTTAGCTCTAGAAAAGGATGAGACATCTCTTTATTTGTGAATAAAGACCTGTTGGTGAATAATTACAGAACACTAAATGTCAAACACTATGCTAAGTTCTTTGGGGGCTCCATCACAGTTCTCACAAAGATCAAATAAGGCATGGCACTTTACAGATGAGAGCACTGAGACAGCCTGTTGCTGAATAAGATGGGAGGTAGATCTGCAGCTTGATTTATACAAATGCAGTCTGTGGCAGTGGGCTTTGGCTTGGTGTATGTGGCCAACAACACGGAGAGGGTAAAACTGCAGTCTGTCTCCCCAGTGGGGTTCTGGGCAAAGTTTTCTGGAGTAAGGAAAGAAGCTGGGATGCTGACAGGTCAGGAGAAAATTCCTGATGCGTGGATGGGGACAAGGAAGAGCCCCATCATCACGTGTCCTCAGCCGCAGACCCTGCATTGCCTATGGCCGTCTGGCTGGCTCTTCTGTTTCACTCATTCTCCAAGTTTTGGTTCTGTGGTGGGACCACCACTTTGGTCCCAAGTATCATTTTTGGCCATCATCCTTCTTTTTGCACTGAGCCGGTCAGTCTCAGTCTAGCTGAAACTGATTTAGCCCAGCTTGGTGGTGATACTTGAGAAAACAAACTAAGAAATGGTCATTGACTAACCTCATTTTCGTGGCTGAAGCCTGTTAAGAATGGGAAGATTTGGGGGAAGGAAGGAGGAAATTCAGCAAGGTGCTTTTGAGTGTCAACAGGAGATTTGATTAAGCGTTTTATAACTTGCACCAAATTACACAGCTCCTTACTGGTAGATCAAACCTGAAACTCAGGTCTAGCAGAGCCTTTCGTAGGCATGGATGATGACACATGTTAGTGAAAATAGGATGAACTCAAAAATCTCAGGCATTTATGGTTTCACTTAAATAGGATGTAAAGAAAACTGCTGTGCAATAGTGAGAAGGGAAATGCAATAGGGCTTTTCTGTTCTCTAGCAGCAGGCAGAATGAGTCTGTGTCTGTGTGACACATCTGTCGTCTTTCTAACTGTTGGTCATTTCTCTTTAGGTTTCAGGTTTGAGGAAGCACAGAAAGATACATATGACCTTGAAGATCTATCAGAGCCACAAATGGAAGTACCTTATGATCATTTCTATGAAAATATTTACAAACAACCAAATTTTAGCAGAGTAACACCGGATTCCACATATGGAATATAAATATTCTTTCCTAGTTATAGCCATCCAAACCCTGAACCCATCAATTACAGCCAGGAGACAGTTATTGTGACTGGAATGACCTGCGTATTTATGTGTGTATGTATACATGTACACACATACACTTGGTCCAGATCCTAGCCTAATAAATAAAATAGAACAGAAACAGAACATTGGACTGAGTACAATGGTCAAGTGAGATATGGAAATTATTCCTGGTATTCCTTAGAAATTGTAGTATCCTAACATTTATACTGAAATAAAGATACACTATTTAGGTACAAAAAAATCTCATTTGCTGATTTTTCCCTCTTTATTCTGTGCAAGGCAGAGCATCCTGGGCATTTATCCCACGTCCAGAGAGCACTAATTCTTCCCTCTCCCACGCTTCCTAATCCCTCATTTCTCCACTATGCTTTTATACTTTCTTCCTCTTGATTTGTGCCTACTCACTCATCCTAATTGTCTTTACCTTTCTTAATTCATCTGTCACTCTTACTACCTATTTTATGTAACACCTGTATCTTTGTTCTTTTATGATTTTTATCTTTCTTGCTTACATGCTTTCATCATTGTTCATTCCTTTTTTAAAATTATCTCTGCACCCTTCCCCTAATCTTGGTTCTTTGTAGGACCCACACTTTGCCCTCACTATTCTGCATGCAATCCAACTCACTGGATTCTTACTCTTTCAGGTATCACACTGACTTAGTTAACTGTTGCTACGTAAAAAACTATCAAAAGACTTAGCAATTCAAAAGAAACATTTTTTAAAAGATTTATTTATTTGGGGGCTGGCGCTGTGGCAGTAACAGGTAAAGCCGCCCGGGCATCCCATATGAGCCCTAGTTTGAGTCCCAGCTGCTCCACTTCCAAGCCAGCTCTCTGCTATGGCCTGGGAAAGCAAGGGAAGATGGTCCAAGTGCTTGCTCCCCTGCACCCGTGTGGGAGACCTGGAAGAAGCTCCTGGCTTTGGATCAGCCCAACTCCAGCTCTTGTGGCCATCTGGGGAGTGAACCAGCAGATGGAAGACCTCTCTGTTTCTCTCTCTCTGCGACTTTGCCTTTCAAATACACAAATTGGAGGAAAGAATTGGAGAGAGACAGACAATAACTTCCATCTTCTCATTCACTTCCCGGGTTGCCACAGTGAACATTTATTACCTCACAGTCTGAGGATCAGGAATCTGGGGGGGTTTACTGGGTACCTCTGGCTCAAGGTCTCTAATGAGTTTGCAGTAAAGATTTTGGCCAGGGTTATAGCCCTATGAAGGCTTGACTGGAGTGGAGACTGCTTCCAAGATGGCTCAGAAAGAGGGTGGCTGTCAGGAACCCTAAGTTCCTTGCCTCAGGGACCTCTTTGTGGGATGGTTTAAGTGTCCTCAGAACCTGGCTGAGAGAGAGGCTGTCAAAACTTTACACGTGGCCATAACATGTAGAAAAGGGACAGCAGAGCAATATCTCCTTTTATCAGGAAAGCAAAAGCCTTCTTAGAAGCTTTAGCCTGGGGCTGGCACTGTGGTGTAGCAGGTAAAGCCGCTGCCTGCGGTGCCAGCATCCCATATGCGTGCCAGTTCGAGACCAGGCTGTTCCACTGCCGATCTAGCTCTCTGCTGTGGCCTGTGAAAGCAGTGGAAGATGGCCCAAGTCCTTGGGCCCCTGCACCTGCGTGGGAGACCCGGAAGAAGCTCCTGGCTTCAGATCGACGCAGCTCTGGCCGTTGCGGCCATCTGGGGAGTGACCCAGAGGATGGAAGACCTCTCTCTCTCTCTCTCTGTAACTCTGACTTTCAAGCAAAATAAATAAATCTTTTTTAAAAAAATACAAGAAGATTTAACCCATCACCAGAGCATTCTTAAATAAAATTGGATCACAGGGGTCCCTTAGGTTACAAAAGCTAGGAAAGCAAAAATCAGTTTTTAAGCTTCCACTGTGGGAGGAACAAAGGATTGGAGAAGACCATTGGGTCAAAAGTCTACCATACTCTCCAGTCTGAATTACTTTGTTTCTGAAGCATCCTGTAATTTTACCCATTATTACAGTTTTTTTTTTTAATTTATTTGAAAGGCAGAGTTAAAGAAAAGAGATTAATCTTCCATTGGTTTCCTGAGTCACTCTTCAAACGGCCAAAACAGCCAAGGCTGGGCTAAGGTGAAGTCCCGGGTCTCCCACATGGATGGCAGGGATCCAAGTACTTGGGCCATCTTCTGCTTTCCCAGGTGCAATAGCTAGGAGCTGGATTGGAAGTGGAGCAGCCAGGACACAAAGCTTAACCCACAACACCACAATGCTGGCCCCCATTATCACATTCTCCATATGGTATCTTTGAAAAACTTGTCAGTAATTCTAATAGACCAATTATACCCCAAGAATTTTGGAAAAAATTGTTAAAGGGTCTAATGATTTAAGGCTAATAAATCGTTTATTGATATAATTTACATATAAAATACACCAATTTTGAGCATTCAGCTCAATTTTTTGTGAAATTATTTTTTATTTAAGTAATATAAGTTTCATGTATTTCATATATGTATCTTTAGGTACAAAGTGGGGCTTCCCCTCCCTCATGCCCACATTCCAACCCTTCCCCCGCCCTTAGATTCCCATTCTTAATTTTTACAATGATCTATTATCAGTTTATTTAGTGGTCATATAGTTAACCCTACTCTATGTGAAGGAGTTCATCAAATAGTATGAAGAGAAAGAAAACAAAATTCAACAAGATTGTTCTTCAATGGAAGAGACAAGGGCTATAAACAATCATCCATTCTCCAAATGTCTGTTTCTCTCCACTACATTACATTTCAGGTATTCTATTAGTTGCGTTGGATCAGGGAAAACATAACATATCTGTCTTTTTGGGACTGGCTTATTTCACTAAGTATAATGGTCTCCAGTTGTGACCATCTTGTTGCAAAGGACAGGATTTCATTTTTTTTTTTTTACAATTGAATAGTACTCATAGTGTATATATACCATAATTTCTTTATCCAGTCAATAGTTGATAATAAGCTGGGTTGATATCATATCTTAGCTATTGTGAATTGTGCTGCAGTGAACATGGGGAGATACAGGTAACTCTTTTATATACTGATTTCTTTTGGTTTGGGTAAATTCCCAGGAGTGGGATGGCTGGATCATACGGTAGGTCTATATTCAGATTTCTTTTTTTTTTTTTTTTTTTTTTTGACAGGCAGAGTGGACAGTGAGAGAGAGACAGAGAGAGAAAGGTCTTCCTTTGCCGCTGGTTCACCCTCCAATGGCCGCCGCTGCAGCCGGCGCACCGCGCTGATCCTGGCAGGAGCCAGGAGCCAGGTGCTTTTCCTGGTCTCCCATGGGGTGCAGGGCCCAAGCACCTGGGCCATCCTCCACTGCACTCCCTGGCCATAGCAGAGAGCTGGCCTGGAAGAGGGGCAACCGGGACAGAATCCGGCGCCCCAACCGGGACTAGAACCCGGTGTGCCGGCGCCGCAAGGTGGAGGATTAGCCTATTGAGCCACGGCGCCGGCTCTATATTCAGATTTCTGATGTGTCTCCATACTGCCTTCCACAATGGTTGCACCAGTTTACATTCCTACCAGCAATGGATCAGATTACCTTTTTTCAAGTATTTTAGTTAAAGTAACAAAAACCAGAATAATAAAGAAGATTGGTACCAGGAGCGGTGCTGATGCTATTAACTGTTTCTGAAGATGTGGGGGAGTCTCTGGAGTTAGTTTACTGGGAAAGTTTGGAGGAGGAAATTTGAGAAAGCCTACCGCGTTATAAGCTGAGTGTAACAGGCAATTCTGATGAGAGTGCAGAAGACCAGGCTACTGGTAGAAATGTGAAAAAGGCTATGCTGATGAGGATTCAGATGGAAATGAGGATCTGATTGGGAAGCGGAACTAAAAGTCCTCTGGGTTGTTTGGTAGAGATTTCAGGTGTTCAGGCTGTGGCATGCATGTTGATGGATAGTCTTGGTGTGCTTTACACTGAGAGTTGGGAGCAGAGGGGAACATAGCACAAAGACTTAGAAAACTTGCGGCTTGGTCAGAGAAGGAGTAAAAAGAAAACCATGTGTTTAGGACAGGAAAACACCATAAATTGCTCACTAAAGAATAAGTTTAGGTAATGGGAAGCAATGTATCCATGGTAAAAAGACAGAAAAGGCATTTCGGAGGTCTTGAAGGCAGAGAGGTAGAGAAGTACAAATTTGTTTCAAAGATTTCCCAGAGTGGATCCCATCAGGAAGGAGCCCCAGGGCACCTTGCTTGTCCTGCTTGCTCCTCTGTGGAGCTGTGACAGTGGAGCTGATCAGGGATAAGGTAGCTGGCTGAACTCCAGGTCACAAATGCCAAGTCCCCTGCCCCATGTAATTCTATCCTACTTGTCAGTCAGCCCTCCCTCACCTCTCCAGGGATGCTTTGTTTCATCAAGGATCTGGAGAAAAGTTGCCACCTAAGTGTGTGTATTAAGCCCTGTGGGGTGGAATTTTATGGCAGTACCAAAAAGCTCCCAGGAGACTACACTACCTCATAAAAAAGGTGCTGGGAGATGCTTGTCCCTGTGTCATTGGAGACCAAGACTAAAGGAGGTGCTAAGCTGCTTTCCTTCTCTTTGCTTCCCCTCCTCCACACCTTTTCTCCCTCTCCACTCAACTATGCCTGCCCACACAAGTGTTGTTATCTTACCTTAAAAGACGTTAGTAGTTTGTGCACCATGTACGTGCCTGTACTTAGAATGCTTCTGTAAGCAGAAGGCAAGGACCTGGAATAATAAAAACCCCACCTCCCCCACTTCAGAACTGCAGAGGAAACCCCAAAATAGTAGTGGTGCCAGTGATGTGAGACCCTTGCCAAGAAAAGCCACAAGCAGTGTGGCAGGTCAGCCGGGGATGGCCACAGACCTTAGTGTGCAGCCAGCTACACTGGCCAAGAACACGGCCATGGAGGTATGAAGGCTTCCACCTCGATTTCACAGGATGTTTTGGACACACTGGGGGCAAAGACAGAGATAAGTTCCAGGGTGGAGCCAGTACAAGCAACTTCTACCAGGGCAATGCTTAACGGAGCTGCAGAGATGAAGTATGGGCTGCGTCCCACAAAGCTGTAGGGACGGGTTGCCCGAGCTGTTGGGAGCTCAGGCCCCAACATGGTGTCCAGGATACCTGACATACAACTTTAAGACTTACTTTTTGTCCTGTGGGTTTTGGTTGTGTTGGTTCCACTAATCCTATTTCCTTGTCTTGCCCATTTAGAATACAAATGTATACTACCTTTGCTTCATCATTGTTATCTTGGAAGTAATTTGTCTTTGATTACAGAGGTTCACAGCTAAGGCGGCATGCTTTGAGCCTCAGATGAGACTATAGATCTTTAAAGCTGAACTAAGACTTTCGGGAATGGAGTTGATTGGTTGTTGTACAGGTGGACATGAATTTTAGGGAGCCAGGGGTAGACTGTTATGGGTGAAAGGAAAGGCCACCATGAAACACAACAAACACTGGAGTAAGGGAAAAGGTTTATTGTTGGGTGGGGGAAACCTGAAGGCTGCCTCCCCCTGCATGAGAGAACAGCAGCCTGTACTGGGATAACAGGACCTATATAGCTTTGCAGAGGTAAGGAGGTGGGAGCAGCAAATCCTGTTAGGGTAGGAGTGGAGCTGATGCTTGTGACTGGGCCACTTGGTCACCTGACTTCTAGTAAGCCAAGCTGGGCTTAGGAAAATGGCACCATTTCACTCTCAATGGGTACACTAGGACTTGTCCTCACAAAACCCAAGCAGATGTTTTAACATTAATGTCATAATGGTAATGGCTGGATTAAGGGTGGAAATTTGATCTAGTTACGTGGTTAGGAGGCAGGGCCAGTGGGAGATCTTTGAGTTATTGAGGGTATGTCCTCAGAGGGTGGATCTAGGGAGAGGGCTGATTATTACTTGAGTTCAGGTCTGGCCTGGGTTCTCTGCTCTTTGGTTCACCGTGTGATCACGTCTATGCACCCACCATGATCAGCCTTTCACAGAAGCTGGACTAATGGGCTAGGCAGAGTTAGCGAACAAAAGAGCTGAGAGGTTTCTCAGTCTGTGCCTTAGCCCTGTCTTAGTAAAATTAACACCACTTCCTCAGATGCCAGTGTAGTACACCCACTTTCCCATGATGCATGTGTTGCCTTCATCATGAAGAAAATGCCATGATGTGCACATATATGCCGAGTTCCTCATGGAGAAGCCAGAAATCCTCCCAGAGATGATCAGGCATACTAAGCCTCACCCAAACACCACCACCCCATTTGTATATTCAACAAGGGCACCACCCCCCACTTTATAAAGGCAGTGACTGAACTGAGGTGAGGTGTTTATCCTCATGAGGCTACCTGCAGTCATGGTTGAAGGTGTGCTCTTTAATCTTCTAAAATAAACACTGTTCTCATACTTGCACTTTTGAATTGATCTCTTAAGACAAGAACTTGGAATAAGTCCAGTTGGGAACCCTACCCTATACCCCACAACAAACAGGGCTGCCTGATCCTGAACTGTAGTCTTCCAAGGATAAGCTGAAACAAACCTTTTCTTTCCCAAAGAAGTTCTCTCATTTTAAAAGCAATGAAAAGTGGGGCCAGCGCTGTGGCGTAGTGGATAAAGCTGCCGCCTGCCACGTTGGCATCCCATATGGGTACCAGTTTGAGTCTCAGATGTTCCACTTCTGATCCAGCTCTCTGCTATGGCCTGGGAAAGCAGTGGAAGATGGCCCAAGTCCTTGGGGCCCTGCACCCATGAGGGAGACCTGGAAGAGGCTCCTGGCTTCGGATCGGCACAGCTCCAGCCGCTGCAGCCATCTGGGAGTGAACCAGCGGACCTCTCTCCCTGCCTCTGTCTCTCTGTAAGTCTGCCTTTCAAATAAATCTTTTTTTTTTTTAAAGCAATGAAAAGTCAACAGATAGGATCATGTCATCTGCGGTGATCTTTTGACTTCCCCTTTCCTATTTTTATAACTCTTATTTCTCTTGCCTAATAGCTCTAGCTAAAACTAATGGTACTGTGTCGAATACTAGTATTGTTCCAGATATTAGAGGAAATGCTTTATCTCTTCAATGTGATAGTGGTATGGGTTTGTCATTAACAAAACCTTCATGATGTTGAGGTATAGTCCTTCTAGTGTGTTCAGGGTCCATGTGGATACTGATTGTTATTTTCTGTGTCTACTCAGGTGATCACTATTTTTATTCTTCAGTCTGTTGATGAATCACATTTACTGATGTGCATATGCTGTCCCATACTGGGGGTGAATCCTATTTGATCATGGTGAATTGTATTTTTTGATCTGTTGTTGGGTTTGACTAATATTTTGAATTATTTTGCATCTATATTCATCAGGCATATTGATCTACAATTTTTTTTTGTGTCCGTGTCTTGTTTTGTAATCAAAGTAATACTGTCAAAACTGGAATCTGTTAGGATTGATTCCATACATAACATACATGCCAATTCAGGGAGAACTGCTATCTTAGCCTTGAGTCTTTCACTTGATGAATGTAGTACAAATTTGTAAATTTAGGCTTTTCTCAGCAGTGTTTTAGGCAGAGGCAGATAGAGGTCTTCCACCACTGGTTCACTCCCCAAATGGCTGCAATGCCTGGAGCAGAGCCAATCCAAAGCCAGGAGCCAGGAGCTTCTTCCTGGTCTCCCACTTGGGTGCACAAGCCAAAGGACTTGGGCCATCTTCCACTGTTTTCCCAAGCCATAGCAGAGCTGGTTTGGAAGTGGAGCATCTGGGACTCGAACTGGCACCCTTATGGGATGCCAGCATGGCAGGCGGCAGCTTTACCTGCCAAGCCATAGAGCTGGCCCCTATAATTTTCAGTGTACTGGTAATGCAGCTACTTTACAAGAATTATGCCCTGGAGCCGGTGCTGTGGTGTAAGGGGTAAAACTGCCGCCTGCAGTGCCAGCATCCCATATGGGCACCGGCTCGAGTCCCAGCTGCTCCACTTCCGATCCAGCTCTCTGCTGTCCTGGGGAAGCAGTAGAAGATGGCCCAAGTCCTTGGGCCCCTGCACCCACATCAGAGACCCAGAAGAAACTCCTAGCTCCTGGCTTCGTATTGGCACAGCTCTGGCCATTGCAGCCATCTAGGGAATGAACCAGCAGGTGAAAGACCTCTCTCCTCTCCCTCTGTGTAACTTTCAAATAAATAAGTAAACCTTTAAAAAAAAAGTATGCCCAAGTATTTTACATTTTTGTTTTTAAACTTTTCTCAAGTTGTTCATTGCTAGTATACAGAAATGATGTTGATGCTGTGTATTTTGCCCTTTACCACTTGACTTTAACTTATAGGATTTAGAGCTTAAGTGATCATATCATGTACAACTGAAGATAAACTTTTTTTTTTTTTAAAGGTATGTCATTTATTACTTTCTCTTTACTGAGTTTTTAGTTTTGAAGTGAGGCAAAGTGTGGAATAGAAGTGGCAGGAGTGGCATCTTTGTTTTGTCTCTCTGATCTTAGGTAAAAAAACCATTAGTCTTTCATCAGTAAGTATGACATGAGCTGTAAGGTTTTCAAAGATGTAGTTTCAATTGAAGATATTCTTTTACTCCTGTTTTGATAAATGTTATCATGAATGAATGTTGAATTACATCATAATTTTTTTAAAGATATACTCATTTATTTGAAAGGCAGAGAGAGAGAAGGGAGGGAGAGCTTTCCATCCACTGGTTCACTCCCCAAATGCCTGGGGCTGGGCCAATTTCAAGTCAGAAGCCAGGAGCCTCTTCTGGGTCTTGCAGGTGGGTACAGGGGCCCAAGCACTTGGGCCATCTTCCACTGCTTTCCCAGGCACATTAGCAGGGAGTTGGATTGGAAGTGGAGCCATCTGGAATGGAACTGGTACCCATATGGAATGTTTTACCACAAAAACACAGTGCTATCCTCCTCTGTCATATTCTTTCTTAGCATCTACTGACATGATCATAGGGCTTGACTCTGTTAGCTTAAATTGATTTTCAAATAACAAGTCAACCTTGCATTCTTGGAATAAAACCATTTGGTCATAATGTATTGTTTTTATATTGATGAAATTGATTTGCCAATATTTCCTGAGTATTTCTGCTTTTTTATTCATGAAGTATATAGCGATCTTCCACCACCAGAATAGCAAATTTTAGTTTACATGATAATTGAAAAATAAAGCAAAATCACCCTTGTTTGGGAATTATGGTTCCCGATTCATATACCATGAAAGTACATACTTTTACATACTGTTGCACATAAAACTATGTATGCTGTGCTTTACTAACAGTTTTTTCAAGGGATAATTCCTATTATATGTGATCTTTACTTACTAAGTTCTGAATCCAGTCGTTGTGAACATTTTGACTTTATAAATATAAAATTCACTTTTTCAGAAACTATACCAAACAGCTTGAAACTATGAAGGGGGTTGCATTTATTTATTTTAAAAATGTTAAACTGATGGAAAGTAAATTTCCCATTTAGGATACCAGAATCTCTGTAACTATTATATTCTTTTAGACCTTAGAAATGTGACCTGTAATACTTTTGAAGCCCCTCAAAATAATAGCCATTTGCCTTTGAGGCAAGCAGGAAAAAGAACTAGAATATTGAGACTGTGAAGCAGGATACCTATTGGCCCTAAGTAGTGGGCTCCCAGTTCACACTGCATTATCTTTTTTTTTTGTTTTAATATTATTTATTTGACAGAGTTACCCAGAGAGAGGAGAGGCAGAGTGAGAGGTCTTCCATCCACTGGTTCACTTCCCAACTGGCCGCAATGGCCAGAGCTGTGCTGATCAGAAGCTAAGAGCCAGGAGCTTCTTCCGAGTCTCCCACGTGGGTGCAGGGGCCCAAGGATGTGGGCCACCTTCTACTGTTTTCCCAGGCTACAGCACACAGCTGGATCGGAAGTGGAGCAGCCGGGACTTGAACCGGCACCCACATGGGCTGCTGACACTGCAAGTGGTGACTTTACCTGCTATGCCACAGCGCCGGCCCCACACTGCATTATCTTACCTGGAAAGTGAACTCTACACAGGCAGACCATGCCTGACTCACTCAGTGTTGTCTCCTTGGGAATCAGCTTCATGCCTGGCCCAAAGAACACTCAATAAAACAGGTGAGTCCTACTACACTTTGTTTTAGAATCTTTATTCATAAAAGTTCTTAACAGATTAACAGTGTAGTAATCACATACATTCAATGATGATAAATTGACACAATTTCATTAAGGTATAGTCAAAACACTTGAAATAGTACATATCTCCATATTTTCAAACAGTATACTGGCTTTCTGCTTCTGAAAAGACTAGCCCCTTGTATTCTTTACAAAGTCCAAGACTTTTCTTCTTTGCTTTAGTCCATAAACATGTGTAAGTGCATATAGTATTAAATCCATGGTCAAGATAGTATGTACTTATGTACCTATATATATGTACTTTCAGGAGCTCTGACAAGCACAGAGCAAAGTAGGAGGGCTATCAGTCAAGCAATATGTAACTTACTAGCTTTTCTGGAAGCTTCTCTGACTTTTCACTGGCCTTGTATGAAATCTGAAATCTGTATTCTTTTCACCTGAAAATTTTTTAAGTCATATACTTTTTATGTCTGTATTTTACTTGCAATTTACTCTGTTCTGATCACAAATTTCCTTATTTCTACAAACTTCACTTCCTCCAGGTGTAAATTAGGTAACATCATTAAAGTTAATGACTTTTGTTGTAAGGAATAGAGATGTTTCATTTATGTCAGGTGTTCAGTTTACAAATTACTCCTCACTTGTTCCCAGTAATATTGCTTTCTCAGTTACTTCTTTTATAATCTTAAATCCATTTATGATATCTGCAATTCTGGTGAATTTTTCAAATCCACTGAAAAGAGTATCAGAGTGCTGGAAGACTCCTTTCCTATTCTATTTAAGACTGAAGAGAAAACGAATGCCATCCAAAGCTCCTTGAATGCATTAACTAGCAACTAGCAAGAACTTATCACCTGGGTGATAATTTATTTCATCCATGAAGGTTTCAAGGTTTATTAAATACATTCTAAACTTATTACATCCCTTGATTCACTACAGTAACAAAACTACCGATTAATACAAGCTATTCATTTAGGCGGTTTAAGAAGATAAGTGAAGTTTGTCATTTGAATGCAAAGTAATTTTCAGAATAGATCTTTAGAAACCAAACCAAGATAGTCATAGTCCAGAAAGTTGTGGAGATCAGATACAAGTGTTTGCCACTGACAGTTAAAAATAAAAAAAAATTCAGGAAACAAAGAAGAAACAAGTTCATCCATTACAGTTACCTACAGGTGAAGGATAGATTTATACTAAGTTCATGGAAAATGGACTTAAAAGTTTATTTTCATAAACAATTTTTTTTGGAATACTCTATGCCAAGATAATAGTATGGAAGATAGGAAAGTGTTCCACTTCTAGCTATATATCAGAATAGACTCCTAATTGTTCCCTACCAAAAAAACATAGAAATGTTAGATAAAGTATAAGAAACATTCTCTTAAATACAAAGTTAGGGGTATGTTTAGAGTTCAAAATGAGGGAACTGAACACCAGAGAAGAAAATACCTATGATGATGCTGTTCCTGTCCTGGCACAATTTACCAATCTCAATGCCCTGCAACTTTCAGCTTTAACATCTACATGGAGAACACTGAACTTGCAAAGGCAGAGAGTGTAGACACTATATGCTCTTCCCTCACCATGAAGCTCAGACACACACACAGGGTTCTACCTTTAGTGAAAAAGGTATCAAGAAAATATCCTGTGCACCAGGACAGGGATATAATGCGTGAAGTGCATCTGCTCTGGCACAAGACAGTCGTGTCTCAGTACTCTATGCCACTCCTGAGGTCTAGAAACCAAAATGCTGAAACCAAGAAATTAAAATAAGATTGGTCTTTCATTACCAGTTTGTATCCTGGCTGCTCCTCTTCCAATCCAGCTCTGCTTCCGGCCTGGGAAAGCAGTGGAAGATGGCCCAAGTGCCTAGGCTCCTGCAGCTATCTGGAAGACTCAAAAGAGCCTTCTGGCTCAGATCAGCCAGCTCTGGCCATTGCAGCCATTTGGAGGGTGAACCAATACATGGAAGACCTTTTTCTCTGTCTCTCCCTCCCTCTGTCTGTAACTCTACCTCTCAAATAAAATTTTTAAAACAGACATTAAATTCATCTGGAAGGTATTGCTCTTATTCCAGTTCAGTAGGAATTTTCTTAAGGAATTTTGAGTGGGTAAACAGCAGACATTTGAGTTAATGAAACTACAATATCTATGACATAAAAGGAATTTTAGTTTAAAAAACACTAGATATTAGGAAAATAATTTTCATTTCTTCTTCAATCTATTAATTTTTGAAAGATTTCCAATGAATGTTAAAATGATTATATTAAGATATAGAAAGTCATCACAGAAAGAATCTGATGCCATAGAAGGCCTTAAGGAGATTATGATCAGTTCAATATACATTAAAAAAATACAGACACTGTGTCTTTGAAAGCTGTAAATCCAGCGTTTAGTAACACTGCGTGATCTTCCTACCTATTGAAAATCTGTTTCAGGCTGGCGCCATGGCTCACTAGGCTAATCCTCCACCTTGTGGTGCTGGCACACCGGGTTCTAGTCCTGGTCGGGGCGCCGGATTCTGTCCCGGTTGCCCCTCTTCCAGGCCAGCTCTCTGCTGTGGCCAGGGAGTGCAGTGGAGGATGGCCCAGGTGCTTGGGCCCTGCACCCCATGGGAGACCAGGATAAGTACCTGGCTCCTGCCATCAGATCAGCGCAGTACGCTGGCCGTGGCGGCCATTGGAGGGTGAACCAACGGCAAAGAAAGACCTTTCTCTCTCTCTCTCTCTCACTGTCCACTCTGCCTGTCAAAAAAGAAAAAAAAAAAATCTGTTTCACAGACAGCACTCCATTTTCAAATTGTTTTTAATGTAGTTTTACTATGGTACAGTTACAAATATAAAGTCCTTTTTTATACTGACAATTAACTTATCATACATAATATCTGGAGAACAAGTTTCAAAATCGATCTCACAGTTACAGTATATACACTTGTTCCAATTTATACTAAAGGAGAAACTGTCACTCTCATTTCCATTGCTTTCAAACTAATGCAAACGTCAATGATTCTACTGTAAAGGATACAAATACGCACTTGAGAAGAAACCAGTGTTTAGCTTACCAGTAAAGCATGAAGGCAGAACAACAGTATCTGCTGTATACCATCTTTGGATGGTCTTTGAATCGAGGATTAAAATAGACACTGCAAAAATGTTCATTTAAAAATACTTATCCTTATGCAAATTCTGTGGGCAGATTAAAAATAAAGCCCGAAATATGACTTCTACAAGTTGAATTCCAGGATAATTCATAATCTGAAGGTCAGTCACACCCAAGCTTTCCAACCTGGGAAAAGTCGGCTGAGATTTTTGGGGTCCATGGCCTGCTGGATAAGCAAGTTCACTTGTCCACTCACACTGAGCACAGTGCCTTCCTCCACTCCTTTTAGTTTCTCCTGAAGTCTTATCAAGACACGTTCAGCCACTTTGTTCAAACTTTGGTCAATGTCACTAATGAAAAAAACAAAGGTTTCAATGAGGGGAAACAGTTTAGAGGACTTTGAAACTAAAATGTAAACAACTTCCTTCCTAAAATACTGCTCACCTCAGATTCCGTTTGCATTCTTGGTCATCTGCATTGGGAGTGGACTGGAACTCAGTTTCGTCTTCGGGCCTCTGTTGTAAATACAAAGCTTTCAAAGGATTCATGGTCCAGTCAAAGAGTGGATCATACAGCAGGACCTAAACACAACATAGATAGTTAAAAAGTGCTTTTTAATCATTTATTTAGAAATAGCACCAGTGTCATGGTAATTGATGGGAGAGGCATAGCTGCTTATTACACACACTTCATGTTTCTCTGTGGAGGAAGCCACAACATTAACTTTAATTTTCTAGGCTTTTCATCCCATCCTGAATTCACTCCCTAAGGTGGGGAGTGACATCCCTTGATCCATGTTTCCTGACTGAGTGAAATCCATCTATTGAGAGGAGGTAAGCACTGTCTACTCTTGACCAGGGTAGTCAAGGTTAAGGGCATTTGTAGGCCCCAATTCTCCATTTACTGTGCTGTGCCAAGAAACAGAAGAGGTGTTAGCACTGGGAGAAGAGCACTAGCAATAATCAGACCTCACCCCTAAGTCATGTTCTGCAGTAAAACTTGTTTTAGTAATAACAAACTCAACTCTCTGATCTCTACCTTACTCCTAAGGCTCTTTTAATTAGTCCCAAATTTGGGTAGAGAAAAAAGGAGTATAATTTACCAGAATCTCCTCCACGCCAAAATCTGAGGCCATCATTGGGATCTTGAGATATATGTGCAGAATACAACTGGGATTCCAAAAAAAAAATTGACATGGATAGAGCAAGTGACTTTAGGTCAAATTATAGAAAATGAGGTCATGAGGGAATTTTGATTTTGGATGTTCAGAACAACTAACTGCTCTGGTGTTTAAGAGCAAAAGAATTTTGTTTACTAGTTAGGCTTAAGGTGAGCTGTCCCGTAGTGAAGACAGCAGAGAGACAGCGAGGGAGCATCAGGACTAAGCCAGCATGGCCCTCACTTGTGAGCCATGTTCCTCTAATAATGTTGCTGATACTTTGATCTCCATCTGAACCGACGCAGGGAAAGAGAAGATAAAGACTGATTTCTGATGAAAACCATCCTGAAAATACCATGAGATTTTTAGGATGTTAAAGTATAGATTTATGTATTAAAGACTAGAAGATACTTACCATGCTGTAACACTCAAGAAACTTGAGGGAAATGGAGGAATTCTCAAACTAATTACTTTAAAAAAATTTGAAAGGTATACTCTCATCCACTGGTTTACACCTAAAATGACTACAAAAGCCACTACTGGAACAGGCTGAAGATGTGCGCTGGGAACTTAATGTGGGTCTTCCCTTTGGGTGGCCTAAACTCAACTAACTGGGCCATCATACGCTGCCTTCCGGGGTACACCTCAGCAGAAAGCTAGAACTGGGAGGTGAGCTGGAATTTGAACCTGTTATACTACAAAAGAACTGGCGTCTTAACCACTAGGCCAAACATCCACCCCTAAAACCAGTATTTTTTTGTGTGTGAAAATGCTTAGTGTGCACCTTATCCCTCTGCTGCAGGGCACCATTCCATATTAAAATGAAGCTGTGCTCTTCACATCAGTAAGTTCCTAACAAGAAAGTCTGGATAACAAAATCAAAAAATTGCTTATACTTTACCTCCACTATGGTTAACAGAGTTTCCTGAGAATTTCTCATTACTTCCATTGTTTTCTCACAGCATCTGCAGAGTAAAACACAATATAAATATTGACCCTGTTACACAGCAATATTTTTAATTAAATTTTAATTAATGATTTGATTAAATATTAGTATTTAATATTTTGACACTCAAGTGTGGTATGCTGAGACTATTCATATTAATAATTCTCAAATATGTATCAAAAGGCAGAACACTAGGCAGGATGGACTCTCTTCTGAAATGAACACACACATAAATATTTCATAAGCCTAGCATTTATAACGATACTACTATGAAACATCTGTTCTTAATTCATACAGGCAAGCTGTAGAGCAACAGGTCTGGAAACAGCTTATGGGAAAAAATGGAAGGTGGAGGTGATGTTTGTTGGCAGACAACTGAGTGGAGTGGGGAGCATGTGCAAGCACAACATCAGAGTTGGACCAGATTCTAAGTCTGCTTCAAATGGACCCACTGCCCAATCCTAAGGTGCAGTGTCTTACGACCCCAGGTAGTCAGGAGTTCTCTGGGTATCTGTATTTCATAGGAACTGAACACAGAGCACCAAGGAGTGTGCTCTGACCTCTGGATATAAGCTCTGGGGCTTTGGGCAATGCAGTCCTGCTCTGTCCCAGCTTCCAGGGGATCACAGGATGGGCAGCAGGCTATTGGTAGAACTACTTGTGCCTTCTTTCAGAACAGCTATGTTTCATGGGGGCTGATGTCATATTTCCTAGTGTCTTGGCATACCTGTCCACACTACAGCCCTAAGGGGGCACCACAAGCACTGCTGCCCTAATGAATGGTTTTGGGAAGGGAATGGGATGCTGACCATCAGGATACAGGCAACACATGCATTGCTGATGGTGAAGCTGGAACCATGCTGTCACCCAGTCAGCATAACCACAACTCTCTTCTTGAAGATGCCTTGGGCCTTGCCAACATTCATGGCCAAGTTCACCCAAAGGTTCACATCCTCATCCCAGATCTCCAGGATGGAGTCCTTACATACAACAGCAAAGATGTCTTAATACAGATAGGCCTGGCAAGCTGTTTGGTGATTTTGTGACACAGCAATGATGGGGGGCTCAAGGGTGGTAATTGGCCATATGGTGAGCAGACCTGTCAGACTTGGCCAGTATGACTGCCCAACTGTAGCACATAAGGTAGGCCTCCAAAGCACCCATGGCAGTGGCTTCTGTGGGGTTGCTGATAATGGATGCTAGGTGATAGAACTCCTTAAGTAACTGCAAATGGTAGAATGTAGTTGTTACATCCCAGGTAATCAGGTACAGCATGCAGAAAACCTCCAGGGGCTGGTAGTCACTTCTGTCTCTCCAGGCAGCATGATGCAGTCCACTCCATCCAGGACCACGCTGGCCACAATGAAGCCCTCAGTACAGTGGGCCTTCTTGATCATGCTTCCAGCATTTGTATAGCAGACAACAGGCTTCCCAGCCTGGGTATACTGCCAATTCTTCATCAACATCTCAAAACCAAGATTATCAGAGGCCACCCTGATATCATCAATGGCCTCCAGAATCTCTTCAAACTTCAGAATTTCCTTATAATTTCCAATTTTGCAGGTTATCTTTTTCCTTCCTTTCTCTCCATCCAGACCTTCCCAACTTCATGGATATCAGCTGCCTTATAGATGAAGCAGGCAAACACTGCACAGTGCCATACCCCAAAACTCAGATCCTGAATGTCCCTCTCTGACATGGTGTACAGGTCCACAACAGCCCTGGGAAGGTTCAGACCCCTCTTGCTGCCTAGGAAGCCACCATTCTTCACCTCCATCACCACGAAGTCAGCATCTTTCTGTTTTATCTTCAAAGACATCCAAGTCCTTTATCAACACAGATCCTGTTGCCCACGTCTACCACCTTGTAGATGTTCTTGTAGTCCAGCCACAGGATGTTTTCAGCACATTTCTCCATTACCCAGAGTGATCCTGAGAGTGTCTCTCGTCTTCAACCCCACCTCTGCAGGGCTCCTGCACTAGATGAGCCCATATGGATCTCAGGTCCCTTCATGCCCACAGCAACAGCAACAGGCTGATTAGAGAATGGGGTTAGAAGCAAAGCTGCCTGGGTGCATATTCTTGTGGTACTCCTGAGTTCTAGCAGAGAAGTTCATATGAGCTACATTCATTCCAGACTTAATCACCTCCAGAAAACTGGAAGGCAGGGCCAATAGCTCAGATGATGCCAATGTTCTAGGGTGTGACAGGTAGCGAGTCACAGCACATGCGCACCAGCAAGATGTTAATCACAGTCGTACGCAGCTGCTGGGTCCAAATGAATGCAGTGCTGACTTCAATGTAGGGCTTATGAGGTCCTTGGCTCCAGCTGGACCACTGAGCAGGTGGATCTTGGGCTTGGCCATGCCATTCTGCGCAGGATGCAGTACAGCAGTCTCAAGGTGACCTGCAGCTGATTCCTCTGCCAATACTCTTTGTTTTTGGTTACTGTAGTAATTATTAGCTTACTTTGATGGGAATCTGCCTCAATAGAAGTTGAGTATATAGACCTATGCTGGGAAAGCTACAAGGAGCTGAAGTTACTTTTTATCAGGAAGTTATACTAGAACGTAAGTTCCTTTTAAACAAAAATGTAGTGTCTATCCCCAACAATGAGCACCTAATAGTTCTCATCAACAAAGAGTTAAAATATCAGTAGTAATCAAATGCAATCAAAACAAAAGTGATCATACGGAAATCAGCAAACAAATGCTGGCAAGGATGTGCGGGAAAAGATACCCTAAATCCACTGTTGGTGAGAATATAAACTGGTGGAGCCACTGTGGAATACAGCATGGAGATACCTCAGAAATCTGAATATAGACCTACCATGTGACCCAGCCACCCCACTCCTGGGAATTTACCCAAGGGAAACGAAATCAGCATATCAAAGAGTTAGCTATACCTCCATGTTTATTGCAGTGAAGATACAGAATCAGTGCAAATGTCTGTCAACTGAAGACTGGATAAAGAAATTATGGGATATGTACACCATGGAATACTACACAGCAGTAAAAAATAATGAAATCCTGTTGTTTGCAACAAAAGGGATGAAACTGGAAAACATCATACTTAGTGAAATAAGTCAATCCCAACAGAACAAATACCTTCTGTTCTCCCTAATCTATGGTAACTAACAGAGTACCTAAAAGGCAATCTACTGAAGTAAAATAGGCACTTGGAGATGCAATGACTTTGAACAGTCCTTGTCTCAACTGCTGAGGAAGGTTTTTTCTTCATACTATTTGTTGAGCTCTATAGAGTTAATCGTATATGTATAAAATTAATTTAAAATAGGTCTTAGTAAAAAATAAGAATGGGGGGGCAGTATTGTGGTGTACTGGGTAAAAGCCGCTGCTTGCAGTGCTGGAAACCCATATGGGTGCCAGTTCTAGTCCTGGCTGCTTCACTTCCAATCCAGCTCTTTGCTACGGCCTGAGAAAGCAGCAGAAGATGGCCCAAGCCCTTGAGCCCCTGTACCCACATGGGAGACGCGGAAAGAGCTCCTGGCTTCGGATTGGCCCAGCTCTGGTTGTTGTGCCCACTTGGGGGATAAATCAGTGGATCAAAGACCTCTTTCTCACTGTCTCTGCCTCTCTGTGCCTCTGCCTTTCAAATAAATAATAAATCTTAAAAAAAAATAAAAATGGGGGGGAGGCTGGCGCTGTGGCGCAGCAGGTTAACAACCTGGCCTGAAGTGCCAGCATCCCATATGGGCGGCAGTTCAAGACCCAGCTGCTCCACTTCCGATCCAGCTCTCTGCTGTGGCCTGGGAAAGCAGTAGAAGATGGCCCAAGTCCTTGGGGCCCTGCACCTGTGTGGGAGACCCAGAAGAAGCTCCTGACTTCTGGCTTTAGATCAGCACAGCTCTGGCTGTTGTGGCCATCAGGGAAGTGAACCAGCAGATGGAGGACCTCTCTCTCTCTCTCTCTCTCTCTCTGCCTCTCCTTATCTCTGTGTGTAACTTTTTCAAATAAATAAAATATATCTTTTAAAAAAAATGGGAATAGGAGAGGGAGGAGAAGGAAGGGTGGGAGTACAAGTGGAAGGGTAGGTATGGTGGGAAAATCACTATGTTCCTAAAGTTGTATTTATGAAACAGATGAAGTTTGTATACCTTCAAATAAAAAGTTTCTGGGGAAACAAACAAAAAAAACTACAATAAGCTATCTAATCTTACTCCAGTTGGAATGGTTAGTATATTAAAAAAAAGTAACAAATGTTAGTAAGCATGTGGAGTAATGAGATACCTTATACACTGCTGGTGGAAATGCAAATTCGTATAGCTGTTATGGAGAACAGAAAGGAAGTTCTTCAGAAAATAATATTTTTTAAAAAGATTTACTTATTTATTTAAAAGGCAGAATTACAGAGAGGAGACAGAGGATAACAGATTTACCATGTGACCTAGCTATTCTACTTCTGGACATATATATATCAAAGAAGAATAAAATCAACATATGAAAAAGATACCTGCATTTCCATGTTCATTGCAGCTGCATACATATTAGCTAAGATATGGAATCAACCTAGGTTTCCACTGATAGATAAATGATAAAGACATATAAATACAATGGAATACTATCTGGTGATAAAAAAAAAGCAATGAAATCTTGACATATGCAGCAAAGTGGATGGAACTAATGGTCATTATGTTGAGTGAAATAAGTCAGACATAGAAAGACAAATACAACATCATCTCTGTCACATATGCAAGTTTTAAAAAGTGGCTCTCAACTGAGAATAGTGATTACTAAAGTATGGGAAATATTAAGAAAGAGGACATAGAAGGAGGCTGTCTAAATAGGCACCAAAATTCACTTAGAAGCAATGAGATCTAGTGTTTTAAAGCATAGTGGGGGGACCATTAGCTAAGGAAACAGATAATGCAACTGCCTCCCTTGATCAGTTTATGCTGTATAAATGTTTTAAAATAGTTTGCTATACCCCTATAAAAATTTAAGTATTATATATTCATCAAAAATATTAAAAAATTTGGACTGGAAAAGAAAGTAGCCAGCACAGGGGTATTAAAGGTAAAGGTGGGCCACTGGCAGAGCCAGAAGCAGGTTGAATTAACAGTATGAATGTCATATTAGGTTAAGTCCATTATGGCTGGAAGGATGTCGCATCTATTATTGCTTTTCTTTTTTCAAAGATTTATTTTTATTGATTTGAAAGGCAGAGTTAAGGGAGGGGGGGCAGTGAGGAGGGGAAAGAGAGAGGGAGAGAAGGAGAATATATTCCATCCACTGGTTCACTCCCCAAATAATCCCAACAGCCAGGTCAAAACCAGGAGTCAGAAGCTTCATCCAAGTGTCCAATGTGGATGAAGGGCCCAAACACTTGGGCCATCTTCTGCTGCTTTTCCCAGGTGTATTAACATGGAGCTGGACCAGAAGTGGAGTAGCTGAGACCTGCACTGGTACCCATTTGGATTGCCAGCATTGGAGGCAGTGGCTTAACCCACTATGCCACAATACCAGCTCCTCAATCATTCATTTTAACCAGGGTCTTTTCTTCAGTACTGGTAAAGCATGGAGATGTAATTCTAGTATTGAGTTCTATCTGTACAAATCTATAATCCAAATATTTTGACCCCAGAAATTGTCTTCCCTCCCTTACCTTTATCACTTACCTTCTGAAAACACCTTCAACGCCAGTAATGCCCATGCCATCCACAATATCTCTGGTGAGTCTAAAGGGAACTGTTTCAGGAGTAGGAAGTATTTTACCCTGTTCAAATGCAACGCCTAAAGTAAAAAACACAAGGACATTATGAAGTTTGACAGCTAATTTACCTTCTTCCCAAATGACATGTGGACTCTGCAAAGGCAACAAATAATTCAACCCTGAAACTGTTAGTGCCATAATAACTCATTTTTAAAAAGAACCCTTTAGTTTATATTTTACCAATTAATTATATCATGAAATTATTACCTCTGGATTTGAGGTGGATTTCACAGACACTGCTGGATATGAGAAATGGAGGCAGAACAGAATAGAGTGGTACACTTTAAATGCAGCAGATTCACTCTGACAAGATGTTGACTAGAAGCTCTAGATGTGCTTCCCCCAGAACAGAGGAGGATCAGACATGAAGAACAACTACTATATGGCTAGAATACTCGGGAGAGTGCTGGAATACAGTGTGTGTAATTCTGGGGAGAGAGACCATAGATGGTCCAGCAAACGGGCAAGGGGGGACAGAGTACCTTGCATCAAGGGCCCCATCACCCCAGCCCAAATCAGTCTGAACCTAGGATAGCCTTCCTCAAGCGGGGAAAGCTAAAGGAAAAGGCCCTCGAAAGCCCACACTGGCACCACAGACACCTAAGTGTCTTCTGCTGGGGAATGCTCCAGACCCCACAGGATCCAGGCCCAGTGGAGGAATTCTTGGGAGGGTGCGCCACTGCGTTGCTCCAGAGGGGAAATCTGTATCATGTAGTACCCTCTTCCACCCAGGAGGCTGCAGCATGGCACCTTCTGAAATCAATCCCAATCCGCTGTGGCTGCACCGCTATCCGTGGGCAATCACCCTCCCGAGCCACTGGAGCAGCTCCCTGCCTGCGGTTCCGACACAGGCATGCTCTCTGCTGTGGAGGTGCCCTGCCCCCACTGTCAAACAAACCATACTACCTTACTCCCATGGAGGTACTCCACCCCCATGAAGTAAGTCTCCACAATGGAATACTTTGGTCATGAGAAAGAATGAAATCCTGTCTTTTTTAACAAAAAGGATGGAACTGGAGGCCACCATGCACATTGAAATAAGCCAGACCCTAAAAGACAAATATCGTATGTTTTTTCTGATTTGTAGAAGCTAATGTAAAGAGTGCAAACATGATTTTATGTATTTGAGTGAAACTAACAATGGAAATGGGATTTCATTATTATTTACAACCCTTGTCTATACTCCTGTAAAACAGCAGTCTTTCTACTTTTTACCTGCCGAACTCTTTATTAAGTGCACGATTAAGCCTGTGATTATAAAGTAAATTAAAAATATGCTATTGCAAAAATTAAAAGAAAAAATAAAGGAAGGAGGGAAGGACTGATATTCTTAGAATTGTTACCTACGAGTTACACTAAATGTTTACATTAATTAAAAAATAAATTAAAAAATAATTACAAGCCTCACTAATAGATTAGATCAAGGAAAAATAAAAAGAGGTCGTGAACTGAAAGGCAAGTCTTTAGGAATAACCTGGTCAAATAAAAAAATGACAAAAGCTTAGACTTATTAGACACTAATTATGTGAAAAAAAATTTGAATTATGAGGGTTCCAGGAGGTGATAAGAAAGGTAACGACATAAAGACATGGAAGAAGTAACAGCTGAAAACCAATCTTGCAAAAGACATGACACTCATGTCCAGGAAGGTATCCAAACAGATATGATTAATAAAGGTCCTTTTTAGGTATATTATAGTAAAACTGTAAAAAGTTCAAGACAAAGAATTCTATAATAAAACAGCAAAAGAATAGCACCAAGTCACATATAAAGGAAGCTCTATTAGATGAAAACCAGTCTTCTTAGCAGAAATCATAAAGGCTAAAACATCTTAATGTAATGACAAACTCAAAGTTCACTGCCAGCCAAGAATATTCTACCCAACAGACGCTATCAAGAGGCTGGCGCTATGGCAAAGCAGGTAAAGCCACTACCTGAGATGCCAGCATCCCACATGGTCACTGGTTTGAGTACTAGTTGCTCCACTTCTGATCCAGCTCTCTGCTATGGCCTGGGAAAGCAGTAGAAGATGGCCCAAGTCCTTGGGCACCTGTACCCACGTGGGAGACCCGGAAGCAGCTCCAGCCTCCTGGCTTTGGATTGGCTCAGCTCTGGCCATTGCAGCCATTTGGGGAGTTAACCATCAAATGGAAGACCTCTCTCTCTCTCTCTGCCTCTGCCTCTTTCTAACTCTGCCTTTCAAATAAATAAATAAATCTAATAACAACAAAAAAAGCTATCAACAATGGCCTCAAATGTAAATGCATTAGACTTCCTAAGCATGTAAGAAATTCAGACACACACAGACTGAAGTGATGAAAAAGGATATTCAACACAAATAGAAACCCAAAATAAGCAGATAAAATATACTTTAAGTTGAAAATGGTTTTTAAAAAAAGAGACAAACGTCACTAGATAATGATTTAGGGAACAATTCAACAAAAAGACGTATAACTGTAAATATATATGCATCTATCATGGAACCATTCATTTTTATAGAGGAAACATTAAATCTAGAAAAAGGAAAAGGCTTCACTACAACAATAGTGGTAGGCTTCAACCACTTTTACATGGACAGATCAAGCAGACAAAAAAAAAAAAATCAATCGGACCTGCCATTGTGGCACAGTGGGTTAAGCCACTATCTGTGATGCTGGGATCCTATATTGGAGCAGTCTTTTTATTTATTTATTTTTAAAACATTTATTTACTTGAAAGGCAGAGTTACAGAGAGGCAGAGGCAGAGAGAGAGAGAGAGAGGTCTTCCATCTGCTGTTTCACTCCACAGATGGCTACAATGGCTAGAGTTGTGCTGATCCAAAGTCAGGAGCCAGGAGCTACTTCTGGGTCTTCCATGTGGGTACAGGGGCCCAAAGCCTTGAGCCATCTTCAACTGCTTTCCCAGGCCATAGCAGAGAGCTGGACTGGAAGTGGAGCAGCCGGGACTCAAACCAGTGCCCATATAGGATGCTGGCACTGCAGGCTGAGGTCTTACCCACTACGCCACGGTGCCAGCCCCTCTGATCAGTCTTGGCTCCAATCTAACTCCCTGCTAGTGTACCTGAGCAAGCAGCCAAAGATGGCCCAAGAACTTGGACAGCTGTCACCCATGTGGCAGACTTGGATGGAATTCCACACTCTTAGCATCGACCCAGCCCAGCTCTAACTATTGCAGCCATTTGGGGAGTGAACCAGCATATGGAAGATCTCTTTTTTTCTCTCTCCATCTGTCTCTTCCTGTCACTCAGCCTTTCAAATAAATAAAACAACTTTTAAAATAGAAATCAACAAAAAAAACACCGATGTTAAATATATCATATAGAAATGGTCCTAAAAGAGATTAAAGAACATTTTGTGGCCAGCGCCACGGCTCAACAGGCTAATCCTCCACCTAGCAGCACCGGCACACCGGGTTCTAGTCACGGTCGGGGTGCCAGATTCTGTCCCAGTTGCCCCTCTTCCAGGCCAGCTCTCATCTGTGGCCCGGGAAGGCAGTGGAGGATAGCCCAAGTGCTTGGGCCCTGCACCCCATGGGAGACCAGGAGAAGCACCTGGCTCCTGCCATCGGATCAGCGCGGTGCGTCAGCCGCAGCGCACCAGCCATGGCGGCCATTGGAGGGTGAACCAACAGCAAAAGGAAGACCTTTCTCTCTGTCTCTCTCTCTCACTGTCCACTCTGCCTGTCAAAAAAAAAAAAAAAAAAAAAAAAAAAAAAAAAATTATCCAATACAGAATATGTGCTCTCTTCATCTGTACATGGAACTTTCTTCAGAACAAACCCTATGTTAGGTAACAAACCAGGTCTCAAAAACAATAAAAAAAATTGGAATCATATGATGTATCTTCTCTGACCACAACAAAATAAAACATGCTATTGAATGCACAATGGATCAAGGAAATCAATGAGGAAAAAAAATTCTTCAAACAAATGAAAATACAAATATAATATACTCAAACTAAATTTAGAATATGTGATTAATAGAAGCTGGGAAGGGTGGGGGGAGACAGGTATAGACAAGGAGGTACCAAGATAAGAGGTACCAAAACACAGTTGGATAGAAGGAATAAATCCTAGTGTTCTATAGCATAGTAGAGTAACTACAATTTACCGTAAGCTATTAAGTATTTTATGAAGAACCAGGAGAGAGGAGCTAAAACACTTCAAATATAAAGATATGACCTGGCAATGTTAATTACTCTGATTTGGTCAGAACACACAGTGTGCATGTACAGAAGCATCATATTGTGACCACATAAGCCTATAAGCATCATATAAAACCTATAATTATGTGTTAATTACAAAGAAAAAAATAGGGGTGGGTGCTGAGGTACAGTAGGTTAAGCCATGGCTTGGGATGCCCACAACCCATATCACAGTGTTGACTGAAGTATAGGCTGCTCCACTTCTGTTTCAGCTTGCTGCTAATGCACCTGGGAAGGTTGTGGATGATGGCCCAAGTACTTGGGTCCCTGACACCCACAAGGGAGATCAAGATGGAATTCTGGCTCCTGGCTTTAGCCTGGTCCAGCCACAGCTCTTGCAGGCACCTGGAGAGTAAACTATCTGATGGATGATCTCACTCTATCTCATTCCCTCTGTTATTGTATCTTAAAAATATATAAATGAAACTTTCTTAAAAATAAAATTTTAAAAAGTCCAAAACTTAAATTGAATATATTTTAAAATTTAAACAAAACTTCAACATTTGTGATATACACATGTGGTTTTAAGAGATAATATTGAGGGACTGGCACTGTGGCACAGTGGAGTCAAACCCTGGCCTGCAGCAATGGCATCCCATGTGGGTGCTGGTTCAAGTCCCAGGTGCTCCACTTCTGATCCAGCTCTCTGCTATGGCCTGGGAAAGCAGTGGAAGATGGCCCAAGTCCTTGGGTCCCTGCAGCCCCTTGGGAGATCTGGAAGAAGCTCCTGGCTTCAGATCTACTCAGTTCTGGCCATTGCGGTCATTTGGAAATTGAACCAGAGGATAGAAGATCTCTCTCTCTGGCTCTGCCTCCCTCCGTTAACTCTTTCAAATAAATAAAATAAATCTTTAAAAAAAATAAATAATATAGAAAGATCATTCATATGCCTTTTATTCATTTTCTACCAAGAAGCAGTACCTTACAAAATATAGTACTACATTACAACCACATTGTGCTAAGATAGAATTAAATAGAATTCTGTTAGGACAGAGAAGGTCAAGGATATTACACAGCTTTCCCAAGAATGAATTCTAGAGATGGAACACAGAGGAAGGATTATACTCCAGAATTCATAGTCTCCTAAAACAGCACCTTCTTGGAAATCTTAAATTCTACATTCTAATCAAAACCTCTTCTTCTATCCTCTTATTTTTATTAAACGGTATTGGAATTAAATGGAGACTTGTAGTCTATTAGCCTTTCTTCCTTCCCTACTCAGCCGAGGGTGACACACGACAAGGTTGATTACTGTCACCAACACCTCAGATCTTGTTCTCCACCAGATCTGCCATTTTAAACTGTACTTTTGAACTCCAGAGATGTTGATGACTGTGAGAAAAATCACAGGATGACACTATTGGTTCTCTACTATAACAGGATTGTCATCACAGGACAATCCCAAATTGCCTGGCATGTCTTTTTCCCTTTCTAGTAAGGGTGGTCTCATGTCCCTGGTACCAGTTTGGGAATTTCATTGTTCTTTTAGGGCCAACTGCCATGCCTCTAATTCTTGTTAAATTAGTATGCTTTCTATTTCTCAGAGTAGAGAAGGACGAAAACGTAACTTCCTTTCAATTCTTTCCTCTTTTTGCTTCAGGCTTCTTTTTAGCACTAACATTGTCTACCTCTCTCAGCAGAAAAACTAACAAGGCCTCACTCTAAAGTCAACGCTACCAGACCCTCATATACTTTATAATTTCCCTTGCTATTTCAATTATCCTTTGTTTCTTGCCTGTGTCTTCATTATCTAACACATTCATGCTTCTCTCAGGAAAAAAGCAAGGACCTTCCCTTCTAAACTTCTTGCAGAAAGATTCCACATTCTTACTCTATACTGTATACCCGTAAGTTGTTTACCTCTTATCTTTCTACAATCTAGCTTCCTCCATTCTTTCCCAGTCCTATGTCCTAGTCCTGTAAGATTAACGGTTAAATTCAAAGGCCTGGGGCCGGCCCCGTGGTGCAAGAGGTTAATCCTCTGCCTGTGGTGCTGGCATCCCAAATAGGCGCTGGTTCTAGTCCCGACTGCTTCTCTTCCAGTCCAGCTCTCTGCTGTGGCCTGGGAAAGCAGAAGAAGATGGCCCAAGTGCTTGGGCCCCTGCACGCATGGGAGACCAGGAAGAAGCTCCTGACTCCTGGCTTCAGATCGGAACAGCTCCAGCTGTTGCGGCCATTTGGGGAGTGAACCAATGGAAGGCAGTCCTTTCTCTCTGTCTCTCCCTTTCACAGTCTGTAACTCTACCTCTCAAATAAATAAATAAAATCTTTAAAAAAAATTCAAAGGCCTATTTTCAGCATTCTAGTGGACCTTCAACTTTCTCTATTAGATAGTGTTGAACATGATGTCCTTTACCAAATATTATCATCCCTTAGCTTCCAAAATATCCCTGCTTCCTAGTTTCAATGACTTGCTGATTATTCCTCATGTTTTTACGTGTGACTTGGTATTTTCAGTGCTAACATTCCTTATGATTCAATCCTTAGTCTCCTTTATAAAAGATGTCTAAATAAGATCAGAACCTCCTCCAGATATCTAGCTGCTAAAGATACTGAAACAATGTCATTATACTCAAATTCTTTTCTTTCTCATATATCAAACTGTCTAATCCACCTTTAAATCTTATTAATATTTCAAAATAATGTTCCAAACTAAACTCATTACTCATTTTATACAAAATTCCTTTAGTCTATTCCTTAGCTAGAAGTTTTAGCTATCTCTTTTCCCACTTAGAATCACTAGTGCAGTTTACTACAAAAATAATGCCTCTCAGATCAAATCCAATCTCTACATTAGGCCACATCTACGTAATTTCTTATCTGAACTATTATAATAACCCCTAACTTACTTTCCTGCGGCCAGTACTTCTCAAATTGCTACTAAAACTATCTTTCCAAAAGATAATGATGTCTTCCTTAAATAATCTTCATTTACTACTCATTTTTTAAAATATTAACATCAATATATTTCCCAAATTAATCAACTACATGCAAACTTCACTCCAGCCACATATAATGTCTTATCATTCCTACTACATCCTACAACTTAGTTATTCTATCTTTTAAATCTGCTATCTTGAATCTGGTTTATCCTTCATTCTTTTCTTGAAGAAGACCTAATTCAAATGTCACCTCTTCTGGTACATGCCATCCACTCTAGACAGTCAGCTGTTCCTTCTAGCACTACTGTGTTTATAGTTCTTTAAAAAAGATGTGTGTGTGTGTGTGTGTGTGTGTGTGAAAGAGAAAGAGAGACAGAGACAGAAACAGTGAACACACACAGATAAACACACACAGGTTTGATGTGTCTGTCTGCCTCATATGTGTAATGCTTGTAATATCTTGGTAGGCAAACAATATTCCTTGATTAACAAATATTTATTAAATAGAATAAAGGTATATATCTTTTATTACTTACCTAAATCTATATGTACCAGTTCTGCTGACTGCTCATTTATCAAGATATTCTGTATATGTCTATCACCAAGACCAAGTATGTACCCAACTGAAATAAAAAAAAAACTGAAATCATAAATTTCATCTAGTCTAATACACACTTAGCCATAATTTAAATTTTATTACTGACTTTATAGTTTTTGAATAGTTTTGGTTTTTTAGTTTACTCAAAGGAAATTATGTATATAATTGAACATTTCGAGTTTAACTCAAACCCTGCTAAATTCATAATGTATTTTAAAAAGCATAGATGAATTGCTAACATTTTCCCTTTATTAACAAGCACACATTTAAAAATATTAGTATTTTGAAATTTAGTGTGGTTGAAGTTGAGACCTGAACTAAAAAATACATTACATGAATTCAAATTTTAGTTTCTTCAGTAAAACCTTCTGCTTAATGACTTATATTCAACACAAGTTAATGATTAATTTGTAATATATGTATATCTCCAGGAAAAACTGCATTTTGGCTTTTTAGACAAATATTGACATGATAATTTGCTTTTTAACACAATGAGAGACCTTATAGAGTTACAGAAAAAACATTTAGGTAGTCAGGATACCTGGGTGTCTGGCTTCTTATGTCATCAACTAGACCTACTTACTTGTTTATAAACTAAACCGGCTGAATCACAATAGTAATTTCTCAGTGTGGAAGAGTTTCTTGGAGAAACTCCAAGTTTCTTGGAAGAGAGTTACTTGGAAACTTTTACAAAACATACATGCCCTCCCTCTCTGAGACATGGTATGTAAGAGGTGGAAGGCATGGTCTTTAGTTAAAAATCAATAAATTGGATGATCTCTGATGTTCCTTCAGATTAGTTCTCAAAACTATAACTTTGCTAATTGCTCTGTCTAGCTTTCCAATTTCCTAGAAATTACAAAACTAAGTCAAAATATATGCTGTGCACTGAGTATTTACATATAGATATCAAGTTATCTATTCTGAAAGCAAATGCTATAAAACACAATCACTCACTGAATTAGAGGTTCTGTATAAAAGAATAATAACTAGGGGCCGGCGCTGTAGTGTAGCGGGTAAAGCCATCACCTTCAGTGCCAGTGTCCTATACAGGCGCTGGTTCAAGTCCCAGCTGCTCCACTTCTAAACCAGCTCTCTGCTATGGCCTAGGAAAGCAGTAGAAGATGGCCCAAGTGCTTGGGCCCCTGCATCCGCTTGGGAGACCTGGAGGAAGCTCCTGGCTCCTGGCTTTGGATCTGTGAAGCTCCAGCCGTTGTGGCCAATTGGGTAGTGAACCAGCGGATGAAAGACCTTTCTCTCTGCTTCTCCTTCTCTCTCTATGTAACTCTGCCTTTCAAATAAATAAATCTTTAAGAAACAATAAGAACTAAAGGAAATAAGTAAAATAGAATTATCAGAGGATTTATCTTCCAAAGAAAGACTCAGAAAGTAATGCATTGAGGGAAGAGAAAATAATCTATATTGACTATAAAACAAGGAAGAAGAAAAACCAGTCTTATTTCCCTACCTTGGAGTACAAGTCTCTTTAGCAGAAGCTATGGAAAACTATGGTTAGAGTTAAGAATCAGGATAAAACACCATCACCACAATGACCTCATGATTTAGGACAGTTTGGTTAACCACCACCACCCCCTTGAAACTAAGAATGTAGGAAAGCACTGAATGAGATATACAAAGATTACCAATAGAAGAAGTGGCCACACTGCGAGTATAAGCCAATCGTTTCTCAAACCAAACAGCTGGATCCAAGAATTTTTCCATGCAGAAGTAACGGAAAACTGGTTGAAAATGCTTGCAGATATTCATGAAGGTTTTGTATTTCTCTTCAAAAGACTTCTTTTGTATTTCCTTTAAATAGAAAACATAAAAAATTATTTTCTTAATACAGTGTTCAACTAATTCAATTTATGTCCACTATACTTCTATATGAAGAAATGATTGTTCATCTCTTTATTGCCTCTATAGCAAACTATTTTACCCACAAGATACTCATTACACATGATAATCTGTTTAGGATTTTTGTATTACTCTTAAGGGAGGGAGGCACAGCAACAGTGACTATTATTTGTTTTAATTAAATTCTGTGAATGTGACTTAGATGGAAGTAAACAGCAAAATGCCAAATATAGCTCTAGAGAATCCCATGTGACATCCTAGCACTAGGGGTGCAATAAGAAACAGAACTAAGGAAGTGTTGATGGAAGGCAAAGCAGCTACACAGATCTCTGTTCTCCAAAATCTTCTAATACTTTCCCGAGGCTACATTTAGCTATTTCAGTGGACTCCACTGCCCCATACACACTGATGATGTCTACATCTGTCTCTGACCCAGATACCACTGTCAAGTTCCAGTTTAGGTGCTTCTTCAACAGCCTACTCAAAATCTTCACCAAGATCATTTCCAAAGCCAAACAAACACTTCTTTATCTTTGACAAACCTCAGCTACTTACTCCTTCTTCAATTTAATAAAGAGCCTCACCATTTACCACCCAGACAACTGGGAAGCACTGACTTCTCCTTTTCCTCCATCTCACTTCTAATCAAACCCTACATACCTGCCTCCTTAATATTTCTAGCATCTATTCATAAGTCTCCATTCCTACTATTATTAGTCTTAGTCATACCTCATTTTATCTCATGTCTCTAGTCTTCTTTCTAAAAAATATAACCCCAGTGTTGTCATTTAGGCACTAAAATACAAGTCCGTTTTACCATTACTCTTAAAGGTCTTCTATTGCCTATAACATAAAGCCCAAATTACTTAGCATGTCATAAGCAACCTTCTATTTTTTGACCAAAAACTACTACTCTAACCCCATCTATCCATCCTTCCTCAAAGGCCAACTTCCTTTAGCTTTTTGCTCCTTCTGCCTGCAAAAGCAATTCATTTACAAAGCTACCTCAAGCACCTTCCTTCTATGAATCTAAATTTGTCTACTATTCACAGCAGGCAGAACTAACCAATTCCTCCTCCATGCCTACAATATATCCTTTGTATCCCATACAGACCTCTATCACACTGCCTACAGGACTTAGCATACATTTTTCAAAGAAATGCAACAGAGGCTGGTGCCACGGTTCACTAGGCTAATCCTCCGCCTGTGGCGATGGCACATGGGGTTCTAGGCCCGGTTGGGGCGCCGGTTCTGTCCCAGTTGCTCCTCTTCCAGTCCAGCTCTCTGCTGTGGCCCAGGAAGGCAGTGGAGGATGGCCCAAGTCCTTGGGCCCTGCACCTGCATGGGAGACCAGGAGGAAGCACCTGGCTCCTGGCTTTGGATCGGTGCAGCGTGCCGGCTGTAGCAACCATTTTGGGGGTGAACCAATGGAAGGAAGACCTTTCTCTATAACTCTGCCTGTCCAAAAAAAAAAAAAAAAAAAGGCAACAGAAACCACAATAAAATGAAAAGTAAGTGGATTTGGAAGCTGCAAAGACAAGTTTTAAATCCTTGTTCCACTGCTTATTAGCTCACTGAGTAGGGGTAACTTAAATTCTTTGAACTTCTTTTAATTTTACAATAAAGGCAGAAGAACAAGGGGAAGTCTCAGCATAATGCCTGGTATATAGGAGGCATTCGATATACGTTGCTGATGTGGCTAATGAACTTTAGATCAGATGGTCAGAATAATAGGGCAAATGTCTTGGAAGTCTCTAGATCAGTTTCATAAAAAAGTTCGTAATTTGTTTTAGCTAGTGTTTTTGTTGTTGTTGTTGTTATTAATATGAGCTTACTCCAAAGTGAACACAAATCAACATATATGGAATAATACTTAAATTTCTCATCTGACAAGGATTGACAATTTAAATAGTTTTGAAACCTTCCAGTGAGATGTACCAATGCCATCTCACTAGTCCAAGTAATCAATTTCTGTTCACAATTGATCATAATGATAGGACTAAGAGTCAAAGGGATCAGATAAACAAGAATAGTGTCTGCTAATACTAACTGATAGAATCAAAAAGGAGAGAACGATCCAACATGGGAAGTGGCACACATAGCAGACTCATAGAATGGCAGATGTCCTAAACAGCACTCTGGCCTCAGAATCCGCCCTTAAGGCATTCGGATCTGGCTGAAAAGCCCATGAAAGTATTTCAGGCATGGAAAGCCAAGACACTATGGAAAAAAAAAAAAACAAAGAAGGGAAGAACCAACAACAACCCTAAATGAAAGATTTCCGCGAGTGAGATCCCAGTGGAAAGAACAGGTCATCAAAGAAGGAGGTACCTTTCTCTGAAGGGAGGAGAGAACTTCCACTTTGACTATGACCTTGTCTAAATATGATCAGAGTCAGTGAACTCAAAAGGCTTCCATAGCCTTGGCAACTCATGACAAGAGCCTAGGGAGATTACTGATGCCATAAACAAGAGTGTCAATTTGTTAAGTCAACAACAGGAGTCACTGTGCACTTACTCCTCATGTAGGATCTCTGTCCTTAGTGTGCTCTACATTGTGATTTAATGCTATAACTAGTACTCAAACAGTATTTTTCACTTTGTGTTTCTGTATGGGTGCAAACTGTTGAAAGCTTTACTTAATATATACTAAACTGATCTTCTGTATATAAAGAGAATTGAAAATGAATCTTGATGTGAATGGAAGGGGAGAGGGAGCGGGGGGTGGGAGGGAAGTTATGGGGTGGGGGAGCCATTGTAATCCATAAACTGTAGTTTGGAAATTATATTCATTAAATAAAAGTTTAAAAAAAATAAATAAAACCTTCCTTTTTCACACACACTTTCATTCTGGAAAGTTTACTTTGTTTTACTTAGTATCTTTAAGAATTATCTCACGAAATTGATACTTTCTTTATTCTATAATATTTGGTAGCTGTCACCTTTATTGAGCTATTAAATAATCATGCATTAACTTTTAATTTTGAGTGCCACTCACGATCATTTTCTTTTGGCATTGAACGGAACTGAAATCTGTTGGCCTGTATCTTTTATGAGCACCACCTTCACTGTCAGTAAGAAATTCACCAATAGGGATAGTTCCTGTGCACCATTCAAGAACACCACTTCGCTGAGACAGAGGAACCACCTGAAAGTAAAGATTAAATAATTTAATGGAAGGCCATTAAAGAGCATCTAATGATTATTCCTTTATGAGAGTCAGGATGAAGTATTTTTTAAAGTTCTACTAGTAATTTTCTGTCCATGACAAAGTTTCTTGGAGGAAAGCAACTAAAAATAGATTTCAGCTCTTAGAATGTGATTTTATTTTTAACCCTGCTCCTTAGACTTCAAGGAGTTTGACCACAATTCTCTGGAAGGTCACACTTGTTAATAATACTCATTATCTCAGTGACTTATCCATACTTTGATCTTTTAGCACAGAAGTTTAACTGTTTTCCTTATACTTTCAGTATCAATTAAATTTGAGGAATTTCACTTTAGGAAAAACTACCCATGTATGTGGCCTCAATTTTGATTTATGTTAATGACATTATGTATATTCTTACCTTATAGTTTTATTATTTTCACCAAGAGAAAATATATTCCTAAACAGAAAATGACTAATTTTATTAAAATTATGACATATCATTAACATAGAGTGTTGAAAATCATATTACCAAATGCCATTTTACCCATTAAACACCTTCATCAAATCTAAGATTTTCTCATGTTTTCTTGGATAGAAATGAAACTCCTTTTGTACCCTTTGCTAATTCCATGCTCCTCCCCATCATCCAGGTAGTTCTAACCGGTTTATCAGGTTCATGGATAGCAGACACATTTTATTTTCAAAGCTACATATACATAAAACAGTTGTAAGCTTTAAGCAGCGTTATTGTACTATATGTATAATTCTACATTTTGCTTTTTTGGTAATACTGTTTTATATTAAGCTGACAGTACATTTAAGTCATTTCCTTTTAACAACTTTATTGTGTAAACACTCAATTATCCAATTTGTTCAGTTTATATCTTAACATTTACAGTGTCTCCAGATTTTTCTGATACACTCTGAAATTTCTCCGTAACACTGCTACAGTGTAAACAGTCTATTGCTAACATACTTCAGTTTCTCAGGGTATATACCTAGCAGTTGAATAGCTAAATCATGAGGGACTTAAATCTTCAACTTAGCTAACCATATGTTACCAAGTAACTTTGTAAAGTGATTGTACCAATTTGCATACATACTGGTAGCTATTCCATAACTTTCTCAACATTTTATATTTTTTCAATGAGGTATATTGTTTCATCTCAAGGTGGTTTTGATTTGTATTTTCTTCTTTTTTTTTTTTTTTTTGACAGGCAGAGTGGACAGTGAGAGATAGAGACAGAGAGAAAGGTCTTCCTTTTTGCCGTTGGTTCACCCTCCAATGGCCGCCGCGGCTGGCGTGCTGCGGCGGGCGCACCGTGCTGATCCGAAGCCAGGAGCCAGGTGCTTCTCCTGGTCTCCCATGGGGTGCAGGGCCCAAGCACTTGGGCCATCCTCCACTGCACTCCCTGGCCACAGCAGAGAGCTGGCCTGGAAGAGGGGCAACCGGGACTAGAACCCGATGTGGCGGAGCCACTAGGTGGAGGATTAGCCTAGTGAGCCGTGGCGCCAGCCTTGATTTGTATTTTCTAGGTTATCAGTAGAATATTATTTGATAGATTTACTGGTCATTCAAATATTTTCTTCTTATAAATTGCCTATTTGTGTTTGTGTTCCTTATTCTTTTTCCTATTTGTTTGACTTTTTACTGCTGGTATCTGAGAGTTCTTTATATATTCTTAATATAAACTCCTATTGTTATTATTATTATTATTATTTTTTTTTTTGACAGGCAGAGTTAGACAGTGAGAGAGAGAGAGACAGAGAGAAAGGTCTTCCTTTTTCCGATGGTTCACCCCTCAAATGGCAATGGCCGGGGCGCTGTGCTGATCCGAAGCCAGGAGCCAGGTGCTTCTCCTGGTCTCCCATGGGGTGCAGGGCCCAAGGACTTGGGCCATCCTCCACTGCACTCCCGGGCCACGGCAGAGAGCTGGACTGGAAGAGGGGCAATCGGGACAGAACCGGCACCCCGACCGGGACTAGAACTCGGGGTGCTGGCGCCGCAAGCGGAGGATTAGCCAAGTGAGCTGAGGCGCCGGCCACTCCCTATTGTTATTAATACCAACCTTATTAACATTTTGTTTTCTCAGTTACCTTTACTGTATCTAGTCTACAGTTAAATTTTTAAAATTTATTTTCATTTTATTTGAAAGGTAGACAGAACACATACATACATACATATATAAACAAATGGAGAGAAACAGGCAGACAAAGAGATGGAGAGAGATCTTTTATCTGTTGGTTCACTCCCAAAATGCCTGCCAACAGACAGGATCTGGAATTCAATCCAGGTTTCTCATGTGGGTGGCCAAGTTAATCGAGCTATCATCTGCTAGCCAAAATATGCAATAGCAGAAGCTGAATTAGAAGCATAGTAAGTAGGACTGAAACCAGGTACTTTTATATGGGATTTAGGAGTCAGAGCAGTAACTAACTGCTGTACCACTCATCCCTACACAGTTTTTTATTTTAACATATTCAAGTTGAACTGTTTTATGTTTTAAGGATGCCTTTGATTTATGAATATGTATTTGTTGACAGTCAACTGATATTTTTGAATGTCTTCCTATTTAAGACATGGTATCTCCCTCATTTTAGTTTCATACTTATTATTTTTTGTTTACTTCTCTTTTTTGTTTGTCAATTTTGCTTTCATTTTTTTAAAAAAGATTTATTTATTTATTTTAAAGGCAGAGATGCGGAGAGAGATAGTCATCTTCCATCTGCGGGTTCACTCCCCAGATGGCCGCAATGGCTGGAGCTGTTCCAATCTGAAGCCAGGAGCTTCTTCCAGGTCTCCCACATGGGTGCAGGGCCCCAAGGACTTGGGTCATCTTCTACTGCTTTCCCAGGCCACAGCAGAGTGCTGGACTGGAAGCGGAGCAGCCGGGACTAGAACCAGCACCCATATGGGATGCTGGCACTGTAGGCGGCAGCGGTACTTGCTACGCCACATTGCCAGCCCCAGTATACTTTATTTTTGTAATATTTTCATGTGCAATCCACTGTTTCTAGTCACCACTAATTTGAGGCAGTTTATTCATACTATATAGTTTTCATCATTTAAAGAGACTTTTTTCCATTCCATTGTTTATATTAGTCTGAATGGTTAGGACAGCTCTATATTAGAGTAAACCTGCTAGGGAAAATAATCACTTGTTACATGTATTAATTTGAGAGTATAGGAAAGAAGTGAGATTAGAGTCTCTGAAAGACTGCTTTTCTACTAACTACTGAGTTGTATTCAAACATTTCCTTAATTTTCTGATAGCGAAAATGAGGACTTGTTATTTCTGAAAATGTACATAAGCTAAATGGATGATCAATACAAGCCCAAAATGATAGGCTAAAACAATTACGTAACTTGAGAATTAATGTCTCAGGCAAATTGCTGGAGTAAACAGAAATGAGCATACCTTACTGAGGCTAATGAGGAAACGCCTACCAAATTATAGGTAAATATAATCTCTAACCAACTATCCCAGATTCATTTCGTGTATGTATGCAATTTCTACATTCAAGGCTAGTTATAGTACAACACTGACTACACTGGCAAAAGATGAGAAACATTCCATAAGACCATAAGAATGTGTATAAAAAACGATGTACATATACACAGTCCAGCTGCTAAAAAAATCAAAGACTTCTGTAATGCACTGTTGAGTGGCAAAAAAAAGATGGGAAAATAGTCAACTCTAAGAAGAACACTTAACTGTAGTTAACAATAATGAATATGTTTTAAAAAGAAAATCAAACATAAAGAAAAAATAATACTGTATTATGTAAATCAGAGGTTAGCAACTGATATGGCTGTTGGACCAGACCAAGCATCAGCATGACTTTATAGAGCCTGTGAAAAAAGAATCGTTAAAGCGTCATAAACTTTTCTTTATTTTTATGATTTATTTATTTATTTATTTATTTGAAAGGCAGAGTTACAAAGAGAGAGAATGATAGAAAAAGAAAGAGGGAGATCTTCCACTCCCCAGATGGCTAACATGGCCAGGGCTGTGCCAGGCCAAATCCAGGAGCCAAGTGTGCTTCCTCCCAGTTTCCAAAGTGGGTACAGGGGCCCAAGGACTCCGACCATCCTCTGCTGCTTGCCCAGGTGCATTAGCAGGGAGCTAGATTGGAAGTGGAGCAGCCAGGACTCAAACCAACCCCCATATGGGATGCTGGTACTGCAGGCTGTGGCTTAATCCACTGTGTGGCAGTGCTGGCCCCTAAAGCATTGTAAAAGAAAAACCAGAGTATGTGACAGAGATCTATGTGGCCCACAAAGCCTAAAATGTTTACAGTTTGGCCTTTCACAGAAAACATTTACTGACTCCTGGTCCTAATAATGGTTTCTTTTATAGTTTCTTGGCAAAGCCAACCAAAGTACAAAATAGGGAGATGTCTGGCCTAGTGGTTAAGACATCACTTTGGGTGCCTGCGTCACATATCAGAGTGCCTGGGTTCAAGTCCTGACTTGGACCACAACTCAGTTTCCTGCCCGTGCATATCCTGGGAGACAGCATGTGATGACTCCGGTAGTTGGGTCCCTGCCACGCGTATGGGAGAGTTGGATTGGGTTTCTGGCTCCTAGCTCGGACCTGTCCTAGCCCTAGCTGTTGTGGGCATTAGGGGAATGGAACAGAAGATGGGGTTTCTCTATATTTCTCTGCCACTCTGCCTCTCAAATGAATAAAATAAGTTTTAAACAGTACTAAGTAGTTACCTTGTATGTGCAGATAGTCAACTTCCTCTTCCTAGTTTCAGTGTTTCTTTGCAGTAACATATTACACAACTGGAAAACCTGCTGCATGACAGCATCTTGTCTCAGGTCATCACGTCCCTTCAGGATAATGAAAGGTAAATAATTAAACACAGTCCATTTTATTATAAAAGACATACAAAATGATCTGAGAATGGCAAAAAGCCCTTAGAAATCAATCTGAGCTTCCATGCTTTTCATATGAGTTTATTAAGTAAAGCGTACAGTCATTCTTTCACTCAGAATAAACTCTAGCACAGGGTAGATCGTTGCCCCTAGGCTGCCTTTGCAATTAAGACTAACTAGATTCTCTCACTTGAAGCTACACTGCAAACTACCTGAGTACAGCAGCACTTTACCTCCCTACCATTCCCTAGCACTACCCAAAAAGCTCCTGAGCATCAGAAACAGAGAAATGCTACCCCTTTCCGGTGTATTAAATAGTACTTGGCATAATGACAAGCCCTGTGTACTGAGGCAAAGGCCTCTGATTTGTACTATTCAAGGAAATTAATAACCACCAAAATTTTTCACAACAAACTGGCTTTTAACCCCTTCGTGTCTATACATGCTATTTTTTAACCTGGATCAATATGACTATCCAATAAATACAATAATGATAGTCTTATACACACACACACGGAAAGAATTCTGGTTTGAGAAAATGACATATTTCTATTTTACAAGTTTTCCTCACTTATTCAGAATAAAGATAAAGACCCACATGAAGAAGGAAAGAAATTTAAATTAGAGTTTATCATTGACTTTGACATCATTAGTTCTCTAAGGACTACACTACACTGGTGCTGTGGCGCAGTGGGTAAACGCCCTGGCCTAAAGTATTAGCATCTCACATGGGCACCGGTTCTAGTCCTGGCTGCTCCTCTTCCGATCCAGCTCTCTGCTATGGCCTGGGAAAGCAATAGAAGGTGGCCCAAGTCCTTGGGCCCCTGCACCCATGTGGGAGACCCGGAAGAAACTCCTGGCTCCTAGCTTCAGATCAGCGCAGCTCCAGCCATTGCGGCCAATTAGGGAGTGAACCATCAGATGGAAGACCTTTCTCTCTCTCTTTCTCTCTGCCTTTTCTCTCTGTGTATCTCTGACTTTCAAATAAATAAACCTTAAAAAAAAAAAAAAGACTACAGACAAGGGAAATCTCACCTTAACAAGCTGTCTCCTTTCCCTGCCATCAGAGCCTACACAATCTATTATTTTTGGTAAATTTATACCTCCTGCTAAACGAAATTCTGCTTTAAATGACTGTATAGTCACCAAGTTTTCATATTCTCCTGTGGGATCCACCTAAAAAAGTATAATTAGGATATTAATTCAGATATATTATTTGCATTTAAATAAAAATAAATTATGAATCACAATTTTCATTCTATATTAAAAGATAAACAACAATGTGCTATTGGTTGAGAACTGGAGCTATAACTCCTCTCTTTAATGAAAGAGATTATCTGACATTAGAAAGGCTTTAAAAAATGACACATAAATAATACAATTAACCTTCCTAAATATCTCAGTGAAACCAGGGTATATCAAGTTAGAATGCTGCTGCTGCAAAACTACTTAAAAACCAGAATTCATGTATTGTCACACAAGTTATCTCAGAAATTAAACTCTCAAAATGATAATTAGGTAAATATTTAAAAAGGGTGGAGAGAAGTTTTCTAAGTTATAAGTGTTAAGTCTGGCATTAACAGAAAACATTCAGCTAAAATAGCTGATGTACCTTAGTTAATCTATAAGATGCAGTTACATTTCAAAGTGAATAACTACAGATATTAAGCAATTAACTACAAACTTGAAGAAGAGACTTACAGTGTACCGATCACTTTCTAAACCATAACCTTTATTACTGACACTTTTGCCTGAAAGGTACTTCAGGCAATAAAAGATTATGACAAAACTAAAATTTATCATTTCTATCTAGTCAGCCCAATACTATAATACATATAATGCTGCTCAATCAATACTGTTATAATACATACAGTCAGTAGATTCTGCATTCGGAATTTTAAGAAGTCAAAATAAAACAACTGGGAATTTTTTTGATGGGTCAAGAATTAATCTTGGTGCCGGTTTGAGTCCCAGCTGCTCCACTTCCAATCCAGCTCTCTGCTATGGCTTGGGAAAGCAGTAGAAAATGACCCAAGTCCTTGGGCTCCTGCACCCATGTGGGAGACCCAGAGGAAGCTCCTGGTTCTTGGCTTCGGATTGGCATAGCTCTGGGCTGTTGCAGCCAGTTGGGGAGTGAACCAGTGGATGGAAGACCCCCCCCCCCCCTTTCTCTGTGTAACTTTGACTTTCAAATAAATAAATACATCTAAAAAAAAAAAGAATCTGGCATAAGCATATATAAATTTTTCTTTATCTGGTCAGTGAAAATTTTTAACAGTCTATTGATCTTAATCAGAAAGAGGTATAATACTAAGTGCAAAGGAAAACAAAGTGAAAGAAACCTTTGAATAATTTAAAGTTTGGGTAAAAGGAATCTAACAGAAAAACTCTAGGTTGCAATACATGAAACTTCCAATATTTAACCAGTTTTGACTGAATAAAAAAATCTTACCAAATGGTTCAATCACTTAAAATGTTATTTAATTTAAAAACCAAAACAGTTCATGGTAAATTACCTTAATTTCCATAGTAGGGACAACAACAGCTTCTAAATTCTTAAGCTTAGTAATTGGCTGGTCTGCAGGAATGATGATGCCTTCTGTATTTAAAAGTAAAGACATTTAGTGACACCTGCGAACTGGGAAGACACGCAGATTAGGCTGCAATGCATCTCAGGGTAAAAGCTCGGCAACAGATGACATGGCTTGGGGCTGGCATTGTGGCACTAGCAGTTGAGCCACCACCTGCAACAGTAGCCTATGTCAGGCTAAGTCACCAGGAAAGGCAGCCAATATGGCCCAAATGCTTGAGTCCCTGCCACCCAGGTCGGAGACCAGAATAGAGTTTCTGATTCCTGAATTCAAGATCTGATAGCTACAGAAATTTGGGGAGTGAATCAGAAGATAAAAGCTCTCGTGTGTGCATGTACTTTTTCTTTCTCTTGCTCCCTCTCCTTCTGACACTCTTCCTTTCAAATAAATAAATATATCTTAAAACAAAAAAAGACATGGCTTTAAAATGGACCTGCAGGTTTTATGGAACTAGTAATCAGACCAGAATCCATTGGAGGGACCATCTTGAAATAATTACAACAGGTTTTATAGCACACAGATACATACCCTTATCTCATTACTGTGAGTAGTAAGTACAAAAAAGACATGACAATATTCTTTGTTAGTTAGAAACAATATTTGAAGTCTCATTCTTATTCTAAAGTAATAGAAATTTAAACTTGAAGATACGATTCTAACTAGAAAAAATATGATTATTAAAGTATGGGGAACACATTTAGAGATGAGTCACAAAATCAAGTATTACAGAAGCTTTTAATTATTTGAACTACACACAGTAAGAGGAGTGACTGAATAAAGACATTCTAGTACATGTGGAGGAGATGAAATGCTTAAGACCTTTCAACCTGTTCGTCCTAAGGGTATAGTGAGTAACCACTAGCATTTAAAAGTAACCTTTAAATCAAGGAAACAATCAGTTGTTCAGTTATTTTAATAGTCTTGCCTTTCTATGCAATTCCCTGTAACAAGTATTTACACCAAAGCTTATTAACAAAAACCAAGTAATTAATTTAGTGTAGTCACCTATTGTCAGTTCTAACAAAAGATACCAGGTGAATAGTGACTGTGGGATGTTTAAACTATTAGATAAAAAAATTACATTGTTGGATCATGTGTGAACTGAAACCATTAGGACTTTTATATGTGTAATCGCAGCACTATTTGCGATTTTAAGGAACTTACATATTCTTACAGAGAATTGCACAGCAAGAGAGTGATACTCATTCTTTCAAACACATACTTCTCTGGGTCTTCCACTGAGTGGCATCCAAGTTTGCTAACAAAATATAAGCATCACAAAGTGCTTCAACACTCCTGACCATCTGAGGCCTCTTGCTTCTGATGGTACTTATTATATTGTTTGCAGCCTCCATCCTATCCTATTAATGAAAAACAAAAAACATTATGCAGGAAATAATCAGCACAGTCTCTCAGTTATAAACATAAAAGAAAAAGAGAATTTAATACAGATCAAGATGATCAAAATATTTTAATTCTTCAGATACAAAATAGCCACCTATGTAGGAGAAATACTCAAAGGTATGATAAACTCAAGTGACAATGACTGGGGATGGCACTGTAGCATAGCGGGTAAAGCTGCAGTGCCAGCATCCCATATGGGAGCCGGTTCAAGTCCTGGCTGCTTCACTTCTGATCCAGCTCTCTGCTATGGCCTGGAAAAACAGTATAAGATGGTCCAAGTGTTTGGGCCCCTGCAACCGCGTGGGAGACCCAGAAGCTCCTGGATCCTAGTTTTGGGTTGGTGCAACTCCAGCTGTTGTGACCATCTGGGGAATGAACCAGCAGATGGAAAACCTCTCTTCCTGCCTCTCTGTAACTCTGCCTTTCAAATAAATCAATCTTTTTTTTTTTTTAAAGATTTATTTATTTCCAAGTCAGAGTTACATAGAGAGAGGAGAGGCAGAGAGACAGACAGACAGACAGAAGTCGGTCTTCCATCTGATGGTTCACTCCCCAGTTGGCCGCAACGGCTAGAGCTGCACCAATCCGGAGCCAGGAGCCAGGACCTCCTCTGGGTCTCCCAAATGGGTGTAGGGGCCCAAATACTTGGGCCATCTTCCACTGCTCTCTCAGGCCATAGCAGAGAGCTGGATCAGAAGTGGAACAGGGGCCAGCACTGTGGTGCAGCAGGTTAATGCCCTCGTCAGAAGCCCCGGCATCCCACAAGGGGCACCGGTTCGAGACCCGGCTGCTCCACTTCCAAACCAGCTTGCTGCTATGGCCTGGGAAGGCAGTGGAAGATAGCCCAGGACCATGGGCCCCTGCACCCATGTGGGAGACCCGGAAGAAGTTCCTGGCTTTGGAACAGCACAGTTCCGGCCGTTGCGGCCAATTGGGGAGTGAACCATCAGAGATGGAGGACCTCTCTCTCCCTCTCTCTGTGTGTGTGTGACTCTGATTTTCAAATAAATAAAAAATATTAAAAAAAAAAAGAAGAAGTGGAACAGTTGGGTCTCGAACCGGCGCCCATAGGGGATGCTGGTGCTTCAGCCTAGGATGTTAACCTGCTGTGCCAAAGTGCCGGCCCCTCAAATAAATCAATCTTTAAAAAAAAACAGTCGGCCGGCGCCGCGGCTCACTAGGCTAATCCTCCGCCTAGCGGCGCCGGCACACCGGGTTCTAGTCCCAGTCAGGGCGCTGGATTCTGTCCCGGTTGCCCCTCTTCCAGGCCAGCTCTCTGCTGTGGCCCGGGAGTGCAGTGGAGGATGGCCCAGGTGCTTGGGCCCTGCACCCCATGGGAGACCAGGAAAAGCACCTGGCTCCTGGTTCCTGCCATCGGATCAGCGCGGTGCGCCGGCCGCAGCGCGCCGGCCGCGCCGGCCATTGGAGGGTGAACCAACGGCAAAAGGAAGACCTTTCTCTCTGTCTCTCTCTCTCTCACTGTCCACTCTGCCTGTCAAAAAAAAAAAAAAAAAAAGAAAAGAAAAAAAAATTAAAAAAAAAATAAAACAGTCAATAACTGGGGCTGGCGCTGTGGCACAGGAGCCAGCATCCCATATGGGCACCGGTTCTAGTCCCAGCTGCTCCTCTTCTTATCTAGCTCCCTGCTATGGCCTGGGAAAGCAGTGGAAAATAGCCTAAGCGCTTGGGCCCCTGCACCCACGTGGGAGACCCAGAGAAGCTCCTGATTCTTGGCTCCTGGCTTTGGATCAGCTCAGCTCCTACCATTGTGGCAATCTGGGGAGTGAACCAGTGGATAGAAGACCTTTCTGTCTCTCCCTCTCACTGTCTGTAATTCTACCTCTCAAATAAATAAATAAAAATCTTTAAAAAATATCAATGACTTAGGTACCTTTCAAAGATTATTTTCCCACTGCTTACTGCCAAGAGAAAACTAAGTACAACTCTACTGGCATCTTGTATGCTTTGAAAAATATTCAGGAATTTTTAACCAACTTTAGGAGGCTTCAAATTGGATATTAGTTTAGGTACCCTTCAAAGGCCCATGTGTTAAAGATGTGGTCTCTAAAGTCCTATGGTAATCGTACCCAATTATGGTATTTAGACATGAGGCCTTTAGGAAGTGATCAGATTGGATTAGGTTGTTAGGGTGGAGACCCCATGGTGACCATACAAAAAGAGGCAGAAACAGACTCAAGTGCTCCCTCTTGCTACATGATGCCCCTCAGAACTGCCAGCAAAAACACCATGACATACAGGGCCACCTGATTTTGGACAATGAAGCTCCTGTTAACCTTTTCAATTATAAAGTTAGATTATTTTGGTTATTTTGTTGTAGCAACAAAAAGCTGACTAATCAAGGTGGCATCATAAAACAGAGGATGTAGGTACTGCCAGCAACAACATTTTAAAATCCTCAAGACTTAAAAAAGGAAAACCTAAAGAATAAGTATCACAATTCATAAAGATTAATGTATGTTTAATCCAGATACCTCATCAAGCTGAGAGCTTTGTTTAGGTGCATTTTTAGTTATTCTACTCCTCCTTGCTGCTTCTGGTTTGGTCAAAAATTCATCTTTGTTTGCATTTGCTAAAGCCAATATAATAAATAAAGTATGATGGGGGTGATCCATCGAAACTCTAGAGATGAGCTGTCAGGAAATTAAGAACTATTAGTTTTATGTACATCAACAATAGAAAAATTCACATTCTGCATTTTGCTCAACATTAAAATGTGTTATTGTCTAGATACTACAGTGAGTTAAGTGTATATCTGTGTATACATGTATGTATATTTGTGTTGTGTGAGAGAGCCAGAGAGGTACACAAAGATTAAGAGAGAGAAACTGAATAGCTTACATGATATGAGAGGTGACAAAATACAGAATTTCATATTTCCCACAGAGGAGTTGTGTGCATGTATATATGTGTGTGTGTGTGCATATACATAACAGTATAACACAGAATTTCATATTTCCCAGAGAGAAGAGTTGTGTGCATGTATGTGTGTGTGTGTGCATACATAACAGTATAACACAATATATATATAACACAATATAATATAACATATAACAATATAACACAATATATATAAATAACAATATAGTCACTATGATTTAGTTTTCAGGTTTACTTACATTATTGAGGACTTCATGAAATCCCACTCCTCCCATCATTTTGGTTCCCATTCTAGCAGCCAGTTGGTACATTAGAGGCAAAAATTTGTATGATGGAATCTCCATTCCAGGTCCCTTTCATTTATAAAAGGGTATAAAATTAATAAACAATACATTTCAAATATTTTCACAACTAAACAAATAAATTATCCTAAGTTATTGATCCTCTTCTAGCAAAACCAATTGGTTATCAACAAAACTTCACTATGAATTTCCTTGTTACTTCTATCTGAAAGGCTTTATCGTAAGTATTCTAGATTGGTTCAAAGGTAAGTCAAGGGCCTGCACTGTGGTATAGCGGTTAAAGCCGCTGCAGGAATCCCATATGGGTGCCTGTTTGAGACATGGCTGCTCCACTTCCAATCCAGCTCTCTGCTATGGCCTGGGAAAGCAGTAGAAGCTGGCCCAATTTCTTGGGCCCCTGCACCCGCTTGGGAGACCTGGAAGAATGTCCAGGCTCCTAGCCTCAGGCTGGCGCAGCTCCTGCCATTGCAGGCCAATTGAGAAGTGAACCAACGGCTGGAAGAACTCTTTTGCTCTCTCTGCCTCTCGTTCTCTCTGTGTGTTAACTCTTTCAAATAAATAAATAAATCTTAAAAAAAAAAAAAAGAAACAGAAAGTTCGGCAAACTTTAAAAAAAGAAAAAGAAAAGAAGGTAAGCTGAAGTATTTCTTTCTAATTTCAATTGTATTCAGAACTGGAGGGCCTGTGCTATGGCATAGCGGGTAAAGCCACCGCCTGCAGTGCTGGAATCCCATATGGGCGTCAGTTCGAGTCCCGGCTGTTCCACTTCCAAACCAGCTCTCTGCTGTGGCCTGGGAAAGCAGAGATGGCCCAAGTCCTTGGGCCTGTGCACCCACATGGGAGACCCAGAGGAATCTCCTGGCTTTGGATTGGCGCAGCTCCAGCAGAAGCGGCCATCTGGGGAGTGGGCCAGTGGATGGAAGACCTATCTCTCTCTCCCTCTCCTCTCCTCTCTCTGTGCAACTCTGAATTTCAAATAAATAAATAAATCTTTTAAAAAAAGAACTGGAATATCTGGTACTGCTTATATTCCACTGAATCTAAGGAGCATGATTATAGACACGAGTACTACCATAACACAGAATCCTGAGAAATCAGTGTACAATTAAATCCTTATATACCCTGGCCTATAGGATTTAATGTATACTTTGGCAGAGATGGGGCCTGTGTATTATGAGTCTTATTATTCTTTTCATCCAGGGGCATTATTTTACTTTTAACCTTCAAATTCACTGACAAAATCTACCTTGTCAATATAAACTTTACCATTAGGTGTTATCATTAAAATCGAAGATTTTTAAATAAAAATTTCTGAAATATTGACATCTAGATTTTTCTTTAAAATGTGTTTCCATTTATAAAAATAATTCACTCTAGTAGTCCCAGACAAGCAGGAACCCACTAGTGACTGATTACATTATCTTTAACTTCTTTCCAAATCCCTGCATTTAGTGCCCTCCTCTGGGCACTACTCTCCAGTGGTAACTGCAAAGATATAGGAAAAGACCTAAATTTTTTCATCTCCACAGAAACCTGTATCATTTAGAATTTAAGTGCTTCTGTAAAGAGACCCAATCTAATGCTCAAGATACAAAAGGATTTACAAAGTCCCTGAATCAAAGGGCTTATGTCAGCTTTTAAAGTGCAAGTTAGAATGTTGGGTTGAATAGACTTGCCTTCATCATGCCATTGACTTCAGGAACTCCAGAGTTTTCAAGCCAGAGAGAACAAAGTCGAAATACCCACATATCATGTTCTTCTCCACTTAATAAGCAGTTGATGTAATTTTCAACTGCTTTACATAAGAAGCGTTTGCGATCCTCTTTCAGTGCACGAAGTGCACATTCATCCAGCTCCAGCTCTCGCTGAACCTTTACTGTGTATCTTGCATTAAAAGTAAAATACAAAAGCCATTAAATTTTACATTACTACAAAACCATATATGATATATACATAACTGGGAAATCAAGAGTCCTTACAGGAGAAAAAGCAAAATTCTAAGAATTATAAAGTAAACAAACTTACTTTTGCTTTCATTATGCAATTCATAAGCTTTCCTAAGCAAAGGAGGGCAGAGTGAACTCTATTCAAGCTATTTAGTTAACTTATCCTCTACTTATGACAGGGACTCATTACCCACATTGTCATCTGCTGCCTCTTATATGTATCAGCAGGCAACTAGATCAGAGCCAGCACTTAAACCAGACACTCTGCTATGGGATGTGAGCATCCCAAGTAGTGGCATAACCCACTGCACCACAATTCCTGCCCCAAGTCTTCTGTTTTTAATTTCCTATCTATCTCCTTTTCAGCTGATACCAACTAACAAATTAAAAATCAAAACCCAAAAGCTAACACCTAAACACTACGTGAGTTTAGAACCAGATTATGAACACCTCCTCAAAGAACACATGTCAGCGTCTTACATGCTCATTTGAGATAACCACTGTGGGGCCAAGACAATCTATACGTATGCTGAAAATTATAATCAGATAAAAAAATCAGATCACATTTTTCACAGATAGATTCATTCAGTTAACTTGTGAACATAAAGTTATCACCTGTAGACATCTACTTACCTGTTAGTCTGAATCTTATGTTCCCTCAGGAGGCCCACTTCCTCTTTGGCCCTTTTTAGGAGGGCTTGCTTGTTTTCAAATTCTGATGATTTCATGTAGTTTTCAATTCTCTGGTACTGAGTATCTGAGAACCGTGCTAATGAGAGAAATGCCTTCATTTTCCCATTTCTGAGCTCATCATTATTTTCTCCATCACAACTTTCAGCAACTTCTACGGCCTTTAAGAACACACAATCCATTTAATTTACAAATACTAAACAATACAAATACTCAAAGTAATCTCATCCTCAAGTTTATATATGTAAAAGCTACATTATATGAAATCTATTATTTTCTTAGCCTTTCAAAACAACGCTGACAGTGAAGAAATAACCAAGACAGTATTTACAAAATGCAAATTGTGCAAAAACAAAGAGCATTATAAAATTTAAAGTTAATTACATCATTCTTTTCAAGTTATACTTATTTAAATCAGGTAACTATTTCCAAAATCAGCTAACTTAAGGAATAAGAAGGAGAAATCGGAAAGTCAAAGGGGGCTGAAGTACTGAAGTCCTAGCCTTTACTTGTGCGTGGTTGTACCACAAGTGAATAGTAAGGGCCAGCTTGCATGCTCCTTAATCAGCTATTTTTGTAGATGACAACATGGAGAAAGCATCAGAAACAACTTACGAAAGAGCAGCTAGTGGTGGGAAGACTGAGGAAGGGGAAGCCATACTTGGGATTTCTTTCAACATATGTTCCCTTGGTAAAATTCTGCTTACTTCTTGCCCTAAATATTATACAGAGTTCTAATAGTGATAACATATGGAAAAACTCATGTCTTTATTTGCTTTTGAAATATATTTGGACCTGATGCAAAAAAAATCAAGTATATTCATTAACTTAAGGGTTACTCTAAAAGCTCACCTTTTCTAGATAGGTCTGCATGATGACTGTAGGATTTTCTAAGCAAGTTTCTGCTAACCAGTTACCACAAACTCTCAGACATTCTGTGTGTATAAGTTTTAGCCTGGAATCATTCTGTTGAAAAAATGCAAAGTCTTAAAATATAATTCATTATCATGACTGTAAAAAAAAATGTCCTCCACGTAGGGAAAATAGACTATCAAAGTTTCTATGGGCTAGCGCTGTGGTACAGTGGGTAGGGCCACTGTCTACAACGCAGGCATTGCATATGGGCGAGTGTTCACATGTCCTGGATGCTCCACTTCCAATCCAGCTCCCTGCTAACAGCTTGCGAAGAGCAGCAGAAGCTCCTGGCTTCAGCCTGGCCCAGCCCTGGCCCGAGCCGCTATCTGGGGAGAGAACCAGCAGATGGAAAATCACTCTATTTCTCCCTGTCTCTCTCTGCAACTCTGAATTTCAAATAAATAAATCTTTTAAAAGAAGTTTCTGAACTATTTACAAATATTAATTTATTTGTATAATATTATTTATTTGAAAGGCAGAGGTAGAGAGAGACCAACAGAGATATCTGGTTCACTCTCCAGATGGCTGCAATCTGGACCACGGCTGGGCCTAAAGGTAAGAAACTTCCTCCAGGTCTCCAATATGGGATGCCAGTAATATAGGCAGTGGCTTATCCCACTATACTACAATGACAACCCCAGAAATACTGATTTTCAAGAATCCTTTTTACATCTTGCTAATTAGTAATTTCAAAGCTTAAATTGTTATTAAAAATATCTGAAAGCACAGCAATGCTTGCCTTTTTTTTTTTTGAAGATTTATTTATTTATTTGAAAGTCAGAGTTACAGAGAGGCAGAGGCAGAGAAACAGAGACAGAGAGAGGTCTTTCATCCACTGGTTCACTCCCCAGATAGCCATAATGGCTGGAACTGCACCAATGCCAAGCAAGGAGCCAGGAGCTTCTTTCAGGCACCCCCATAAAGGTGCAGGGGCCATCTTCTCCTTTCCCAGGCCATAACAGAAAGCTGGATCAGAAATGGAGCAACTGGAATTCGAACTGGCACCCAAATGGTATGCCGGCACTGCAGGTGGCAGCTTTAGCAGCTACACCACAGCACTGGCCCCAGCAATACCTTCTTAACAATAGTAAAACACTAATTCAGATAATAAAAATAAATAAACCTCTCTACAGCTGGTGTCCAACTTCTTGATCATTTGCTTGAGAATACTCAGGGCAAGACTTTGTTCTTTTTTTGCCCAGAACACTTGTGCTTCCTCCAGCTGCCACTCAGAGACTTCATGACTCACTGAATTATACTGTTTAATTTGAAATACTGCCCTTTCAGGGAGCTGAAATGAAAATGACATATGGGAATAAATATTTCCTTTATTATTATTGTAACTAATAACAACAATGAAAGCAGTAATACCACTCATTGTGGATTTGACTGTTTGCCAGGGTCTGTCTCAAGTACCTGTCTGCCTGCCTCCCACCCGCACCCCCACATCTGTCTGTCTTGTCTATGCATATCTATATACATGTGTCAGTTTTAAGTTAGCCATCTTCTCATTGTTTAGCTACGATACTGAAGTTGACAGAAGATACTACCTTGTCCAAGGCTTAAACTGACGTCTAGTTCCAAAATGGGAAATCTTAAATTTCTGTATACAATTTTAATAAGAATCGTTATTTCTCAATGACAATTCCTTTTCACTAATGCTTTGTTTTCTGATAAAAAGAAAGGTCAAAGAGGTAAGCTGATGTTTTAAATCCTACTTACCTGAGTGTTCTTGAAAGTCCGGGCCAGTATAGAGAATTCTGTAAGGTGCTTGGTGAGAATGTCCTTAAAACATTCTCGCTGGGAGTTATTCACTTCTTTTTCCATCAGGATCTCAAGAATGACTGTGCGTAGAGCCATGATAGGCTCCTGAAAATTAAAGTCACTATCCTTGAGAAGCTGGGAGTGTTTCTGCCATTTAACGTACACTTCAGAGAACTGTTTATCCATGACTGATCTGAAAGCCAAATCAACGAGTTCATGTAAGCAGAAAAACTAGGAAAAAAAATTGTGAGATTTCTGAAACTTATGTTACAATATAAAGAAACTTTCAGATAACAAGACTGAAGCTTATAAAGAAAAAATTCTAAATACGAATCAAGGTTTTAAAAGCTATAAAAATGTTATATGGTAAGACTTCTAAGAGGTCAACAGAGAGGCTATAGATAATGAACATTTTAGGAAGAATTTCTAAAAACTATTCTTTCACATCACAAAAGAGAGTCCTTATAAACAAGTACCTTTCTGAAATGAAAGGACCTATCACAAATCATGACTGCACTTTAACTGTCCAATGTTCCTTGTGGTAAAGTTCATGTCAGCAAGGAAATGAGGTAAACTCATTCATTACCTAACGACAGTGACTACTGCCAACTGTCAAAGAAATCATAATGCAGGAAGGAAAACTAACTGGCAAAGAGTCCATCTACCAATATTACTAACTAAAGGAACAGAAAATGCATACTGTATAGTTTTACATGAGTTACTGGTTTATATGAATAGTGTCCTTGGATAACTAGGCTAAGCAATACTGTCCAATCCTTCAGGCCCATGGTGTTGAGACAAATTAAAAAGATTAATCAGGGGGATTAAGAAGATGATGAGGTGGTGAGGATATTAAAGCTCCTTCAGCTGCCTCATATAAAAGGAAATATTAAGACAAATCCATGGCGGGCGCCGCGGCTCACTAGGCTAATCCTCCGCCTAGCGGCGCCGGCACACCGGGTTCTAGTCCCGGTCGGGGCGCCAGATTCTGTCCCGGTTGCCCCTCTTCCAGGCCAGCTCTCTGCTGTGGCCCGGGAAGGCAGTGGAGGATGGCCCAGGTGCTTGGGCCCTGCACCCCATGGGAGACCAGGAAAAGCACCTGGCTCCTGGCTCCTGCCATCAGATCAGCGCGGTGCGCCGGCCGCGCCGGCCATTGGAGGGTGAACCAACGGCAAAGGAAGACCTTTCTCTCTCTCTCTCTCTCTCACTGTCCACTCTGCCTGTCCAAAAAAAAAAAAAAAAAAAAAGACAAATCCATAAAAACTGAAACTTTAATTTCTCCCAAAATTCCCCTAGAGCAGCAGATCTCGAACTTCTAAGTTGCAGGAACCCTTTTTATATGCTTATAAATTACCGGGAACTACAAAGAACTTTGAAACTTTGGGTAACAGCTACTGATATTTACCATATCAAAAAGTAAAACTGAGGGGCTGGTGTTGTGGCAAACAAGTTAAGCCACTGCCTGCAACACCAGCATCCACTATGGGCACAAGTTCAAGTCCCAGCTGCTCTACTTCTGATTCAGCTCCCTGCTAATGCACCTGTGAAAGCAGTGGAGGACGGCCCAAGTCCTTGGAACCCCTCACCCACTTGGCTTCAGATTGGTCTAGCTCTGGCTATTGGCAGCCATTTGAGGAATGAACCAGTGGATGGAAGATCTCCCTCCATCTCTCTAACTCTGCCTTTCAAATAAATAAAATAAATCTCTAAAACAAACAAACAAAAAAGGTGATGGGGCCGGCGCTGTGGCGCAGTGGTTAACACCCTGGCCTGAAGTGCCGGCATCCCATATGGGCACCAGTTCTAGTCCTTGCTGCTCCACTTCCGATCCAGCTCTCTGCTATGGCCTGGGAAAACAGCAGAAGATGGCCTCAGTCCTTGGGCCCCTGCATCCACATGGGAGACCCAAAAGAAGCTCCTGGCTCCTGGCTTCGGATCGGTGCAGCTCCAGCCGTTGCAGCCATCTGGGGAGTAAACCATCGGATGGAAGACCTCTCTCTCTGTCTCTACCTCTCTCTGCAACTCTTTCAAATAAATAAAAAATAAATCTTTAAAAAAAAAAAAAGGTGAAACAGAAAAATATAAAATGTATTAATTCAAAAATGCTAAGTTTATATCTATTGTAAATTACTACTGATAACAGAAAAGCTGTACTTTAGGAGGAATACGAAGTCATATGAATCACATACCTTGAGACAAGCTCCCCAATGTTTTCTAGTTCTCCAATGGCCTGCAATCTGCTAAGTCTGGGGTAGAGTGAATACACAGACTCAAGGCTGCCTTTACACAATTCTTCCACTTCTTTTACTCTAGTGGCAAAATCAAAAAAGACACTCTGAAAAGTATGAAGAGGTTTAAGGAGACAAAAGTTCATATTTGTTCTTAAAGAGTTCTCATCATAGGTTCTCCTGTTGATTTAGCAATAACAATATTCACAAGCAACAGTGAACACAAAAATAGCAGTGGAAACAAATTAAGTCTTGGAATCATACAGACCTAGATCTAAATCCTAGCTCTGCCGCTTATGGCTATGTAACTTTAGGTATATTACTGGATTTCTCTAAGAATAAATTCTTTTACTTCCCTAGTTATTTGAAAGGTTAAAGAATACATAAGGAGGGGCTAAAGTTATGGTGTTTGAGTAAAGCTGCCGCTTGCAAAGCCAGAATCCCATACTGGTGCTGGTTTGAGTCCTGGCAGCTACATTTCCCATCTAGTTCCCTGCTAATGGCCTGAGAAAAGCAGAAGAAGTTGCAAGTGCTTGGGACCGTGTTACCCTTGTGGGAGACCTGGAAGAAGTTCCTGGCTCCTGGCTTTGGCCTGGCTTCAGCACTGGCTGTTGCAGTCCTCTGGGAAATGACCCAGCAGCTGGAAGATCTCTCTCTCTCTCTCTCTCTCTGTCTCCCTCTATCAATCCTGACTTAATAAATAAATATTTTTAATTTGAAAATAAACAAATCTTTCTTTTTTTTTATTTGTAAGTCAGAGTTACAGAGAGGTAGAGGTAGAGGTAGAGGTAGAGAGAGAGAGAGAGAGAGAAAGAAAGGTCTTTCATCCAATAGTTCACTCCCCAGATGGCTGCAACTGGCTGGACACCGATCCGAAGCCAGGAGCCAGGAACTTCTTCCAGGTCTCCCACGTGGGTACAGGGGCCCGAGGCCTGAGCCATCTTCCACTGCATTCTCAGGCTATAGCAGAGAGCTGGATCGGAAGTGAAGCAGCCAAGACTCAAACCAGCGCCCATATGGGATGCTGGCACTACAGGCGGTGGTTTCACCTGCTACGCCAGGGCACCAGCCCCAATAAATCTTTAAAAAAAAAAAATACTCATGGAAAGAGCCTTACAAAGCAGCCAGCAGGTAACAAGCACTTACATAACAGCAAAAGTGATTATATAATGAACACAGGCCACCACAGTCAAAGAACATGTCACATTTGCTTAACCCATTACAGTTCAGGAGTTCCTCATATATCATCTCATTTGTGCTTCAAAGCAAGCCTCTAACTAGGGAACCATTAATCACCATTTTACAAATTAATGGTAAGAGGGGTAAAACACAACTGCTAGAGGGGGAAGATTAAAATCATGTAGATACTAGTACAAAAAGAGAACAGAGGAGTGGGCATTGCCAAGATGTTCTTGATGTTCAGTGTGAAAAAGTAACTTGAGATCACAAGAAGAATGTTTATGGAGGGAAAGACAGATAATGAAAAACACCTAACTATAGCCACCAATACTTTACCCATGCTTCAAAGCATATCCTAACCTTGAGCCAATCATTCCTCAAGTTTTGAGAAGATAAGCCATGACATTAAATTTTAAAATATAGAAATAACAGTAATTTTGTTAATACCTGGCATATTTTAGACTTTCAAAAAATGTGGAGAATTCTCTGTCTCTCAGGGATTGCAGAGCATTGTACAATGATTCATGGTAACTGGTTCCTTCTATTCCTTTACTGTGAAATAATTTTTAAAAATTAATAAGAAAACATATTTAGAAGCAGAAGATATGCACATGCAAAAAACTTCACAAGAGTACAAAATCTTAACACTAAAATTAATTTTTTAAAATTTACTTCTAGATATTTTGGTAACAAATACAAGCAATTTTATGAGTTATTGAAATTCTTCAAGCAGAAAAGAAGGAAATTTCTCAGATATTTTGCCTGGCTCATTTATTTTATTCAATGCACACCAATTATGTCCTGGCACTAGTAATTAGATTCTAGATGTAGGGGATCTATTTGTGGAAGGGTGAGATCAGATCCTTAACTCTCCTGGGGCTTATGTTCTGGATTGGAGAAGATGCACACTAAGTTAGTGAAAAGAGAAATAAGGAGAATTAAAATAAGGTACAGAATGACTGGGTGACTATTTAAGAATAGGTAGTCAAGAAAAGCCTCTCTGAAGATAGTATTAAACTGGAGTCTACAGAAGCCATACACATGGTAACTGGAGAAAAAGCAAAAGATCCATCTATTGCCTTTAGGTAGGAACAGCTTGGTCTGATCGAAGAACAGAGAATATCTGAGTGGCTGAAACATAGCAGCAAAGGGAGAAATAGCATGCATCAATTTACAGAGGCAAGCAGGAACCTGCTCCTATAGTAAAATATTTTAAAAATATGAGAGTGGGGAGGATGTTTGGCCTAGTTTAAGCCACTTGAGATATCATATCCCATATCATGGTACCTGGGTTCATGTGCAGGCCCCACTTCTTTTGAAATTTTTGTTTTCAATTTATTTTGATCGAGAGAGTGCGATCTTCCATTTGCTGGTTCACTCACCAAATATTAGAAGGAGCCAGGGCTTGGCCAGAACAAAGCCAGGAGCCTGGAACTCCATTTGCGTCTCCCACATGAGTGGCAGGAACAAAGATATTTCAGAGTCCTCTGCTACCCAGGATGTGCATTAACAGGAAGCTGGACCGGAAGCAGAATGGCTGGGATTGAATCAGGCATTCCAATATGGGATGTGGGCAAATCAAGCAGTGATCAACTGCTACACTGAACACCTGCCGCTCTGGTCCCATTTCTGATTCAAGCTTCCTGCTACTGCACACTTTTGGGGGCAGGAGGTGATGGCTTGAGTACTGAGGGTGCTGTCACTCATGTGGAAGACGCAGATTGAGGTCTAGGCTCCTGGCTTTGATCCAGTTCTGCTGCAGGCATTTGGGAAGTAAATCAGTGGATGGAAGATCTGTTTGTCTCTCACTCTTTCTGCCTTTCAAATAAATTTAAATTGCAGGCATATCTCCAATTTTAAAGCAGTCTTACAGCTGTCTGGATCAGACTCAAAAATTTCAAGTCAAGTAATAGATGAAGATGCCTCTCTCTCTCTGTCCCTCCCTCTGTCAGTCTGCCTTTCAAGGAAATAAATAAAATTAAATATATATAAAGGAAATTAAAACATACAGTAAAATATGGTTTAATTTTTTAGTGTTTCTATCATTAAAAGACTTTACACAAATATGAAATCCTTTACTTGATTAGATATCTGGGTTTCATTCAGAAAATATGGTGAAATTACATATAGGTTTCTAGGTAACTGATTTGCCAATTTTTTTTTTTAATTAAAAAAATACTTCCTAAGCAAAGATGACCAGTTCTCTGTATACCATTCAGACACTAAAAGTGCTATCTGAGCAAAACATTTCCAGCAGGGAAGGAGAAGAGAAACGCCTTCACTTTTCTTTGTATTTCTCAATCACACAAACAGTGAAAGGATTCTCTTTCTATTTTCAAAGTATTTTGGGGGACGAGTTGTCCAAACTGAAGAAGAGAGTAAAATTCAAGCACTGATGTATTAGCTGCTTAATGCTACCCTATTTATGAACTTAGTCATGTAGCTTCTTAGCATCCACAAAATACTAAAAAATCTAACTGTTACATGTATAGCAACAGATAAAAACAGGAAAGGGGCCGTTTGGTCATACTTGACAGAAGTACAATGGTCCCACTGCATATTCCTCCATGCTGCTTGGTAATGAAGTTCCTGTAGTTCAGCACAACACTCCACATTTTCATGATCTAAACCTTTTAAATACACCGAAAGAATATGGCACAGTCCCAAGTTCTGCAAGGCCTGAATAGGAATTGTTTGGGGGGAAAAAAAGTAATTTAAGGTATCACCAGAAAAGTAGAGGAGCAAAAAATAGCCATCATAAAAAAGAACATAAAAAATGACTTTAGTTCACAATGTAATTAAAAATTCCAGAATATTGGGTGTTGTTGTGCAGCAAGTTAAGTTGCCACCACTTGGGGTGCTTGTATCCTATATCAGAGTGCCTGGGAGCAAGTTCTGCCTCTGCTTCTGATCTATCTTCCTGCTAATACAAGTAGGAGGCAGCATATCATGACCCAAGTACTTGGGTTTCTGCTACCTACATGTGAGACTGAGATGTGGTTTTTGGCTCCTGGTTTTGGCCTACCCAAACCCCAGTTATTACTGACATTTCAGGAGCAAACTGGCTGATGGAAGATCTCTCTTTCTGTCTCTTCCTGTCTCTCAAGACACAAAAAGACAAAGAAAATTCTAAATACACATTTCCCAAAAAAACAAACAAAAAAACCCAGAACTCGAAGGATTCTACTATTTAGTGGGAAAATAGCTAAAGAGCAAGTAACAGAAATGATAGATTCTGGGACCCATAATATAAACTATGCAGAATAGCATATATCAGATTCTCCACATGAAGTACCAAGGAAAAGGATCTTCCAAAACTTCAAGTAAAACATGCATTAATTCCATTTTTCATAAACTTTTTGAAGCTTCCCTATATACTACCTGGTATACTGTATATGAGAACATTCCAGAAAGGTCTTCACTTGTCAGACAACAAGATTATGATCAATGAATCTACACCACCTTTTAGGTCAATGATGTATCTGACTTTCCTGTGTATCTGTGTTTTTAGTTAATGTCTGAAAAACAGTTAAGTTCCAGTTGTATCTCAAGGGTTTATCTAGATGTGTAAATATCCCACTAACACAGTGAAATAATTTCAGACCTATACTAGTGATGGCTTTTCCAAAGCAGAAAAACTATGTACCTGAATTATTCCTGCCTGGCGGGTTGATGGGCATATTGCTGTCTCAAGATCATACGTTACCAGGGCTTTATCCCACACTGCTTCATGTTCATATGTTCTCAGTCTATCAGAAGAGATAAAAATAATTCTGGGTTCCATATGCATGTAACTCCTTCATAAACAGAATTATTAAGCCACTGTGTAGAAAAATGCAGTTTACCTGGTGAGTGGTTGTAACATTTTCCCTCCACCACAGCCATAAAGACTATCTGGCTCCCCTATACTTCTGTAGATTTCTAAGAGAAGGTCCTGAAAATAATAGAAACAAAATTTGCAGAAGGAAAAACTTTAAGAAATTTAGCAAATTTTAACATATAACTCCCGACTCTAAATGTTGTTACACAGAAGTAAGATAATAGTAACACTGAAATATATATTAAAGAAGTGATAAGCAACACAACAGACTGGTTGCAGACAGCAGAATAATGATTATGGTTTACCTGAGAACTGCTCACAATTTCATGAATTACATTACAAATAAATACCAACCTACCATGCTTGTATCACATGAAAAATAATCCCAAAGGCAAAATAAATCTCAACAGCTAAAACTTCAAGGGGAAAATAGAATTCTTCCATAAAATTTGACTCCTAAAACTTAATTTTGTAAAATTAAAGGTCATGAATTTTTCTTTCAAAGAAAACAAAATTAGAGGATGCTTTGTAGCCCAGTGGTTTAACCATTACAGAAACTGTGTTAAGTCTTGCTGCTCTACTTCGAATCCAGTTCCCTGCAAATGTGCCTGAGAAAGCAGCAGTAATGTGGCAGACTGGGATGCATTTCAGGCTCCTCCTGGCTTCAGCCTGGCCCTGACATGGCTGTTGCAGCCATTTGGGGAGTGAACCAGTGGATAAAACATATCTCTCTGGCTCTCTCTCTCTCTAACCCTGCCTTTCAGATAAATAAATATTAAAAAAAAATTTTTTTAAGGTAACAAGAGACAAAGGCATTACATTTCAAAATTATCCCTATGATATGAACAAAGAAGTTTCTATTACTCATACCTTCATTGAAAAATTTATAAAGGAAAGAGTGATACAGGGTGGGGAATAACATAAATGTCAAAAGCCCATCGGATACTTGTAACATCATTTGCAGACCATATCAAACAATCATCTTAAACGTTAGCCTATGGAGCTGGTGCTGTGGCACAGTGGGTTAATGCACTGGCCTGAAGCACCAGCATCCCATAAGGGTGGTAGTTCAAGAGCCAGCTGCTCCACTTCCTATCCAGCTCTCTGCTACGGCCTGGAAAAGCAGAAGGTGGCCCAAGTTCTTGGGCCCCTGCATCCATGTGGGAGACCCAAAAGAAGCTTCTGGCTCCTGGCTTCAGATTAGCACACCTCTAGCTGTTGTGTCCAACTGGGGAGTGAATCAGTGGATAGAAGACCTCTCTCTCTTTCTCTCTGCCTCTCCTCTCTCTGTGTAACTCTGACTTTCAAATACATAAATCTTAAAAAACAAACAAACAAAAAAATGTTAGCCTAACACAGATTTCTTAAATTTCTAGTCTTGCTTGTGGTTGCCTTGGCAGGGCTAAACCAGATGATTTTGTGGGCTTTATATGGCCTGTGGGTTGGACACTCCCCAACATTATAAACAATCTCAATGAAATGGAAGTAGAAAAAGAACTGTATAGCATAGAAAAATCAATCAAGCAATTCAACTGCCTTTCTGGAAAATATTTTCTAGGTAAAAATTCACTGATATTGGCATAACTCTGTAATTTTAATTCAACTATTTCTATTAATTGGCATGAAAGCAAGCCCTCTGAGTTTGAATGTTTGGTATCTAAGCCAAGCACAGTGCTTAGTACACAACAGATATTCCAAAAACTCAGCAAAGGAGAGTAAGACTAGAAAGAAGCTTAAAGAGTAAGTAGAAAAATCAGGGTAAAAAAGGTACACAGAACATATTTCAAGCAGGGCATGGTTGATTGGTGTTAAGTATTAATAAAACCTTAAAGAAAAATGAATGAAAGGTGAGCATCTGACTTAGCAACATTAACTTTATAGGAGACACTAACCAACTGCTATTTCAGTGGAATGAATGGAAGAAGAGGAAACAGAGACAGAGAATACACAGAACTGCTTCACAAAGTGACTGTGAAGGGAAGCGAGGGAAAGGTTAAGACCTAAAAGAGGGTAGAGAAGAAAGAACTTACTTTGAGTTATTAAGAAGGAGAATGTTTTAACAGGAGAGGTTTGAAACATTTAGAACACAGTTCAGAAAGAGCATAGGAAATTAAAAACAAGTTTCTGAGAAAACAGAAAAAAAAAAAAAAGAACAGGAAGAAGGACTAGCAAAGTATGAAAATGCTTCTTTCCTTTAACAAGAGGGAAGGTTAGGTCAGGAGCACATGCAGAAGATCTCAGTGTTTGATGGTGGAATGGGTAGGATTTTCAATGCCTCTTATTCTTTCCCAGAAGTAGGAAGCCAGATGAAAGGAAAACAGAGAAGATCAGAGATTTAAGTAAAGGAGATGCTGAAACTGTCATTGTAGAGCAATGAGCTGACCAAAGAAATTCAGTAAGAATTACCAGACAATACTATGAGCTAATCTGAGGGTAAACAGTAAGAAATTTGTGTAAAAAGCAATCTTCTGCAACATACCATAAACAAGAAACAAATATGGCAGAAAAACACACAGTACAAACTTATCCTATGTGATAAGTGGTTTTATTTTCATCTTTCACATAAAAAACTCGAGGTTGTGAAAGTTAAGTAGTTTGTGTGAGACTATAAGCTTAGTAGAAGACTGAGCATTAGAACTTGAGTTTGCCTTCTGTAAAAGGAGAGGTAGCCTTCCTCCTAGGCTGCTGGAAGATTTCAGGGCAAACTACAGGAAGTGCCCCCTCAAATAGGACATGGCGATAGCTGGGCATCCTGTAGATCCTGCTGGAGCACTGCTCCATGGCACTAGGAAGCATGTGCATCGCATGTGAAATCGTCAATTGGTTTCCCTGCAGCACCTCTGTGATGCCTGACATGGGGACACAGGCCCAAAATGGGGGCACTGGCCTGGGGTTCCTCCACCTCTGATATACGCAGCATGAATACCCCTCACCCTAGTAGCGGGGGAGCAGAAAACAAAGCCAGACCTGTCCTAAAGTTTCAGAATGCAAGGGGGTTGTTTGTCTATATCCGCTTGTTGTCAGCAAGCTTCAAAATGCAGTCTTACTGGTTGCTGCTGTGGCGCGAGGGGTTAAAGCCCTGGTCTACAGAAGCGGCATCTCATATGGATGTCAGTTCAAGTCCTGGCTGCTCCACTTCTGATCCACCTCCCTGCTAATGCACCTGAGAAAGCAGCAGAAGACAGCCCAAGTGCTTGGGCCCCTGTACCGATGTGGGAGACCTGGAAGAGACTCCTGGCTTTGGATCAGCCCAGCTCCAGCCATTGTGGCCATTTGACAAGTGAACCAGCGGATGGAAGACTATTTCTCTAACTCTTTCAAATAAATAAAATAAATCTTAAAAACAACAAAATGCAGTCCTTATTCCTAGGTGATTACTATGCAGCTATGAAACACAAGAAAGTGTAAATCTTTACTTTTTAGCTTTTCAAAGAATCTCTGAAAAAAAAATCACATTAAACCAATGCCTACAAAAGCAGGTCTACCAGAACAAGTATGACAACTTTTAGTACAAAACAAAAAAAGAACTTGAGTTTGTTTATTCACAAATCCAAACTTAAAGCCATGAATTTACAGATATGATGCTCCCTCCAATATACTTATATTTAACTTCAGTTAATATTAACATAATAATAATCCAAAGTATAAGTAATGTCATATATAACTGAGAAGCTAATATTTACCTGTAAACTGATTCCAGTTTCTTCTCTACTTTTTTCACTCAAACTAGAAATAGTTGTATTTTGGCTTCCTTCTTCAAATGTAAGACTTCTGTTTGTCATAAGAGCACAACTTTTAATCAGAACATATTTTTTGGAAGCTTATGAATATGTATACAATAGACTTTTACAGAAAAACTAATGAAGGTTGCAGTTAAAACAGAATGAATAATTTATACTTCAAGACAGAATACCGCATATCTACGGTGGAGATGAAATTTGTGGATGCTAAATTTGTGAGTAAAAATTACATTTAAATAACAATCTCCCATATAGGGGAAAGCTACAGAACAAAAATGCTTATTTACAGAAACAGGCCTGTTCAAAAAATAGAGCACATGCCCCCACCTCTAACACAGTTCCTAAATATACTGTCAGTGGTTTTATCTGAAGTCCAAACTAATTAACAATCTGACACAACAAATAAGACTACAATAAGACACCATTTAGTATCTGATAAATTGACAAAATCTATGAAATCTGATAATATTAACTACTGAGAAGGAAGTAGATCAGTAGGATCCACTTACACCTGAGATTAACAAAAACAGTAAGTCAAAGTCAGGATTAGAACTCAGATTAGCTACTCCAAGGGTTTAGTTTCAAACCATGCTTTTATATATACGGTCCTCAGTTCTTCAAGTAACTTCAATCCTGAAAGCTAGAGTGTCTATAATAATAAAAGTCCAATTTATAAACAAACACTATCATAAGTAATAGTACTCTATTATTTACTATGAGTTTATTCCAGTTTCTTTACTTTTTTCATGCAAACTATAAATAGTTACACTTTGGCTCTCTTCTTCCAATGTAAGACTTCCTATTGATCTACTTCCTTAGCAACTACATTTCTGATAAATACACACTGGCTTAATTATTTAAAAAATTTTGCATTACCATATGATGTTGAAAATTTGCATAGCCTGAGACTAAGTAATTCTACAACATTATTTTTTTTTAAATATTTTATTTTATTTAAGAGGTAGAATTACAGACAGTGAGAGGCAGAGACAGAGAGAAAGGTCTTCCATCCACTGGTTTACTCCCCAAATGGCTGCAACGGCCAGAGCTGAGCCAAACCGAAGCCAGGAGCTTTTTCCAGGTTTCCCATATGGGTGCAGAGGCCCATGTGTTTGGGCCATCTTCTACTGCCTTCCCAGATCATAGCAGAGAGCTGGATCAGAAGTGCAACAGCCAGGACTAGATCCGGCGCCCATTTGGGATGCCTGTGGAGGATTAACCTACTGTGCCACAGAGCTGGCCCCACATGTCATTATTAACAGAAAGGATAATTACAGTATCTTCTACCAATGGCACAGTACATGGCAGCGACATATTAAAGAAACATCAGATGTTTAAGGTTGCAAACCAATACTTGTTCTTTAACCCTGTCTGGCAAACTTTGGAATTGTTTAAAAAAAATTACAGGCAATAACACTGAAAACCCATACTTTCTCAGGAATACGTTAATCAATAAAACAAAACTATACATGCATTCTGGAATACCTACCATGAGGACTTTTCCATTAAAGAATCTGAATATGAATTTTAAGAGAGTGGTTCATTTGCTTGACCTAACTGATGGTGTTGGTAAACTGTTGATCTTTATTTGGCCTACAGATAAACTCTGATTACTTTAAAGGCTAAGTTCACCTTTCTGAGCTACTGAAAAAAATTATCATTTCCTACACCTATATATTTCATCTGTTTGCCATCAGTTGGGATAAAAATATTTTCTTCTCTTTTACTGTCTTGGCTGTTTTCTGTTATTCAACATTATCAAGAACTTTAGTTATTGTATTCTCATGAGGGAATCAAGTTAAAGCACCTAGAAACACAGGTAGATAACAAAGAAATTAAACTTAGGTAGTCACAGAAAATAAATTAGTCATATAACATTCATATTCAACCAGTAAACTGGACCTTGATTAGTTGAGGAATTAGTGGTAAACCTAATCTGACTGAAAGTAAAGAATCAATCATGTGGACCAGCATGTATCCCAGCTGCTGCTCTTCCAAGGAGCTCTCTGCTTACAGCCTGGGAAAACAGTAGAAGATGGCTCAAGTGCTTGGGCCCCTGCATCCATGTGGGAAACCAAGAAGCAGCTCCTGGCTCCTGGTTTTGGATTGGCTCAGCTCCAGCAGTTGTGGTCATTTGGGGAAAGAACCAGTGGATTAAGACCTTTCACTTTTTCAGCAACTCTACCTCTCAAATAAATAAATAAAATATTTTTTCTCTTCTTTTTTTTTTTATTTAGTAAACATAAATTTCCAAAGTACAGTTTATGGATTACATTGGCTCCCCCCCCCCCATAATTTCCCTCCCACTCGCACCCCTCCCATCTCCCGCTCCCTCTCCCATTCCATTCACATCAAGATTCAATTTCAATTATCTTGATATACAGAAGATCGATTCAGTATATATACTAAGTAAAGATGTAATCAGTTTGCACCCACACAGAAACACAAAGTGTAAAAATACTGTTTCAGTACTAGTTATAGCATTACTTCACATTGGACAACACATTAAGGACAGATCCCACATGAGGAGTAAGTACACAGTGACTCCTGTGGTTGACTTAACAATTTGACACTCTTGTTTATGGCATCAGTAATCTCCCTAGGCTCTAGTCATGAGTTACCAAGGCTATGGAAGCCTTTTGGGTTCGCCGACTTCGATCTTATTCCGACAGGGTCATAGTCAAAGTGGAAGTTCTCTCCTCCCTTCAGAGAAAGGTACCTCCTTCTTTGATGGCCCTGTTCTTTCCACTGGGATCTCACTCGTGGAGATCTTTCATTTAGGTTTTCTTTTTTTCCCCAGAGTGTCTTGGCTTTCCATGCCTAAAATACCCTCATGGGCTTTTCAGCCAGATCCGAATGCCTTAAGGGCTGATTCTGAGGCCAGAGTGCTATTTAGGACATCTGCCATTCTATGAGTCTGCTGTGTATCCCGCTTCCCATGATGGATCGTTCTCTCCCTTTTTGATTCTATCAGCTAGTATTAGCAGACACTAGTCTTGTTTGTGCGATCCCTTTGACTCTTAGACCTATCAGTGTGATCAATTGTGAACTGAAGTTGATCACTTGGACTAGTAAGATGGCATTGGTACATGCCACCTTGATGGGATTGCATTGGAATCCCCTGGCACGTTTCTAACTCCACCATTTGGGGCAAGTCCGATTGAGCAAGTCCCAATTGTACATCTCCTCCCTCTCTTATTCCCACTCTTATATTTAACAGGGATCACTTTTCAGTTAAAATTTAACATTATTATTATTATTATTATTATTTAATATTTATTAATAAATAAAATCTTTAAAAAATCATTAGAAAAATATTTAATAGTAGTTAACGGAAATCCAGAGAAAAACAAGTATGGTCTTTGTCTTCCAGAAGCTTCTTATCTATATAATTTTTATAACACATAAATTAAAAACATTCTTATTTATTTCAGAGGACAAATACTTCTTTTAAGAATGTATTATTTCTGGGGCCTATGCTGTGGCTCACTTGGTTAATCCTCTGCCTTTGGCGCTGGCATCCCATATGGGCGCCGGGTTCTAGTCCCGGTTGCTCCTCTTCCAGTCCAGCTCTCTGCTGTGGCCAGGGAGGGCAGTGGAGGATGGCCCAAGTGCTTGGGCCCCTGCACCTGCATGGGAGACCAGGAAGAGGCACCTGGTTCCTAACTTTGGATTGGTGTAGCGCCAGCTGTAGTAGCCATTTGGGGAGTGAACCAATGGAGGGAGGACCTTTGTCTCTGTCTCTCTCTGTCTACAACTCTACCTGTCAAATAAATAAATTTAAAAAAAAATTTTTAAATGTATTATTTCACTTTAAAACAGAATCTTTCTTTCTAAAATGTCTTTTCAATGGGAGACCCGGACAAAAGCAATCTTTATTATATACCTTTACTGACACAATGTCAATAACAATTTAAAAACTGGCAACTCTAAATTCTATTACCTTTTCTCTTGATCATCCAGGCTTTTCTTATCTGCATAGATTTCCGCATACAGTAGTGCTGTAAAGTGAGCAGCACAAGACTGAGCTACCTTGGCAACCTCTAGATAATTAAAATCCAGCCAGAAAGCATCATCAAAAACTGTTCCTATAGAGGGTCTGAAGAGAAATTAAACACAATGTAATTCCATTTTTTTAACCTCAATATAAAAAAAAATTACACCGACATTATGAGTGTACTTCAAAAGACTTGTGATAAATGGAATTAAAAGATTGGTTTAATTTGGTTCAAAATATTTTTGAAATCCAAGCACATGCAGTCTTCAAAAAGTTCATGGAAAATACATGTTATAAAAAAACTATGCAAGGATCTTGCTTGCAAATGGGTGCTGATTTGTGTCCCAGCTATTCTATTTCTATCTGGCTCCCTGCTAATGACTTGGAGAAAGCAGCAGAAGATGGCCCAAGTGTTTGGGCCCCTAACCATCCATATGGGAGACCTGGATGAAGCTCCTGGGTCGTGAAATGGCCAACGATCTATGTCTCTCTCTCTCTTTCAAAATTAATGAATTTTTTTAAAAGAAGGGTAACACAACTAAGAATAACTTCAAAAATCACTTGCTCCTTTCCCAACATTTTATAGATAAATTAAATCACTGAAAGGTGCATTATTTAGTAAAGATAACACTGTTACTGGGACAAGAACTAAGAGTTCCTGACACTGATTTTAACCAAAGAACAACCCTAAATATGGATTATTCAAAGGAGATATAAGCATAACACAAATTAAATATAACACTTCACAGCAGCTTCACCTAAAATAATCACATTAAAATTCAGCAAGCAATAACAAGTTATACTTCTAAATCCCCAAGTTTTGGAAGCAACATTTATTACAATACCTCTTTTGTCTTCTCATATAGTCTACAACAGCAAGCATTGTTCTTTGGGATTTTTTATCCACACAACATCGGAAAAAATGCTCTGAATCTGACAAACAAACAAAGATATCTCCTCTCAGTCCAAGCAGACTTGCTTAAGCATGTCTTCCTTCTCATTAATATATTAGTCTCACTCTAAACTGCAAAGTTCTGTACAAAGTACTCAGCATGAAAATGGTTCTTAATAAATATGAATGGACAAATGAAATTTAATGGCATGTCTTGTCCTTCAAAAATAATTACACTTGTTAAACCTGAGAATTACAATGTAATTCATATTTTATTTCTGAGACAGACTAATTCACTGATCTAACATATTGTAGGATCTTTTATGTGCTACTGGTCAGTACACACCAGAAATAAGACACACTGCTTCTGATCACACAGAATTTACTACTAAGAGTGCAATGGGAGACTTAAATGAAAAGTGTGGTAGGCGTGATGACAGGTAAAGTCTAGGCGGCTGTTGAGTCATATGGAAGGGACCTGATCTGGACAAGAAAAGGAATACCTTGGGGTCGGCGCTATGGTGTAGCAGGTAAAGCTGCTGCCTGCAGTGCCGGCATCCCATATGAGCACCAGTTCAAGTCCTGGCTGCTCCACTTCCAATCCAGCTCTCTGCTATGGCCTGGGAAGCAGCAGAAGATGGCCCAAGTCCTTGGGCCCCTGCACCCACGTGGGAGACCTGGAAGAAGCTCCTGGCTCCTGGCTTCGAATCAGCACAGTTCCAGCCATTGCGGCCAATTGGGGAGTGAACCAGAGGATGGAAGATCCCCCCCCGCTGCCACCTCTCCTTCTCTCTGTCTGTAACTCTGACTCTCAAATAAATAAACATTCAAAAAAAAAAAAAAAGGAATACCTGAAACAATAGTAATGATAAGAAAAGTACAAAGGACAACGACTCAGAGATGGATGCAAACAAGAAAGAACCTGGAGAACTTAATGAAAGATTTTTTTTTTTTTTTTTGGACAGGCAGAGTTAGAGAGAGAGAGAGACAGAGAGAAAGGTCTTCCTTTCCGTTGGTTCACCCTCCAAATGGCCACTACGGCCAGCGCGCTGCGGCCAGCGCACTGCAGTGATCTAAAGCCAGGAGCCAGGTGCCTCTTCCTGGTCTCCCATGCAGGTGCAGGGCCCAAGGACTTGGGCCATCTTCCACTGCTCTCCCGGGCCACAGCAGAGAGCTACTTGGAACTGGAAGGAGGAACAAACTGGGGACAGAATTCCAGCCACCCCCAACCAGGACTAGAACCCAGAGTACTGGCGGCGCAGGTGGAGGATTAGCCAAGTGAGCCACGGCGCCGGCCTTAATGAAATATTTTCAACCATGCTGAATTAGGAGCTGAACATGAATGCTGGGGATAGAAAGAAATAGGTAGACTAAAAGGTTTTATAAAATAGTATCAGAGGGGTTGGCGCTGTGGTGTAGTGGGTTAAGCCACCGCCTGCAGCAACCCTTATGGGCACTGGTTTGAGACCCAGCTGCTCCACTTCCGATAGCTCTCTGCTATGGCCTGGGAAAGCAGTAGAAGATGGCCCAACTCCTTGGGCCCCTGCACCCGTGTGGAGACCAGGAAAAGGATCCTGGCTTCTGGCTTCGGATCAGCATAGCTCCAGCCATTGCAGCCAATTGGAGGGTGAACCATCAGATGGAAGACCTCTCTCTCTCTGCCACTCCTTCTTTGTGTAACTCTCTCAAATAAATAAATAAATATTTTTTAAAAAATAAATCTTTAAAAAACAACAACAAAAAAAACCAGAATTAGAGGGGCTGGCTTTGTGACACAGCAGGTGAAGCCACCACCTGTGATGCCTGAATCTCGAATCAGAGTACCACTTTAAGTCCTAGCTACTCTGCTTCTAATCAAGCTCCTTGCTAATGTGTCTCTGAAAGCAATGAAAGATGTTCCAAGTATCTGGGCCCCTGCCACCTATGTGTAAACCCAGATGGAGTTCCTGGCTGCTGGCCTTGGCTTGGCCCACCCTAGCTTTTACAGCCACTTGAGGAATGAACCAACAGACAGAAAATCTATTTCTTACACTCTCTACCTCTTGCTATGTAATTGCCTTTCAAATAAAGAAATTAAAAAAAAAAAAGACTTAGAAAGATTTGGTATTTTTTATTTATTTTTTATTTTTTGACAGGCAGAGTGGACAGTGAGAGAGACAGAGAGAGAAACAGAGAGAAAGGTCTTCCTTTTGCCATTGGTTCACCCTCCAATGGCCGCCATGGCCAGCATGCTGCGGCCGTGCACCGCGCTGATCCGAAGCCAGGAGCCAGGTGCTTCTCCTGGTCTCCAATGCGGGTGCAGGGCCCAAGGACTTGAGACATCCTCCACTGCACTCCTGGGCCACAGCAGAGAGCTGGCCTGGAAGAAGGGCAACCGGGACAGAATCAGGCGCCCCGACTGGGACTAGAACCAGGTGTGCCGGAGCCGCAGGCGGAGGATTAGCCTATTGAGCCGAGGCACTGGCCAAGATTTGGTATTAAAATGACAGAAGGAACTGAATGCCAATCACTGAAGAGCTACACATTAAAACAAATAGGACAAGAGCAAGAGACAAAGACAAGGTTAAGTTTACCTTCGGACACCTGAGTTTGAGATGCACTTTGGACATTCAAGTGAAGGCAGTAAATCATATTGACAACAGAAAATATATATACCACTTAAATTTTATAACTTTCTCTCAAAGTAATAAAATATTAGCACTTTACACAGATATAAAACTGGATGATTTGGGCTAGAAAGTGGCAAAGTGGGGTAAGCAGCCACCGGCAATGTCAGCATCCCATATGGGCAACAGTTCCAAGACCAGGCTGCTCAACTTCCAATCCAATTTCGCTGGTAATAAGCCTGGGAAAGCAGTGGGATATGGCCCAGGTACTGGGGCCCTGCAATCATGTGGGTGACCAAGAAGTTCCTGGTTCCTGCCTCCAGGCTGGCCCAACTCTGGCCATTGTGTCCATCTGGGAGGTAAGTTAGTGGATGGAAGATCTCTCCTTCTCTCTAACACTGTCTTTCAAATAAACAAATCTTTTTAAAAATATCTAGGTTTGGGGCCAGCACTGTGGCATATTGCCATATAAAAGCCACCGCCTGCAGTGATGGCATCCAATATGGGTGCCAGTTCGAGTCCCAGTTGCTCCACTTCCCATCCAGCTCCCTGTTAATGGCTTTGGAAAGCAGAGGAAGATGGCTCAATTCTATAGGTCTCTGCAACCATGTGGGAGACCCAGAAAAAGCTCCTGGCTCCTGACTTCAGATTGGCTCAGCTCCGGCCATTGCGGCCATTTGGGGAATGAACCAGTGGATGGAAGATGTCTCTGCCTCTGCCTCTCTGTAACTCTGCCTTTCAAATAAATAAATCTTTTTTAAAAATGCAGGTTTCGAAAACTGGTAAGAGTCCTTAATTATACATATATGTATTATGTGTGTGAAAGTTGTGCTGGAATTTGTCTACTAAGTTCTAAGCATAGGAAATGCCCATTACAAGTAAGTACCACAGAATAAAAATAAGTTATAACAGTAAAAAAAAAAAAGCACAATTCAAATCTTTTTTTTAATTGGAAGAATAAATGCCAAAGTTAACTGTAGTTATTCTCAGACTGTAGGAATATGGATAGTTTTAAAAAAACTTAGGCAAGTTTTCTGTATTTTCCACAATAAATACACACATCTTAAAATAAAGGTTTCATTTAAAACAAGTTTGTTGGGAGCCGGTACTGTGGCTTAGCAGGTAAAGCTGCCACCACCTGCAACATCAGAATCTATATGGGCACTAGTTTGAGTTCCAGCTACTCCACTTTCAATCCAGCTCCCTGCTAATGCACCTGGGAGAGAAGCAGATCATGGCCCAAATGCTTGGGCCCCTGTAGCCACAATCGAGACCAGGAAGAAGCTCCTAGCTTCGGCCTGGTCCAGCCTCAATCATTGCAGCCATTTGCGGAACTGACCCAGAATACAGAAGTTCTATCTCTCTCTTTCTCCCCCGACCCATAACTCTGCCTTCAAACAAATAAAATAAATTAAAACAAAAAAAAAGTCAGGGCTCTGAAAACATGAAAATTCCACCATGTCTCAATCATGGTATCCAAAATATTTGATGGCATTTATTTGGGTAATTTTTCCATGGCTAAAATGTGGAATCTATCTTGTCCACATTCATATTGACAATGACAAGTACAGTGCTGACACATACTAAATGTTCAATGTTAACCCATTATTTTTAATAATTTACTGATGAAGCATTAAAAGTCCAATTATTACCTTAGGTGCTTTATATACAATATTTCATTAAAACTTGTTATAATGTTTATCTCCTTTCTACAGATGAGGCAACATAAAGTCACAGGTTACAGAACTAAGCTTGTCTTTGACAGGATTTAAACTTAAATCTTACCCTTCTACAGTAGTGAGAAGTTAAAAGTAATGGCAGAAACTTATCAGAATACCTGAATCCAAATTTGCAGGTGTTGTGGATCGGCTGGTTTGTGAGTTGTGTCTAAAACAGCTGGTGAAAAATCCCTGAATATGTGCAGAAAGCAGATTTCTCCATGACTCATTTGTATCTTGGAGTAAAATATCATGAATCAAGTAAGGAAGCACAGTCTGACAAAAGTCAGTTTTTACCTAGAATATACAAAATATATAAACTCAACAACTGGAGTAAAATTAGCACATTTAATTTTAAAAATTCCATTTCCTATTACTGACATAATACTTACTAGCTTAATCCTGTGCCCCAATGCCCTCCCCAATTACATAGTTTAACACTGTATGAAAAACAGATTTAAGGGGGCCAGCACTGTGGCATAGAAAGGTAAGCCTCCACCTGCAGTATGGGTGCAGGTTTAAGTCCTGGATGCTCCACATCCAGCTGCCTGCTGGTGTGTCTGGGAAAGAGTGGAGGACAGTGAAAGTGCTTGGGCCTCTGCACCCATGTGGGAGTTCCAGAGGAAGCTCTTGGCTCCTAGCTTTGGCCTGGACCAACCCTGGCTGCTGAGGCCATCTGGGGAGTACGCCAGAGGAGAGGAGATCTCTCTTTCCTCAATCCTTCTCTTTCCGTATCTATAGTTTTCAAACAAATAAATAAACCTTTAAAGAAAAAAAAAACATTTAAGACAATAAAATCTACCATAAGTTTAAGAATAAACAACATCTTAAAGCATTTTTCATAATCAGCTAACAGCTACAATAATTGTGTAAAAACGCTTCTTTTTGCGTTTAATTTTTACTTATTTGACAAGTAGAGAAATACAGAGAGAGAGAGAAAACAAAAAACAAAAAACAAAAAACAAAGAGAACTCCCAATTGTCGGCTCAATCTTTAAATGACCACAATGGCTGCAGCTAGGCCAAGGCAAAAGTCAGGAGCTCCGAACTTAATCTAAGTCTCCCATGTTGGTGGCAGGAACCCAAACACTTGAGTCATCATCAGTGCCTCCCAATGTCTGCATTAGTGCAATGCTGAAATCAGGAGCTGGAGCTGGGAATCAGATCCATGTACTCCTAGCCCGCATGGTTTGCCAGGCCAAATACCTTCTACCAAACTTTACTTTTTAATAAACCTCAATTTCTGAGTATAGAATTTGGATAATTATTTCTGGTATGCTTCAAACAACAGAAAAGTATATTAATACATATTCATATGTATATTCAATATATAATATATATTATGCCTATAATATACCTATAAGTAGATATATTAAAACAGTCCTTTTGCATTCACCACACTCCACATTTGTTAAATGGATGAATCATCATACTCCATATTGATGACATTTATCACACTCCACACCAACATGACATTATAGCTTATTACTAGCATACTTTTTCCTCTTTAAATAAAGGCAAATCAAAAAGCCAGTTTAGGAACTAGAGAATTCCCACTAGTAGGAACAGGAGCATATTTATATTATATTTAGAACATTTTATTCACCTTCTAAGTCTTGGCTTTGTTCCCTGAGAAACAAGTTGTGTATATTTTTGAGGTTTTCAATATGTGTGCTATACCAAAATACTTCTCAAAATTTGTAACCGGCAGATGTTTCACCTAGGCAGATACTGTGTTTTCACAGTGCTATAAATTAACTTTGAAAATCTTAGAGTACCATATTGTGCTGCTTTGGACAACACATTTGATAAAAGTATAAATTTTTAAATTTGGTACATCCTTTTATTCTTTATCCAAAGAGATTGTATTGTAACTTCAGAATTTAAAAAGCTATGCTAAATAGCTATCCTAACCTTCTTCTCACTCAAGAAAGCTTATGAGGTGAGGGTATGGTTGCTGAGCAGTTGAGATATAAGTTAAAATGTTCATATCTCATAACAGAAAGCCTAGGTACCATACCCATCTCTGGCTCCTGAACTTCAGTTTCCTACAAATGTAGAAGTTGGGAGGCAGCAATGATGGTTCAAGCAGTTGAGGGTTCCTGCCAGCCACATGAAGACTAAGGTTCAGTCACAAGCATTTGGGGGTTGAAGCAGCGAGTAACAACTTTATCTACAAAATACATAATATTTTTTCTATGTTAAAAAGCCAACAATAGGGACCGGCACTGTGGTGTAGTGGGTAAAGCTGCCGCCTGTAGTGTCAGCATCCCATACGCTGGTTTGAGTCCCAGCTGCTTCACTTCTGATCCAGCTTTCTGCTATGGCCTGGGAAAGCTGTAGAAGATGGCCCAAGTTCTTGGGCCCATACACCAGCTACTTCACTTTAATTTTGCCTTTCAAATAAATAAATGTTTAAAAAATATTTTAAAAGCCAACAATATAAAGGAGACACTAGCAAAAATAAGTTGGTGACCTTTTCAGAAAAAAAATAAAATAAGAGCAGCCTTTTGGTTAACCCAACCAAAATAACCAGTATCTATTATCCAACGTGTTGTTACCACAAACTGAAAATCTACTGCACAAAGTTGCAACTAAACAAAGGTGCCAATTGTGCTGGATTACGACAGCTGAAAGATGATGTGCCACCTCTGGCCTCAGAATCAGCCCTTAAGGCATTTGGATCTGGCTGAAGAGCCCATGAGAGTATTTTAGGCATGGAAAGCCAAGACACTCGGGGGTGGGGTGGGGTGGGGGGAGAAGACCTAAATGAAAGATCTCTGCGAGTGTGCGAGTGAGATCCCAGTGGAAAGAACAGGGCCATCAAAGAAGCAGGTACCTTTCTCTGAAGGGAGGAGAGAACTTCCACTTTGACTATGACCCTGTCGGAATAAGATCGAAGTCGGCGAACCCAAAAGGCTTCCATAGCCTTGGTAACTCATGACTAGAGCCTAGGGAGATTACTGATGCCATAAACAAGAGTGTCAAATTGTTAAGTCAACCACAGGAGTCACTGTGTACTTACTCCTCATGTGGGATCTGTCCTTAATGTGTTGTCCAATGTGAAGTAATGCTATAACTAGTACTGAAACAGTATTTTTACACTTTGTGTTTCTGTGTGGGTGCAAACTGATTACATCTTTACTTAGTATATATACTGAATCGATCTTCTATATATCAAGATAATTGAAATTGAATCTTGATGTGAATGGAATGGGAGAGGGAGCGGGAGATGGGAGGGGTGCGAGTGGGAGGGAAATTATGGGGGGGGAAGCCAATGTAATCCATAAACTGTACTTTGGAAATTTATGTTTACTAAATAAAAAAAAAAAGATGATGTGCCACACACAGCACTCTTTTTAGATGGATAGGTCGCAAACATATACATAGAAGCGCTATGGAATGAGGAAATCAAATCAAATGAATTAAATCTTCTTACTTCACACATTGGCTTTAATAATTGAAGAATTTCACTTTTTATGCCCCCACTGTCCAAAAGAGCACACGTTAGTGTCTTTATCCAAATGTCATGATTTTCACTTTGAGGAATCCATAGACTTGTATCATCCAAGCTTTCTAAAGGGCTTTCTTTGTCAGGTCTGGGAACTTCTAAAAACTATAAAAAAAGGGATCAGAAAATACAATTAAGAGAATTGGGATATCATTTTACTTTTCCTGTGTAAAACAAATAAATAGACACAAAGAAGTCTGTTTCCAAATACAACTAAAAACAGTTAAACTGAAATGTGGAGGCAATAGTTAGCTTACAAAATTAAAATATATTTGTGTTTATAGGACCAGCACAGTAAAATAATCAATTACTGGTCTAGGCAGCAGGAAACTTGGTTTCTAGTCTCATATCTGTCATTGACTAGTAGTATGTTACACAAATCACAATCCCTAATTCATGAAAACAAAATACTAAAGAGGAATGCTTATTATACTAAGTGATGAGGGGCAAGGCTTATTAAACATCGTTCATAAAGCATTTTCAGTGGAACCTTGTTAGGATATCCACATGGAGAAAGAAATCAGTAGGACATCTAGTTAATTAGGACATTGTGATTCAGGAATGTACTATGAAGATAAACACTGGCTTGTTGATGACAATACCTATAAACTATACGTTGGGTCAACAGCTTTCTTGGAATCAAAGCAAGGGTTTTCTATTGCTAAGAAAAAAAATCTCATCTTTAATAATGTCCCCTCTCCCGAAATCAACATCACTTCTCCAACTTACCTATCTCAGCTTTTACATACTGCCATAATAAAAGAGTAATAAATCCCCTGGATTCATTAAGAGCAGTTAAAACTATTTCTAGGAAAGGTAAAATGTTAGTAAAATTAAGCAATTTGATAACTCACATCAAATAGAATCAATCTATATATATATATAGTTTATTCAAAACACACTTATTATTTAACAGACCTTTTTTCTCGATGTCCTGAAAGGTTGTAAATAGATCAGCATGGGGTCAGTCGACATCTTATAAACCTCCCAGAAACTGTGTCCAGTTTTTGTGGCTAAAATATTTTTCAAACAGGTAGCAGCAGCTGATCGAACTCTGACACTGAAAAACACATACAATTCAAATGCCTATAAAGACTATCAGTTATTAATTTTGACATTTAAGCAACCTCTACTGAAACATTTTAAAACTAAAAGTGGAAATTAATTTTACCATTATAAAATTCTATAACATCAAAGTGATAATTTGATTAAATTATCAAAGGATCTTTAAGATTCTTTCAGTAAAACCAATCTACTAATACAACAATTCCCTTCATTTACTAGAAAAGTTTACATTTTGACTGTTATACATTCAAAGAATTTATAAAAAGAATTATGTGAAAATAACACAGCCTAATAAACATGAGTTGTAAGAACATCAGAATCTTTAATCACTTGAGAAAACAGTATTTTGATAATATTTTCTCTGGGTACTACAAATAATTTGGGATGAGGCAGAATGGCAGTCATTAGGTAAGGCATCTAAAACAGCTAATAAAAATTAAGGTCCTTCTCTCTCTTTTTTAAGATTTATTTATTTGTTTGAAAGGCAGAGTTACAGAGAGGCACGGTGGGGGGGGGGAAAAAGTGGGGGGGGGAAGAGGGGACGGAGATATCGAGAGAAGAGGAAACCCGAAAAAGATAAAAAAGGGGGAGAAAAAGGGAAGGTGGGGGGGGAAAGATTTTCCCCACCCCCCGGGCCCTCCCCCCAGAGGGCCGCAAAAGCCCAGAAGTTGCTGGTTCGAAAGCGGGGGGCTTCCTAAGCCTCTTCCGGGTGGTGGCAAGGGCCCATGGACTTGGGCCATCTTCTACTGCTTTTCCAGTCCAGAGCAGAGAGCTGCATCAGAAGTGGAGCAGCTGGGACATGGGACGTGAACCAGCACCCATATGGGCTGCTGGCACTGCTGGCAGCAGCTTTACCTGCTGTATCACAGAGCTGGCCCTTACAAAAAATTAGTAAGAGAAAGGCTTCAACAGAAGCATAATGGAAATGACAGCTGATCAAAAATGTCAAACATACACACTAAACCTGAATTCATCCTTCAATCCTCCAAATCCAATTCATCAGCAAGTCCTGCTGGCTCTGTGTTAAAAACACATACTAGGGGCTTGCATTCTGGTATAGTGAGCAAAGTTGCTGCCTGCAGCATCAGCATCCTACATTAGAGTGCCGGCTGGAATCCTGGCTGCTCCACTTCCTATCTAGCTCCCTGCTAATGTACCTGGGAGAGCAGCAGAAGATGGCCCAACTGCTGGTGCTCCTGCCACCCAGGTGGGGAGACCCAAATGGAACTCTGCACTCTTGGCTTCAGCCTGAACCAGCACCAGGTGTTGGGTCCATTTGGGGAGTGAACCTGTGGATAGAAGCTGTCACTTTTTCTGTCACTCATCCCATCAAATAAATCAATCTTTAAAAAAAAAAAAAAAAAGACATATACTGGTTCCCTCAAATGTGTCTCATCTCCATGAATACCAACTTAATTCAAGTCACCATCAGTGCATCATTTCTATTCTGGACTACCACAATAGTTTCATAATCAATCCTCCTGCTTCCACTTTTGCCTCTTCACAATGCTTTTGCCATATAAAGGCCTAAGCAAACTGGCTAAGTTGTATCATGACAGTATTAAAATCCCATGGCTTTATTGTGTTTCAATTAAAAATCCAAATTCTCAGATTTATACCCTCCCTATTTGTTTTTGATATTTATTTGAAAGAGTTACAGAGAGAAGAAGAGAGAGAGAGAGAGATTGAGCGAGAGAGAGAGAGAGATCTTCCATTTGCTGGTTCACTGTCAATTGGATTCAACAACCAGAACCGGGCCAGTCCAAAGACAGGAGCCAGGAGATTCTTCCGGGTCTCCCACATGATGCAGAGGCCCAAAAACTTGCGCCATCCTCCAATGCTTTCCTGGGTACATTAGCAGGGAGCTGGATCAGAAGTGGAGCAGCTGAGACTTGAACTGGCCACCATACAAAGGGTCTTAGATCCTTCCTTTCTAATTTTATCTCCTACCACCTTCCTTCACACCAGGCTTATTTTGGTTTCTCAAACACACACCAAGCTTATTTCCACTCTAGCTATTAACCATCTAAAACTCTTTACCCCTAACCATCTCACAGCTGATTCCTGATCACTCAGTTAAGATAGCACTTTCTCAAAGAAGCCCGCCCTGACCACCTATTCTGAGAATCATTTGGCCAGCCTTTTTCTTTGTACATTTAAGCCTCTTAAGTAACTAATGATCTTTTTTCCTTTTAAAGAAAGAAAAATTAATTTTAAGTCACAGTAAGAATCTTCATGTACCTTTTTGTAAAAAAAAAAATTTCAAATTACTATTTGACAAAATATTTAACAGTTGTTTATTTTTTGTGAAAAATGTCTCTTCAAAAACTGCCAAATACACTTGAAATACGTTATCAAAGTGAGTTAGATTGAGAGTAAGCCTTTGGCTTAGTGGTTAAGATACTCATGATGCCTCATCAGTGGAGCTGGTCTCTATCACCAGCTACAACTCTTAACTTCAGCTTCCTGCTACTGCAGATCATGAGAAGCAGCGGTTATGTCTCAATTAACTGAGCCACCTCACCCACAGACTGTATTCTCAGATCAAGTTTCAGCCTCAGCCGTTGTTTGCATGTGGAGAGTGAAGTAGCAAATAGGAGTTCTGTCTGTCTCTTAAATAAATTACAACTTTGGGGCCAGCAGCATAGCATAATAGATTACACCTCTGCCTGTGGCACCAGCATCACATATGGGCATCGGTTCTTGTCCCGGCTGCTCCTCTTCCAATCCAGCTTTCCCTAATGGCCTGGGAAAACAGCGGAAGATGGCCCAAATGCTTTGGTCCCTGCACCTACATGGGAGACCCAGAAGAAGCTCCTGGCTCCTGCCTTCAGATCGGCCCAGCTCTGGACATTGAGGCCATTTGGGGAGTGAACGAGTGGATGGAAGACCTTTGTCTCTTCTGCTCTCTGTCTGTAACTCTACCTCTCAAATATATAAATAAATAAATATTTAAAAATTACAACTTTTATAGAAGTGATAAAAATAGTAAAATGTTAACAGTACAATTTCAATGCTGAGAACAATGGTGTTCACTGTCAAATTCTTGCAACTATGCTGTATGTTCGAAAATTTTTAGAATAAAAGTTTGGAAAATAAATCATACCAACCTCTTAAAGAAATAAAAACAAAACCAAAGGAGAAAAACATAAATCTAGTAAATCCATTAGGAAATCATGGCAGGTAGATGCTAATGTCATTTATTCTATTCTCCAAGAAAAGAAGAAGAGGGAGATAGGGCAGACGAAGTCAAAACAAATTTATCATAGAAAGATGCCTGGTTGTAGAAAAAAACCTTTGAACTTTCTCCCTAAAAATGGCTGTATTGGGATACATAAATATATCAATAAATCACCCAACCCATCCATAAGGGGGAGAGAGAAAGCAAGCAAAAGTAATCTCACAACTAACAAGCTGAAATTTCAATAATATCAGTCACAATTTTGTTTTGCACCGAACATGAAAATGCAATATAAAACATCTGATTGGCTTAAGATTTTGGGGACTAAAATAACTCTTAGCTAGAGGAGGGTGAGACCTTTGATTTTGACAAGTAGCTAAAATATTCCTTTTTTTAAAAAAAATTCATTTATTGTATTTGAAAGGCAAGTTACATGGAGAAAAGGAGAGAGAGAGAGAGAGAGAGAGAGAGAGTGTGTGTGTGTGTGTGTGTGAGTCTTCCAGCCACTGGTTTACTCCCCAAATGGCCTCAGGGCTGGGCCAGACTGAAGCCTGGAGCCAAGACCTCATCTGGGTCTCCCACATGGGTGCAGGACCCAAACACTTGGGCCATCTTCAGCTGCTTTTCCTGGTGTGTTCGCAGTGAGCTGGATAGGAAGTGGAGCAGCTGGGAGCTGAACCAGTGTCCATAGGGGATACCGGCGCCACAGGTAGTTTAACTCGTTGCACCACAGCACCAGCCCCTAAAACATTCTTCTTTATATTCCATCTCAATTTTCTGTGTAGAACCATCTGGTATTTTCTTATTTACTGTTTATCTGGCTAGTCTAATCTCATTACAATTTAATAGGGATCTTGTCTGGTACATGGCAGAACTGGTGATTTTGTGAGCTAATAAAAAAACAAGCATTTTTATTGAAATACTTGATTTAAAAACAAGTATACAAATTTAAAAAAGTTTTAGTTGTAAGAAATATAAATTTACATGAACTATCATTCTCTTTGAAGGGCAGATAAAGTGTGATCAGACATTCAAGTATGAATAAATACTCACCAGTCTTCTACCAGTGTATTATTCAGGTAGGTCAGTATTATTAAGGTCCAACAAAGTTCTTTATCTTCAAATAATTTAAAGGCCTTAGTATAAGATGTATCTTTATTATGCTGTATAGCAATGGTGGAGAAATCTATAGGACCCAGTTCTCCTAAGCAGCTTCCAACAGCTTCTGCATACATAAATTCCATTTCAGTAGAATAATAGCTAAGAGATTATACACAAAAAAGCAATTGTCTGATTTCAAAAATATAATGCTGTTTGTCAGGCTTCAAGTGTGTTTTCAAAAATTTTGAGATTAACAAAGCTAAAAAATACTTTATAAACCATCTATCAAGGCAATATTTTCCTCTATAGAATCATATCTAGGAGACAGACTAGCAAGCAACAGAATTTAGATATTAAAAAAAAGAATTTAGATATTAAGGATGAAAGCCTAAATACGGCCACTATGAGAATTACAATCTTAAAATTGAAATTTGAGGTATTACCACATAAAGCTGATAAACACATTATTCAGTAAAAATGTATGTACACATATATACTGTTTTTCCACCTGTTCTCTCTCTACTCAGATGAAAATACACCATTTTCAGGATTCCAGAGAACCCCTTGTACTCTTTTCTACCCACAGTGGAATATAATAAAAAATGTCCACAAATTCTTTGATAGTCTTCCCTTATAAGATGAATTCTGATTTCCATCCCTCTGAATGAGCGATGTACTTAGAGACTTTTAATGAACAGATGTGTGTAAATCTTTCACCTCCTTAATTATTCTTGGGTACTTATTTCTTTTAGATGCAATTCTAAATGGAGTTGCTTTCCTAATTTAATTTAAAATTTTTCTTTGCTAATAAATAAACACACAACTAATTTTTATGTGGTGATCTAGTACCCCACAACTTTGTGGAATTTATTAGTTCCATAGTACCTTTCTATAGGTTATTCAGGATTTTCTACAGAGAACCATGTCATCTATGAGCAGAGACAGTTTTACTCCCTTTCCAATTTGGATGCTTTTAATTTCTTTTTCTTATTTAATTTCGTCATAGCAGTGACGAAAGTGAGCCACCTTGTCTTACTCCTGATCTTATGAGGCAGGCTTTCAGTCTTTCAACACTGGGTATGAAGTTAGCTGCATCGACAACTATGATTTTATACTACACAGAAAAGTCACTTCAGCCTCCTACAGCAAATCAGGTTTATCCCTAGAAGCAGGTGGGTTTCCATTAACTGGTGTGGGTAGTAGATGCACAGTTATGTTTTGCCTGTGCACATTCTTCTTGCCATATACTTTACAGCTATATACTTTTTTATATATACATCTCCAAAAAATCTACAAAAAAGAAGTAACAAGATAGTAGGCTCCTACTGTGAAGTAAAGGAGGACTCTGTTGGAAAAAAAAACCAGAATCTGTAAGGCATAAGTTATAACTGCCATTGCCATTTTTCTTATTTGAAACAATGCTATCACAACAGCTTCAAGTTGATTTTGTGATTTTTCCATCCTGCAATTACCAAATCCTAATGCCTATATTAGACATGATGTTGTCTATTTATCTTACATTAGGTTTCATCTCAATGACAAAACTACTTAAATGCTTTAATATGTGAGTTTAATTTAACCCTCCAGGTCTTCATTTTAAATATTGCATTGAAAAGACATCAAGTTTCACTTAAATTTACTTACATATATCAAAAGCCAATTTATTTGTATCTTAATTCACCAAAAATATATTTCTGACCTTTCTAAATATATACAAAATATTCTCAAGTTGCTACTTACGTACATGTAAAAGTCACTAACTATTCATTTTATAGAAATAGTTAAAGAAAGAAAACATGAAAGGGAGCTAATTACAGTTGTTTCAATTAGAAAGAAATGTTAGCATCTCATATTTCCCCAACATCCCAAATGGCAAACTTTTACTTACTTAGAAGATATAAAGACGACTACACAAACACAGAAAATTCACATTCATTAAGACAAATAGTTTACCTAAAACTTCTCTTTCACCAGTGTGGTTTACTGCCGTCTTGGACAAATGCAACAAGGTGATAACCAGCTTCACCATAATACCATCTTTTGGGTTATCTAGTAGTAATTTTGAAAAAATTAAGATTATCATAGAGAATTTTTGGATTATAGTACACAAACACAATAACTTAGATGACTATAACATTTTTATGAAATTTAAAAGAGGTTTTAGGTTATTAGTAGTCCGAAAAATACTCTGAATGGATCTCAATTTCCTTATGAAACGTAACAATATGGAGATGTTTCCAACACTGGGCAGAGAAAAATGTCATCAATAAACCGGACAGAGAAATCATGAAACTCAGCAAAATCAGAAATGCAAGGGCCGGCGCCGCGGCTCACTAGGCTGATCCTCCGTCTTGTGGCGCCGGCACACCGGGTTCCGGGTTCTAGTCCCGGTCAGGGCGCCGGATTCTGTCCCGGTTGCCCCTCTTCCAGGCCAGCTCTCTGCTGTGGCCAGGGAGTGCAGTGGAGGATGGCCCAAGTCCTTGGGCCCTGCACCTCATGGGAGACCAGGATAAGTACCTGGCTCCTGCCATCGGATCAGCGCGGTGCGCTGGCCGCAGCGCGCTGGCCACGGCAGCCATTGGAGGGTGAACCAACGGCAAAGGAAGACCTTTCTCTCTGTCTCTCTCTCTCACTGTCCACTCTGCCTGCCTGTCAAAAAAAAAAAAAAAAAAAGGAAATGCAAGAATCATTCAACACTAAAGTTAGAAAGGACCTTATGAGTTTTTTAATATCTAACATTCAGAGACTAGACCAGCATGATCAAATAGAACTTTGCGATGATGGAAATGTCTATAATGCCTGATGTCCAATGATAGTCAATAGCCACATACATTACTGAGAATTTGACATGTGGTAGTACAACAACAACAAAACCCTCAAATTTAAATTTACTGAAATATAAATACCCAAATATGGCTAATGGCTATAAGAGGGTATTCAAAAACTGTGGAAAATGCAATGAAAAAATATAATCGGGGTAGGCGTGTTGTGTAGTATTTAAGATAATGTTTGGGATGCCTGTAACCCATTTCTAAGTGTCTGAGTTTGTGTCCTGTCTCTACTTTCGATTTCAGCTTCCTATGAACGTGCACTATGGAAGCAGCAGATAATTGCTCAGCTAGTTGGTTTCCTGCCACCCATGTGAGTTCTGAGCTCTTGGCTTCAGCCTAGTCAATCCCAGCTGCTGCAGACATTTGAGGAGTGAACCAGCAGATGGAAGATCTGTTTCTGTCTTTAACAAACAAAAATACAGGAGCTGGCACTGTGGCCTAATGGGTTAAACCATCACCTGCAAGGCCAGCATTCCAAATGGGCATAGACTCAAGTCCTGGCTACTTGACTTCCAATCCAGCTCCCTGGTAAGAAAGCTGAGAAAATAGCAGATGTCCCAAGCCCTTGATGCCCAGCATCCATGTGGGAGACCCAGATGTAACTCTGACTTTCAAATAAATAAATCTTTAAAAAAATAGTAATAAAAATTTTTCAACTGTTTATTTTCTGAAATCTATACATACAAGGAGTCTTCAAGAAGTTCATGGGAAGATGCACATAATGAAGAAAGGTCACATGGACTTAAAAAAAAATGTTTTTCACCAAGATAAACTCATCTTTTAATAATTCCATTTTCCACAAACTTGTTGAGGAACCCATGTAATGCAAAAGGCAGCTCTGCTCAATAAAATTTTCAAACATACAAGAATAAGAGATATTGCTGGGTTGGATGCTGTAGCTCAATGGATTTAGCCACTGCTTGGGATGCCCACATCCAATACCAGACTGCCCATCTGAGTCTGGCTACTCCATGCTTCTGTTCTAGCTTCCTGCTAATATGCTTGGGATTTAACAGATGATGGCCCAAATACTTGGGTTCCTGCCACCTACATGGGAATCACAGATGGAATTCCTGGCTCTTGGCTTTGGCCTGGTCCAATCCTGGCTGTTGCAGGCATTTGGGGAGTGAACCAGCAGAAGAAAGAGAGCTCTCACGCTCTCTCTCCCTCTTACTCTCTGTTATTCTGCTTTTCAAATAAATAAATCAAAATAAAAGAGAGACAGTGGTGTTTATATTTTATATATCTGAGAACAAATAAACTAGAAATTCTAAACTTAGTCAAAACTAGTTTTTGAAAGTATTGAGGAAAATGAAACTAAGTGGTACTGGAAGATAAATATCAAAATAAAAGGGAAAGGGTTTGCTCCAAGGGCAATACTGTAATAATATAAACTCAAATTTAGTCAATACAAAATAAATGCTTTCATAAATATTTAGAAATAAATATAAATACATGAATATACATACACTTACACACATAACTCATACATTAGACAGATGATATAGACATTACCTTGTATGCCTGGCTTGAAGGACTTAATTTTTTTTTTAAGCATAGGGAGTTGTTACAGTTTTTAAAGCAGAGGAATAACATGAACATATTTGAATTTAGAGAAATCATTCTAGCAGAGGATGGATAAAATGAAAATAGTTCAAACTCAGGAAACCAGGCAGGAACATTTTATGGTTAGATGAGAGTCTAACCTAAATGATGAGTATCTAAACTAAAAATAGAGCATCTGAGCAAAGATTTATAAAAGATTCTTTCAAAATGAAACAGGAAGAAATAACCATGTATTTCAAGTTAGTACCCTGAGAGGCTCTCATAAGATCCATCATCTGATCTTTATGCTTTGCCAGCTGTCTCTGAAGATCCTTCAGTCCTTCAAGCCTTGTCAATGGAAGTGCATCATAAATACTTACTGACAGAAAATGATTAATCTCCTAAAAGTGAAAAACAGTTTTAAATTTTGACTTGCTTTTACAGTTATTGGTGAAGGCTGTGAAATAAAGCTTAATAAAAGAAAAAAATTATAAATAACTTTTACAGACACTGATTCATATCACTATTACTAACAAAGTAGAAATAAATTATTTTCCCACATCAAAATCTAAGAAGTTTTAATCCTTTAAATTCTAAAAGACTCTCATGATAAAACAGATTTCTAGATTACTACAGCATATTCTGCTGAAAATAGAATTGGAAAAGCTTAAATTTCAACTTATTTTCATCTTAATGTACTTAAATATTTTCAGACTGATATAATCAAATACACACTGTATTTTTAAAACCATAGTAAGATTTCTAGGGAAAGATACATCTGAGATTAATTTTGAAGCTTAAAAAGATTAAAATGAGACTGAAACTTGAAATACTCTTTAAAAAGTTAGATATCAGGGCAGACATTTGGCCTGGTGGTTGTTTGCAGTCCATATCAGACTTCCTGGGTTCAAGTCTGAACTGTGCTTCTAATTCCAGCTTCCTGCTAACATACACATGAGGAGGCAGCAAGTAATGACTCAAGTGTTTGGGCTTCTGCCACACATTTGGCCTGGCCAAATACCAAGTGCTGTGGGCATCTGGGGACTGAACAAGTAGAAGGGAACATACGCATTTTGTCTCTCAAGTAAGTAAAAATAAATTAAAAAAAAAAGAAATTTTGGAAAAAAAAATCACAAAAAATAACAAGTTAAATATAATCTTGAAAGCAAATATTATACTGAACCTCAAAGGTTCAGTAATGCTTAGACATTAATTTACCATATGATTATAAGCATTAAAATAAAAATATTTTATATCACAGCCATTGAAAAATTAAATTGAGCTCTTTACCAGAAACCTTTTGATATTTACACTTCTATTACACAGCAAGGAGATACATAAACATTTATTTTTTTTTAAACAGGGTAGACTTCATATTAGGCTTTTCTTTACCACAATTACACAAAAAGTTTCTAAAAAAAGTGTTTTTTTGCTGCTGTAGCACTAGAGTTATAAAAAGCACTACTGTCTATGCTAATACAGAAAACACTGGTGATAGAATATTTTATTACCTCCAAGAGTGAAAAAGATCCTCTACAGTACTTGATTTTTTGCTGAGTGATACGTAGATCCTTAAAAACAACATGGTCAGGAAAAGGGTCTAGAAGTTTAATCGTGATATAAAGGTTTTCATTATCCTTGTTATCTATTACTAGGTATTTCAACAAGTCCAATACCTAAATGTAATCCAAAAAGGAAACATTAAAAGGGGGGAAATTAATTGTATTTTAAAGACAACCAAAATCTCTTATAATAAATGATAAGCTAACCTAGTTCTGATAAAATGTTGCGATTACCAATACTTCTCAGACACATAGCTTTCGGTTTCAATAAGTATGTAAGGAGTTACAATAAAGTGAGCACTGAGGTCCATTATTAATTAAACATTTTTATGTGAGTGATATTGATCATATATCATTATAATGGTATGAAATGCTATCCCTAGAGATCATTACTTTTATACTTCAGCCTAAGAAACAAAAAAAAATTACCAGGTTATTAGATCAAAATTAACAAGTACTATGCAATTAAGTGATTATAAATAACAATTTATTAAATGCTTATCCAAATATTTTGCAAAAATGTTTTCCATCAAAATTAATAATTATACTAAGTAACATTTAAAACATTCATGGCATGGGAAGGCAGCAGAGGACAGTTCAAATCCTTGGGCCCATGCACCTGGCTGGAAGACCCAGAAGAAGCTCCTGGCTTCAGATCGTCCCTGCTCTGGCCACTGTGGCCATATGGGGAGTGAACCAGCAGATAAAAGACTTTCTCTCTCTCTCTCTCTGCCTCTGCTACTCTGCCTTTCAAATAAATAAATCTTTTTTAAAAAATAATAAATATTCAGCTCCTTCTAATAGTACTTTATGAATATAACTCAAATACACTGAGATTGATTTGAAAAGTTACCTGTTCCTGAACCTCCACTTGATCATGCACAAGGGGTATCAGTGTACCAACAATAACATGAAGATGGTTTTCTAAAGCATCCTTACAGTGAGTCACTGCTGTCTGGCAAACCCGACTTAATAGGTCACAACAAAGGGAGAAGCTACGTAATGACACATCCATGAAACGAGAAGGCCTATGTTGGAAAAAAACAGGTTGATAGGAAAACGGACATAAATCTATTCAAAGGTCATTATTTCTCAACATCTCTAATTCTGATATGGTCTGATACAAAGTCATTTTTATATCTAATGCTATAAGCCAAAAAGAGAAGAGACATAAGCAAAATGCAGAATAAGCTCCTCTAAGCTCCCATACCCTGACAAAAATACTAAAAATCAAGTAAAAGCATCAGAACCAACCCTGTTGAAACCTTCTAAGACAATTAAAGATTTAGAGCAATCAAGAAAATGCTTCATCAAGAAAAAGGCAAACATAGGACAGCTTTGTGATTTTACTTATCATTGTGGCTCAGCAGTAATCAAAAAAAAAAGCACCTTACAACAACCCTCATGTGGGACACTGGTTCATGAAGTGTTTCTTGAGGGAGCAAAGAAGAACTTATTTGCAAACTAACCTGTCTGAGAATTACTTGCAGGACTGATGCAAAGTGCTTGGCTGTTTTGCTTAATAGATTTCACCCAGGCCTGTGGGCAGTGTTTGAAATTTTTTAAGACTGACCAAGAGGAGCTGAAGCTGTGGTGTGTTGGAAAACACTGGAATCCCATATGGGCACCAGTCCTGGGAGACCAAGAAGCCACTCCTGGGCTTGGGACTGGCTCGACTCCAGCCATTGCAGCCTTCTGGGGAATGAACCAGCAGATGGAAGACCTCCCTTTCTTTCTCTCTCTTTCTCTCTCTGCCTCTCTGTAACTCTGCCTTTCAAATAAATAAATCTTTAAAGAAAATTGCTAAGATATAATACCACTCAAATTAACTACAGATTTGATGCAATCCCCATCAAAATTTCAAGAGACTATTTGCAGAAATGGGAAAGTTGATCTTCAAATTCATATAAAATTGCAGGAGGCCCCAAATAGCTAAAACAATCTTGAAAAAGAAGGCCAAGGGGCTGGCGCTGTGGCTCACTTGGTTAATTCTCTGCCTGCAGCACCAGCATACCATATGGGCGCCAGATTCTGTCCTGGTTGCTCCTCTTCCAGGCCAGCTCTCTGCTGTGGCCCGGGAAGGCAGTGCAGGATGGCCCAAGTGCTTGAGCTCCTGCACCTGCATGGGAGACGAGGAAAAAGCACCTGGCTCCTGGCTTCGGATCAGCGCAGCACCAGCCGCGGCGGCCATTTGGGGAGTAAACCAACGGAAGGAAGACCTTTCTCCCTTTCTCTCTCTCTCTCACTGTCTAGAGCTCTACCAAATAAATTTAAAAAAAAAGAAAAGAAAAAGAAGGCCAAATTTGGAGGAATTTCCTGAATTCTAAAATTCCTATAAAGCTACAGAAATAAAAACAGTATGCTACTGACATAAGAATATAGACATATAGACCAATTAAATATAGCTCAGAGTCCAGAAGTAAACCCTTTCTGAGTGTGAAATTGATTTTTGAAAAGGGTGCCAAATCCATCCAGTGTAGAGAGAACATTCTATTCAACAAGTGGTGCTTGGAGGCAGGCACTGCGATAAGCTATGGGACACATGCACCCCAAACTGCCTCCTATAACAGAGTACAGTTTGGGTCCTGGTTACTCTGCTTCCATTTCATCTCCCTGGGAAACAGCAGATGATGGCTCAAATACTGGAGTATTTGCAATCCATGTAGGATACCTGGATGGAGCACCCAGCTTCAGCCTGACCCAAGCCCAAACCCAAGCCCAAGCCCAGTAGCTGCAACCACTTGGAGTGAACCAGTGAATACAAGATCTGTCTCTCCCTCTGCCACTCTTTCAAATAAATAAATATAAAACAAACAAATATGTAGTGTTTGGACAACTACATTGCCACATATGAAAAAATGAAACTGGACTGCTATACTTCACTCCATATAAAACAATTAACTAAAGCAGCAGGCATTGGGTACACAAGTTAAGATGCTAAATGGAATGCCTGTGTCCCTTCATTAATTAAGTGCCTCCGTTTCAGTCCCACCTCTGCTTCTGATTTCAGCTTCCTGCTAATGTACACATTTGGAGATACAAAGTAATGGCTTAAGAGTTTGAGTTCCTGCTACCTATGTGGGAGATACAGATGGAGTTCTGAGTTCTTGGCTTTGGCCTGGCCTGGCTCTGGAATCTACAGGTACTAGGGAATGAACCAGCGAATGAAAATCTCTCTATCTCTTTATCCCTTTCAAATAAATAAAGAAAAGGAAAAAAAAAAAAAAAAGAAACGAAAAAATACTAACTCAAAATGGATCAATGATTTAAATACCAAAGTTCCTCAAAAAAATTCATGGAAAATGACTGTCATGAAAAATCTATCCATGGACTTCAAAATGATTTTACAAGTTAAATAAAGTTAGCTTACTCATTCCATTTTTCCATGATTTTTTTGAAGTATCTTCATATGAGAGCTGAAACCTTAGAATAAAACCTAAGGTTAAATCTTTATGGCTTAATGCTATAACGAGTACTCAAACAGTATTTTTCACTTTGTGTTTCTATGTGGGTGCAAACTGTTGAAATCTTTACTTAATGTATACTAAACTGATCTTCTGTATATAAAGAAAATTGAAAATGAATCATGATATGAATGGAAGGGGAGAGAGAGTGGGAAAGGGGAGGGTTGCGGGTGGGAGGGAAGTCATGGAGGTGGGGAGCCAATGTAATCCATAAGCTGTACTTTGGAAATCTATACACATTAAATAAAAGTTAAAAAAAAAAACATCTTTCTGGCCAGGGGCTGCCAATGTGGCGCAATGGGTAAAGCCGCTGCCTGCAGTGCCAGCATTCCATATGGGCACCAGTTCAAGTCGTGGCTGCTCCACTTCCGATCCAGCTTTCTGCTGTGGCCTGGGAAAGCAGTACAAGATGGTCCAAGTCCTTGGACCCCTGCAACCACCTGGAAAGACCCATAAGAAGCTCCTGGCTTCGGACTGGTGCAGCCCCGGCTGTTGCATCCAGTTGGGGAGTGAACCAGAGGATGGGAGACTTCTCTCTCTCTCTTAACTATGACTTTCAAATAAATAAATAAATCTTAAAAAAAAAAAAAAAAAAAACTATGACCATGGATTTGACAATGGATTCTCACATATGACACAAAAGAATGAACAACAAAAGAAAAAAAAGATATTAACTGGACTTTATCAAAAGTAAAAATCTAGAGACATCACATGCCATTACAGGGAAGTGCAAAAAAGACAATTTACAGAATGGAAGAAAACACTTGCAAATCAATTATAATATCTGGAATATATAAGGAACTCCTCAGGCTCAACAAAAGACAACCAAGTTTTTTAAGTATATAATGAACTTGAATATTTGTCCAGAGATACACAAATGGTCAATAAGCACATGAAAAACTGTTTAACGTTACCAGCCACTAGAGAAATACACAATCATAACTGATGAGATACTGTTTCACATTAACCAGGATGACTAGATAAACAAAAACTAAGCTTAGGTGACAATGTGAAGATATTTAAAGCCTTGAGCATTTTAAGTGAAATGTAAAATTGTTCAGCTACTCTGGAAAAGTTTGGCAGTTCCTCAAACAGTTAAATATAAAATTACCATATGAACTCTCAATGCCACTATTGGGTATATATACAAAAGAACTGAAAAAAGAGATACCTATACACCAATAGGCATGGCATCACTATTTAAAATAACCAAAAGGTAGAAACAACTCAAGTGTTCACCCACTGATGAATGGAGAAACCAGATAATCAAAAATTTTTCCTCCATAAAAATAAATGAACTTTTTTTTTCATTTTCAATTATCTTTATATACGGAGGATCAATTTAGTATATACTAAGTAAAGATTTCAACAGTTTGCACCCACATAGAAACAAAGTATAAAGTACTGTTTGAGTACTAGGTATATCGTTAATTCACATAGTACAACACATTAAGGACAGAGATCCTACATGGGGAGCAAGTGTACAGTGACTCCTGTTGTTGATTTAACAATTGACACTCTTGTTTATGGCGTCAGTAATCACCTGAGGTTTTGTCATGAGTTGCCAAGGCTATGGAAGCCTCTTGAGTTCACAAACTCTGACCTTATTTAGACAAGGCCATAGTCAAAGCGGAAGTTCTCTCCTCCCTTCAGAGAAAGGTACCTCCTTCCTTGATGGCCCGTTCTTTCCGTTGGGATCTCACTCACAGAGATCTTTCAAATAAATGAACTTTTGACACATACCATGACATGCCAGACACAAAAGGACAAACATTACACTATACTAATCATATTAAATATATAGAATGCATAAATTCTAGACAGAAAGTAGATTAGAGGTTATCAAAGGCTAGAAGGAAATGGAATGCAGAGTTATTGCTTAATAAGTAGAGAGGTTCTAATTAGGTAAAAAAAATTGTAAATAGTGATAGTTGCACAACACTGTAGACATAATGCATGTCACTAAATTGGACATTTAATGGTAAAAATTACAAGTTTTATGTTAAATATTTTACAATAAAAAAATAGAAATCTCAACTCAATGGAAAATATCAGACATGCAAAACTGAACTTACAGCCACAATTCTACAATAACTTATTTAAGAATGTAACTAGAATATTTATTTTAAAATGTTGATAATCCTCAGTATTCAAGATGTCTAGAAATGGAGAAGCAGATGTACAATTTTCAAAAACAAATAGGCAGATATAGTATACATCTTAAAACACAAAATGCAGAAAACACTACGGCATCTATTTCTTAGAAGCTATAAAATAAATCTTCAAGAAAAAGACAAACTCTTTATAAGCTATTCCAAATGTATCTCTCACTTACCGTTTGTTAATATAGTGAATCAAAGTATAAATAACATCTCGAAGAACAAAGGCCCATGCTCCTCCCAAGCCACTTTTTATATCTTTCAGTAATAAACTAACAAAGAGATGATATATTTTAAGAATTCTGTGCCTTCTATAAACATTATTTGTCTCTGCTGCTTGCTCACATATAGCCAGAAGAATTTTCTGATAGGAATCCTAAAAAATATACATAAATTTAGTACAAACTTATCTAATCATATACTTAGCTATAATAAATATATATTTAAAATCACCAAATAGAACGTAGATTTGGGTTTCACATCAAATGAAAACTATCACATTAACAAAATTAGTTTCTTCACCTTAAAGCTATTACAAATTTACTTAGCTTTCAGAGACTAAACTTCAATTAAATAGTATATTGTTATTAAAAAACAGAAACATCCTCTGAACTAATACATGAATATAGTGTCACAGAACTCGTAAGTAACATACTTCAGTTAATACAGACAAGTGAAATACAAAAATAAAAACTCGTAAACTGGGGCACGTGTTTGGTACAGATATCATGTGGGATGCCCACATCCTGTATCCCACTGCTTAGGTTTGAGTCCTAGTTCTGTTTGCAATTCCAAACTCCTGCTAATGTGCACCCTGAGAGGCAGTAGATGATGGATCAAGTAATTGGGTCTTCACCTTGCGGCGCCGGCACACCGGGTTCTAGTCCCGGTTAGGGCGCCGGATTCTGTCCCGGTTGCCCCTCTTCCAGGCCAGCTCTCTGCTATGGCCAGGGAGTGCAGTGGAGGATGGCCCAGGTGCTTGGGCCCTGCACCCCATGGGAGACCAGGAAAAGCACCTGGATCCTGGCTCCTGCCATCGGATCAGCGCGGTGCGCCGGCTGCAGCGGCGGCTATTGGAGGGTGAACCAACGGCAAAAGGAAGACCTTTCTCTCTGTCTCTCTCTCTCACTGTCCACTCTGCCTGTCAAAAAAAAAAAAAAAAAAAAAAGTAATTGGGTCTTTGATACCCATATGGGAGATCCAGATTGATTTTTCAGCTGCCAGCTTCAACTGGCCCACTCCTACCTATTCTACACCCTTGGAGAGTAAAAAAATACCCCCGGGATGGGAGATCTCTGTCTGTCTCCAACTCTTCCGTTCAGATAAGCAAAATTAATTAATTAATTTTTAAAAATACTTGTAAATGAGTGTTTCTCAATTATTCAGATAAATTTACCATTTATTTTCTCTCTTTAAAATGTAATTACTCTAGATGAGAAAGAAGAAATTCATTAATTATAATATTAAAAATGTATACTTACAGGGCTTTTAGAGAGAATTTCTAAAATGCTCTTAAGTTTTGTTTTATGACAGTTGCTGATATAGGCAAATGTTGCTTTAATCACATGTGATGGAAAATGAGGTGGATTCGGAGCAGGATCCAAATCCCTAAAAGATTGGAACAAATGCAGTCATCATTTTCAGAAGAAAACTACCAGGAAAAAAAAAAACAGGTATGATAGACCAGTGAACTTCCAAAATGAAAATTTACATAACCTCTAAATTTTTAAAATTACTGTTTCTACTAAAAAAACTATACGTTTAGCAAATTAACAAATGAAATTACAGTCCATAGACATCAATCAAAATATCTAAGTGACTTAAACAACCTTAGATGATCTGCTTAAATAATCTTTTATAAAGTAATGACAGCTCCATAAATTAGCCTTACAGTATTACTTCAGTTCAGGTGTGAATTAAAGCTCCAGGAACAACATTTTAAGACACAGCAATCAAACACTATTTAGATAAAATGAAATTATATATTTCAAAGTATCCTGTTTGGTATTATTTTATATGCCTATCACCATGGCACATATAAAAAAAGGAATACATAGTATTTCTAAGTAGCTTAAATTCAAGTTGGGAAAATAACATTCACATTCATAAACTCATTCAAAGGTACTTTAAAGTGGAATTAAAAGGTAAGTTTATTTTGGTGCATAAAATTCATGCACAATTTTTTAATATGCTTTTCCATGGATTCTTTTAAGACACCTGCATAACCAAGGGTAGTAGACATTCAGATTGAACTGCATAGCTGAGAAGTATGATTCTGACAGCTGACAAGTATGACAAAGAAAATGTAATTTAGAAAGGTAATTTATACATAAAAAGAGAAAACAAGATTAACATGCAAGGAGGAAAAAAGTTTGGAGACAACAAACAAAAAAATGCTCAAATACTATAGAAAGATTGAAAAGACAAAGGTCATTGGATTTGTTAACAAAGCAGTCATCCAGAAAGAGCTATTTCTATTGGCAGTTAGGTAATTGATTCAATTCATAGGTAGTGATTTTTAAAGAAACAAACTTTTAAAACAAAATACATTTCTAAAAATTGAAATAGACAACTGAAGCTATTGATCAATCACTTTCCTAGGAATTCCTCAACTTGCAGCTATTCTCTAATATTAAAATGTGCATACCCTGAAAACTCAGAGAGGTCAGTGCTTTGGCTGGCATCAGAATTTGCTGGTTCATGTAATGTCATTAATAACTCTACCACAATCTCTGGTAAATTGCTAATAAACAGATGATCAATCTGAAAGGAAACAAAATTAAAATATATTTAATATTTTTACATCTGTAACCTTTAACACAGCTCAAAAGACTTATGTTGTTGCCGTATCTACAGAATTATTTAGTGACTATAAAAGAAAACACATAACCAAAAGACTAAGATCTGCAAGATACATAGCTAACTGCACCTTTTTCTTACATGCAGCCAACCTGCATACTATGAGGAAAGTAGAAACCATATTATATAATGGTCTCTTAATCCAATTCTCACATTTTATTTATTTTTAAAGATTTATTTATTTGAGGGATGGTTGTTATGGCATAGTGGGTAAAAAGCTATCACCTGCAAGGCTGGCATTTCCTATGTGTGCAGGTTTGTGTCTTGGCTGCTCCACTTCCAATCCAGCTCTCTAAAGGCCTGGGAAAAGCAGCAGCAGATGGCACAAGTGTTAGGGCCCTTACTACTCATGTGGATGAGCTGGATGAAGCTCCTGGCTTTGCCTGGCCCATCCCTGGCTGTTGTGGCCATCTGGGGAGTAAAGCAGCAGATGGAAGCTCTCTAACTGACATTCAAATAAATATTTTGAAAAATAATAATAAAAGATTTACTTCTTTGAAAGGCAGAGTGACAGGGGAAGGTGGCAGAGAGAAAGATCTTCTGGGTCTCACACAGATTAACCCACTCTACAAGAACAGCACCTGGTAGTCTTAATTTTAAAGAAACATTTTAACTGAAGCTTTGGTCCTAGCACTAAATGCTTCAACCTAGTAATTCCCCTGCCCACAAAGGCCCTAGTGACCTAAACCATTTCTCAGTTTACAATTTTCTCTTGATTTATTTGAGAACTCCATCATTTGTAGAATTTAAGAATTCTCAGGGCTGGTGCAGTGGCTTAAACCCATATGGGCACCAGTTGGAGTCCCAGCTGCTCCACTTCCAATCCAACTCCCTGCAAATGCGCCTGGGAAAGCAGTGAGGATGGCCCCAGTCCTTGGGCCCCTGCACCCACATGGCACACTGGGATGAAGCTCCTGGCTCTTGGCTTCAGATCAGCTCAGTTCTGGCTGCTGTGGCCATTTGAGGAGAGAACTAGAAGACGGAAGACCTCTCTCTGTCTTCATCTCTCTCAGTAAATCTTTCAAGAAATTAAAACAAAACAAAACACAAACCTTAAAAAATTCTCAGTGACGGGCAATACCGCTATTTGCTCACTGCATGGCTTCTACCCAACTTTCTACCCAACTTCTACTCTGGTGAGATCCCAAATTCTGAGGCTAACTGCTACTTACATCCCCTTTCATCTAGAGTCAACTAAAACCTTCCCTCAGGGAGCATAATTTCATCATTCTGCTTCCCACTACTGGCAATTTGTATCCTCACAAAGGGCATACATTCTCTAAAAAAATTAATTTGCTATGTTATATGTCAGTCAAATGTGAACTGTGAAGTTGACAGTTATTATTTCTCTAAATAATGAATTATAGTGTTCTAAAGTAAAAGTCTATTTATTAGATGTGCAAAGAGATTCAGAAACACTCTAACAGCAAAACATATTTTGGAGCAAGACAAGAAAGAAACCTAACAAACATTCTAACTTTTCCCTCAAGTTTTCATATCAGTTGTCCATGTTATCTCCAAAGTTTCAACTCTTCTAAAATCCAGCTTTTCCATACTATGTGGAATAAGTAAGGGAAAACTAGGGAAATCTGTTTAATATCAGAAGAATAATTTTAAGATTTATTTTTTATTTATTTTAAAGCCAGAGTTACAGAGACAGAAGGAGAGACAAAGACAGACGGAGAAAGATAGAAAGATCTTCCATCTACTGGTTTACTCTTCAAATGGCAACAACAGCAGGAGTTGGGCCAGGCTGAAGACAGGAGCTTCTTCTGAGGCTTCCACATGGATGCAGGGGTCCAAACACTTGGGCTATCCTCTGCTGCTTTCTCAGATGCATTGGCAGGGAACTGGATCAGAAATGGAGCAGCCGGGTCTCAAACTGGCGTCAGTGTTGGATGGCAGCATCACTGGCAGAGGCTTAACCTGCTATGCCACAATGGTGGCCTGTAGAGGAACAGTTATTGAGTTCTTCTGTGCATAAAATAGCTGACTTCAATAGTTTTATAGGATTCTCTAATAAGCTAGATCTGTAAGGTCTACCAACAGCATATAAAAATTGCTCAGATTTTAGGTACAGCCAAAAATCTTATGATTTGTAAATATTTTAGGCATTCAACAACTCAAAAATTTTAGATGATTCCAAAACTATTAATATTTATACTAACTTTCATAGACACACAAAAGGAATCCTATGAGTCTAAATCACAGAAAGCACATGTAGGGCCAGCGCTGCGGCTCACTAGGCTAATCCTCCACCTTGCGGCGCCGGCACACCGGGTTCTAGTCCCGGTCGGGGCGCCGGATTCTGTCCCGGTTGCCCCTCTTCCAGGCCAGCTCTCTGCTGTGGCCAGGGAGTGCAGTGGAGGATGGCCCAGGTGCTTGGGCCCTGCACCCCATGGGAGACCAGGAGGAGCACCTGGCTTCTGCCTTCGGATCAGTGCGGTGCGCCGGCCGCAGAGGCCATTGGAGGGTGACCCAACGGCAAAAGGAAGACCTTTCTCTCTGTCTCTCTCTCAGTGTCCACTCTGCCTGTCAAAAAAAAAAAAAAAAAAAAAAAAAAAAGCACATGTAGAAAAAGTTATATCTACAACTTAACGCTAAGTGAAAATGAGCAAGAACTTCTGTCTTTAACCAGTAAGCTAAGAAATAATTATTTAGGTTTTGCCTTGAGACCAGTGTTTCAATCAGGATCAAATGTGATCAGTTTTCCCTCCTAAACCCATTCTGACTCTTGGTTAGTTGTCTTTTACTCATATTCAAAAAGAAATAAATTTGGAGTAAAAAAAGGTTTTTTTACTTAGGATATTTTACATATGCATTTTTTAAAAGGTTTATTTGAAAGACAGGCCACACACACAGACACAGACACAGACACAGACACAGACACAGACACACAAGCCTTCTGTCTGTTGGTTCATTCCACAGATGACTCCAACAGCTGGGGATGAGGCCAGCCCAGGCCAAAATCAGGACCCAAGAATATTGTCTTGGTCTCCCACATGGGTGATAGGGGCCCAAGTACTTAAGCCATCAATTGGTGCCTTCCTGTGCACTTTAATAGGAAGCTGGGTTAACAGCAAAGTAGCCAGGATTTGAACTGGCATTCTAATATGGGATACAGGTATTCCAGGGAGCAGCTTAATCCACTGTGCCACAAATGAATTCTTCTGCACATAAAATGAGAGGATTCTGTAATAGGCCAGATCTGTAGTACAGAGCAATAGCCCAAATATATGTATTTTAACCCAAGTTGCTTCAAATAATTTGACCATAAAACAAAGCTAGCTTTGTGAGTTCCTTCTTTATTAGACTCCTTCTTTTAACAAATCTTTAGTGATGTTGCTTGAGATGCCCACATTCTGTATCAGAGTTACCTGGGTTAAAGTCCTGGCTCCACTCCCAATTCCAGCTTCTTGTTAATGTACAGCACCCTGGTGGGCAGCGGATGATATAGTTGGGTCCTTGCCACCCACGTGAGAAACCTGGAATAAGTTCTAGGTTCTAGGCTTCAGCCTAGCAGTCCTACCTACTAGGGGGTATTTAGGGAGTGAACCAGTAAATGGAAGATCTGACTTTCTCTCCAACAAACAAATAAAAAAACTTAAATACTTAATGAACACCCAATATATAATAGGTGGGTGGAATACATCAGCCCCTGGATCTCCCTACCACTAAACGACATAAGTCCTACCTTCATAGTACTTATATTATAGAAGAGAAGAATAATATTAAAAATGAATAGAATTTAAAAGTGGATTATGCGGCCAGCATTGTGGTACAATGGATTAAGGCATCACCTGCAATGTCAGCATCCCCTATCAGCATACCAATTCAAGTCCTGGCTGCTCTGTTTACAATCTGGCTCCCTGCAAATGATGCCTGAGAAAGCATAAAATGATACAAGTACTTGGGCTCTTGACACCCATGTGGGACTCGATGGAAATGCCCAAGTCCTGGCTGTTGTGATATTTGGGGATTGAAACAGTAGATGGAAGATCTGTTTCTCTGCCTTTCAAAATAAATCTTATGTTAGAAGGTATAAAGTGTCATTAGAAAAAAAAAAGCATGCAAGGCCTGGAAATTTGGTATGGTGCTTTTCCTGGAAAAGCAGAAAACTTTTGAAGAGGGAGTGAAGAAGGTTTTCTATATACACTATTCAGTGTTACTTGAACTTAACATCCAGTTTGCAGTCATGTATTATTAGTAATTAAAATAAATATGAAAAGGCAGAGATAAAATTATTTCAAAAAAATTTTTTACTGTTTCTTTTTGAGTATTTTTGAGAAAATATTTCCACTGACATAAGTGCCAATCAAAGGTAGAGAACACCACTCAACAACAAAAAAATCATGGATTGCTACGTTATTAACTACCACAAACTAAATGTAATTTCAAAAATGATTACTAAATAGGCTTAAAATTTAAAGTTTACAAATCAAACCAATTAGGGGATAAAAAGTAAGTAACATTCATCCTTACCTGTTTTCCTAATAAGTTCTCACTTTTAAGCATATCATAAACTGTGGAAGCAATCTCTCTTTGCTGTGCCATCCCACTGTCTTTTGCATCCTCGTAGGCAAAATAAGGAAGAATATTTACAAGAATCTTTGGAAAGCAGTCTACTAGAAGACTTTTCCAATCTTCTTGAATCTGATTAGCAATGGCTTTCACCTCATCGAAATGACTTCTAATCACCAGATGTGGAATCAATATTTTATAACAAGATCTAAAAATGAAAATTTTAAAATTTGGCAAGTAAAGTTTTTCAATGTAAAATTTTAAAATACAGTTCTTAGATTAATAAAATGTTTTCATATAGCCAACACTGGAGCATCACTATATCAAGATTAGTAAATATTCTTATTTTATGTTTATGGAGAAATAAAATTAAATTGGAAATAGTAATGTAACACATAGTTTATACTATACCATCTTTTTTTTTTTATTAAAGATTTATTTATTTGAAAGACAGAGTTACAGAGAAAGGTAGGGTGAGACAGAGAGAAAGAGAGAGAGAGAGAGAGAGAGAAAATGAGAGAGTGAGAGTCAGAAAGGGAGAGAGAGAGACAGAGTTCTTCATTCTTCTGGTTCATTCCCCAAATGACCATAACAGCCAGAGCTGAGCTGATCCGAAGCCAGGAGCCAGGAGCTTCCTCCAGGTCTCCATGTGGGTTCAGGGACCCAAGGACTTGGGCCATCTTCTACTGCTTTCCCAGGACATAGCAGAGAGCTGGATCGGATGTGGAGCACCTGGGACTTGAACCGGCACCCATTTGGGATGTTGGCACTGCAGGCTGGAGCGTTAAGCCACTGCGCCACAGTGTCAGCCTCACTATACCATCTTAATTCTGTGATCAAAATGTGTGGTGAGGGGTCGGCCCTGTGGTGTAGTGTGAAAAGCCGCCACCTGCAGTGCTGAAATCCCATATGGGTGCCCGTTGGAGACCCAACTGCTACACTTCTGATCCAGCTCTCTGCTACAGCCTGGGAAAGCAGTGGAAGATGGCCCAAGTCCTTGGGTCCCTGTACCTTCATGAGAGACCCGGAAAAAGCTCCTGGCTCCAGATTAGCCCAGCTTTGGCCATTTCAGCCATTTTGGGAATGAACCAACAAATGGAGAACCCTCCCCCCCTGTAAATCTGTCAAATAAATAAATAAATCTTTTAAAAAAAGAAAAAAAGTGTGGTGAGAGGGGTTGGAAATTTGGCCTGATGGTTAAGCTGTTAGCTGGGATGCCTACATCTCGTATCAGAGAGCTTGAGTTCCAGACCTGGACCTGCTCCCAATTCTAGTTTCTGGCTAATTCACACCCTGGGAGGCAGCAGGTGATAGCTCAAGCATTTGTTTCTCTACCACGAATTGGAAGACCTGGATTGAGTTCCTGGCTCCCAGGTCTGGTCCTAGCCAGGAGTTACAGAGGGCATCTGAGCTGGATGAGAAGCAGAGCAGCCAGAACTCAAAACAGAGCTCATATAAGATGTTGGCTTCACTGGCAGCAGCTTAACCTGCAATTCCACGATGCTGGTCCCTAAACATTAGTGTTTAGTTGTTTCAAACCTCTCATTTAAAAAAAAAAATTCCTCTACATAGTTAGTAAAATGAATACTTTTCCTTTAAACTTCTAAATCTAACAGAAATGACTAAATATCCTTATAGTCCAGTAACACACACACACAAAAAGACAAATACTCAGCCACTAGTAGTTTATCTTTGATTTTTTTCAAAGAGGAAATTATCAAATATTAAAGCTAAAAGGAACACTAAAGATCTCATATAACTCCCTCACTTTATAGAGTAAAAGTACAAGATGCTGTGAGTGATTACATGTATTGCCCAAATCCCATGGCTGGTTATTGACACAGTTAAGATTAAATCTTAAAGCCAGGGGCCGGCACTGTGGTGCTGTGGGTTAACACCCTGGCCTGAAGTACTGGCATCCCATATGGGTACCAGTTCTAGTCCCGGCTGCTCCACTTCCAATCCAGCTTTCTGCTATGGCCTGGGAAAGCAGTACAAGATGGTCCAAGTCCTTGGGCCCCTGCACCCATGTGGGAGATCCAAAAGAAGCTCCTGGCTCCTGGCTTTGGATCGATGCAGCTCCGGCCATTGAGGCCAATTGGGGAGTGAACTACCAGATGGAAGACCTCTCTCTCTCTCTCTCTCTTTGCCTCTTCTCTCTCTGTGTAATTCTGACTTTCAAATAAAAATAAACAAATCTTTAAAAAAAAATGTTAAGGCCAATGACTACTTTCAATACATTCTCATTAAATCAAGCTGTCCTGCTCCTGACACCATGCAGCCTTTTACTTGTGTGTAGGAAGATGGTACAGGGGAGGTGAATTGCCAAACATTATAACCTAATTTTAAATTAAACATATTTTACATATGTCATTTATATACATACCTATAAAAATCCTCAACATTTTTGTAGTTTAATAAAATATAAGGAAAGGAAGATAATCTGTATTCAGTATTTTGACAATTAAGCCATTCTAAAACCAAATAATCTAAATGAGAAGCCATAAAGTCTTCTAAATTTCTATATCCAAAAGCTTCAGAAACTTTCTCCAAAACCTGCAAAAACCAAAAGTTGATACCTTTAAAAAATGAAGTCTTTATTAACAGCATTTAGTTTGAGTTTTTTTTTTTTCATTTTATTTTTAGCCATTTTATTCAAGAGGGATTTCAATGAAGAAAATTTTAAGATGACTCCTAATGAGGTAGGACATTGTATTAGAATTCTACAGTCAGTTTGAATTCTAGTTCTGCATTGTTTATTGGTATGTGACCTTAGACAAATTATTTTTTTACTTCATTTTTAAATTATAAAATAAGAGTGACATTTTGAAGAAAATTAAATGAGATTTTCTGTGTATAACATGCTTTGTAATGTGCCAAATATGGCAAGTAGTCAGTTAATTACTTTTACTATATAAAATTACTATATAAAATGCAGTATTTAGTTTGAGTTAAACATGCATTTAACTTTTCTATACCTTGATTTTCTTATCAATGAGATAGGAATAATAAAAAAAAGAAAAACTGTATTTAATATAATTGGCATAATAAATGGGACATAGCAAACCCTAAGCAAATGTTAAATGGAAAAAAAAACCCACTAAAATATGTTAGTTTCCAGCATTTGATTATATCTCAAAGGAAGGTTTAAGTTAAAATTATTCTCCTCAATGTTAAATATAAACATTATATAACACTTATAATAATTAGCTAGTATAATTGTATATTTCCAAAAAACACCCTATATTAATACCAAAAAATAAAATGTTAACTTATCTAAAACTGTTCGCCTATAAGTTGGCCACTGACCCACTATAAAGCTCCATGGAAACCATACTGTATCAGCCTACTAATTCACCACATAAAAATCAGCAACAGAAAAGCCTGGAACTTCCCAAACTTCCAATGCTGAGGTGGTAGAACAACATTCCTTAACATTGTAATAATCTATATGTAAAGCTTGAATCCCAATTGTCCTCCCCTAATACAATCATCACCACCCTAAGATTTGAATTCTAGCCCTGATAGATGCTAGTGTGCTGGAAGAGTCTACAGGGCAAAATCCCTGAAACTGCTCTTGTCTCTGTGTGTTTCCTCTCAATCAGTGCTATTCCAGAGATTGGTCTGTGTGACTAAAGGTCATTTATCTTTGTTAGTTTAATGAATGGAATGTCAGACGTAACACTATATACAAATAAACAGACTATTCAAAAAGTTACTATAATTGCTTTCCAAAATTTCCAACCTAAAAAATAGTTTCCAACTCTTAAATAGGTGTCAATTTGAAAACTAAGGTTTAATCCCTCTGTTAAAAAGTTAACCAAGGAGGATTATCATTATAATAATAATAAAGTCATTCACATTTACCTTTTTCACAAGGTGAGGTTCTAATCCATTCTCTTTTACAGATTTGCAAAGTGCAAACAAAGCCTGTTTTTCACAGACAGGGCTACAGTATAAAACCACAGCTATCATCATCAATAAAACAGATTTTCTATTATAAGTCTCATCCAAAATTTCAGGGTTCTCAGCACTGTGGGACTTCAAAGAATGAATAATTTTAAAAACAATGACATAATGCAGTATTTAAACATTACAAATGAGTTATTGAAACTAAAGTAACAGAACTAATGAAAACATCTAAGCAGATGTTTTCATTAGTTACCAGTTTTACATCCTACATCCTACAATGATCACACTAAAACTAGAGATTTTGAGAAAATAGAAGTTTTCAAGATTGAGAAAGACTGTTCTTCCTAAGATCCTATCGAAAGAATTGTCAAAGGAAAAACATGCCAGTGAGATATAAATTTCCTTGAAGAAAAAGAGGAAGACTGGATATAAAGTCATACTAAAAATGAACTATAATGAAGGAGATGGGAGAGGGAATGGGAAGTGGGATGGGAGCAAGGGGGAGTGGTATGGGGGAAAGAACCACGATATTCCTAAAGTTGTATCTCTGTAAAAACGCATTCATTAAATAAAAATTTAAAAATGAAAAAAAAAAAAAGTAGTAACAAAAAGATGGTGAGAGATTAAAAGGTCCTCTTCAACTTCCATCTGTAATTCCTGAAATGACTTTTTTAATTGCTATTTAACACATATCTCTTTATACTTTAAAAGGCAGTATCAGCACAGCAGACTCATAGAATGGCAGATGCCCTAAACAGCACTCTGGTCTCAGAGTCAGCCCTTAAGGCATTCAGATCCAGCTAAAAAGCCCATTAGAGTTTCTCAGGCATGGAAAGCCAAGGCAAAAACAAACAAACAAACAAACAAAACAAAAAAAAACCTACATGAAAGATCTCTATGCGTGAGATCCCAGCGGAAAGAATGGGACATCAAAGAAGGAGGTACCTTTCTCTGAAGGGAGGAGAGAACTTCCACTTTGACTATGGCCTTGCCTAAATAAGGTCAGAGTTTGTGAACTCCAGAGGCTTCCATAGCCTTGGCAACTCATGACAAAACCTCAGGTGATCACTGACATGATAAATAAGAGTGTCAATTGTTAGATCAACAACAGGAGTCACTGTATACTTGCTCCCCATGTAAGATCTCTGTCCTTAATGTGTTGTACTATGCGAATTAACATTAATTTCCACGACTCAAACAGTACTTTATACTTTGTTTCTGTGTGGGCCCAAACTGTTGAAATCTTAGTATATACCAAGTTGATCTTTTGTATATAAAGATAACTGAAAATGAATGTTGACAAAGAATGGGATGGGAGAGGGAGTGGGAGATGGGATGGCTGCAGATAGGAGGGAGGTTATGGGGGGAAAAGCCGCTATAGTCCAAAAGTTGTACTTTTGAAATTTAAATTTATTACATAAAAGTTAAAAAAAGTAGTATTAGATGTATAACCAAAAGGAAAAAAATCACATGATACACTTCCAGTTTAATAATCAATTCTAAAATTTCAATAGTCACATACATTATTTTTAAAAGCTGTATTTGAGGGGCTGGTGCTGTGGCACAGCAGGTTAAAGCCCTGGCCTGAAGCGCCAGCATCCCATATGGGCGCTGGTTCTAGTCCCAACTACTCCTCTTCCAACTCAGCTCTCTGCTATGGCCTGGGAAAGAAGTAGAAGATGGCCCAAGTCCTTGGGTCCCAGAACCCATGTGGGAGACCCAGAGGAAGCTCCTGGTTTTGGATCGGTGCAGCTCCAGCTGTTGCGGCCGTCTGGAGAGTGAACCAGCAGATGGAAGATCTCTTTGTCTCTACCTCTCTCTCTAACTTTTTCAAATAAATAAAATAAATCTTAAAAAAGAATAATAAATAAAAGTTATATCTGATAGAAGTTTCTCTTCACATTTTGAAAATGTGCTACACAGGGATCCTAGATCTGACTTTTGGAACAAAAAAGTCCTAATTCCTTCACTGAACGGCAATCACTGAAATCTTTGCACACAGCTATGAGCTTTCTAACTTTCCACTAGATTTCTTCACATTCCTTGTAAAATGAAGACCTACATACTCTCTAAATCTTAATTAAAAACCTATTTTTACTCAGAACCAAACATATTTCAGCTGCCCTTTAATAAGTACAGCAGGGGTCAGTGCTGTGGCGTAAAGCCGCTGCCTGCAGTGCCGGCATCCCATATGGGTGCCAGTTTGAGTCTCAGCTGCTCTACTTCCAATCCAGCTCTCTGCTATGACCTGGGAAAGCAGTATAAAATGGCCCAAGTCCTTAGGCCCCTGCGTAGGAGACCCAGAAGAAGCTCCTGGCTTAGGATCAGCACAGCGCTGGCCACTGCGGCCAATTGGGGAGTGAACCAGCGGGTAGAAGAACTCTCTCTCTCTCTCTCTGTAACTCCGACTTTCAAATAAATAAATAAATCTTTAAAAAAAAAAAAAAAAAGCATAGCAGCCAGCGCCGCGGCTCACTAGGCTAATCCTCTGCCTGCGGCGTTGGCACCCTGGGGTTCTAGTCCCGGTCGAGGCGCCGGATTCTGTCCCGGTTGCTCCTCCTCCAGTCCAGCTCTCTGCTGTGGCCCAGAAAGGCAGTGGAGGATGGCCCAAGTGCTTGGGCCCTGCACCTGCATGGGAGACCAGGAGGAAGCACCTGGCTCCTGGCTTTGCATCAGCTCAGCGCGCTGGCCGCAGCAGCCATTGGGAGGTGAACCAATGGTAAAGGAGGACCTTTCTGTCTCTCTCTCTCTCACTGTCCACTCTGCCTGTTCAAAAGAAAAACAAACAAACAAACAAAAAAAAAAACAAAAAAATAGTATAGCAGATCTAAGTTATTTTATTAGCACTGCTCATTAAAACATTATTTCCATTAATGAAACAATGAAACATAGATAGAATTTACTTCTTCTGTATCACAGTGTTTATTAATAGTAGGATCTCTGATGTAAAACTCAGTGGGTCTTTTTCTAAATGATTTGTTACCAGATAGTATTTTCCTTTTTTGCAGCTGGGCTGATATTAAAATAATATATATTATTTCTTTTAAATTCTACACTATTTATATTTATCTTTCAAATCCCTTAAAATACTGTTAAATTCTACACTATTTATATTTATCTTTCAAGTCCATTGAAACACTTTTCTAAATTCACATTCTTTCATCCAAATGCTCTTTGCATTTTCTCAGTATCATACATTTGATAGTCATTTAATCGTCTCACATTCTTTTTAGAAACAATGAGGGCATAGGTATGAATAAATGTGAACACTAAGACAATTTTTACCACTTTAGGAAAAATATTATTCTACACAGAAATGTGAAAAACACAAGGTTTAAAAAAAATCAAGATAATTTTATCTTGTGGTATATTTTCCTGAATTCATTTTTATCACCATGTTTTAGCCATATATTATGCAAAGTATTTTAACAAAAAAGGAAATTATTTGTAGACCCATAAAAACAGTAAAATTTTTTCTCTAAAAAAAAATGTAAGTTGAACCAAAAAAAATATGCTAATATAATGTAATTTCATTCAGTTCACATGGCTGTTGTAGATAAGTATTATATTGTAAACCACTAGATACAAATTATCGTGTGCCACACTTGATAAAATAATATATAAGATATTCACAGACAGTATAAAACAAGAACAAATATGTATTACTAGAATTACCACTTCTCTCATTCCTTCCTGAGTTTTCAAGCATGCATTGTCAAAAGCAGTCTGCTGAAGCTTCAAAGGAAGTGCTTTCCACAGTCTGGGACAATCTCCTTGTTTCATATCTTGGAATAATCTTTTGGGAGAAAAAAAACAAACAGTGAAATTTGTCTATTTTAAACATTATATTATTAATAGTAGGACCTCTGATGTAAAACTCAGTGGGTCTTTTTCTATATGAGTTGCTACTAGATAGTGTTTTCCTTTTTTGCAGCTGGGCTGATATTAACATAATAATGTGTTGCAGTTTTATATCCTAGTCGAACAGGGAGAGGTAAATGTGTTAAAATATAGTATTTCAAATATGCTACAGAGTAAAGAAAGGAAGGGAAATGCTTTATTTACCTGGAATGCAAGGTTGACAAATACAAGATAGGCTGTAACTTAAAGTTTTAAAATCAATTTAATTTTAAAAAGTATACTGTTGATTTAATTACCTGATAAACATGTAATCCGTAAGAAATTAATATTTGCTTATTTAAGTACTCTAACATAAAACAGATTCCCTTGACAGAATAACTCTAGTGCCTAACTGCATTCTCACTCCAATAAACTTAATGCAATTAGCACATATAAAATGTGTTAATTCACATGAAAATCATGGTCCTATCTATCCAGCATTCTACATCTCCTGTAAGTGGTGTCAGATATGCCTCATTCAAGTCAATTATTTTGTAACAACAAGTAAGTTATTTCACCTAAGCCAAAAATTTTTATCTATATATTCAAGAAAATAATAGTACCTAAGTGATAGAATTGTCAGAATTATCAGAAGACATAAATGCCAGGTACACAGTACAAATACATGCTCAATAAGTGCCATTCTTAATATTTCATCTAGAGATCTTAGACTGGGCTAGATACTACATTGCTATTTGCATCATTACAAACACTTCATTAATACTGGATCTGTTACCTATTGATTGACTCTGCAGCCAACATGCGAACTTGGTGATGATCATCAGCAAGGAACTGTGGAAACACTTCATTTACAGGAAAATCTTTACCCATTACATTAAGAATAGCCCATTTTGAATAAGGATCAGCCTATGAGAAAAGAATAATTTGAAGTGAATATAAAATATCAAGAGAAAAATCAATCATTACCAAACAGAAATTAAGGCTGCTTTTAAAATCTCAACAGAGATCTTTCTCACATGGAATAACTTACCTCAAGCAAAGTTTTCAGGCACTGTACTAGTGCCACTCTTACAGAGAATGTGCATTTCCTCTCCCTTGTTAGATGCCTGAAATCAATTAAGTGTTTCAAATTTAAATAATCATTCAAATAAAAACACAGAAAAATCACTGGATTTAAGGTTAATATATAGGGTGCTTTAAAAATTTCTTTCTCTGCTAAACTTAATCCTCATTATGTGAAACAGGCCAAGGTACTCACCCTCCCAAAAACTCATGTTAAAAGAAATTAGTTTGAAAAAGAGTTCCTTGTAATGTGTATTATGTTTTTCATACAAGTATGCCTATATTTCAGGCTATCATACTTTACCTGTGTTACAATAAACTGCTTTAAAAGGACTTTTTTTAAAAAGTTTTATTTATTGTATCAAGATTTCAAAATCACATTCCACACCAGTTTATAAGTCTTTATTAATTAAATATTATGAAAGCTCTAAATTGCCTAAATGTACTCCCTGTTAAGTATCATGATATTATCTCAGATTGTGACATTAAGTGTGAATTAACTGGATAACAACAAGGTCAACTTACTCTTTGGAAATATGAACAATCCAACTGATTTGGTCTTGTTACACTTTCTTTATTCAACACACATGCTAAACTTTTAAATGATTCAAAATTTTAAGGTAAACATATTATATAGTTTAGCAAGTCAAGCCTTAAGCAAAAGACTTAAGCAAAAGACAATGCTGTTTTTCAAACAATTGAAACAAATTACATTCTGCTAATATTAAAAGATGTCCATAGTTACACTAGGAAGATCAAAGGAAATCACCAATGCAGAAATACAAAGTATATGTTTGTATCCAGAGGTAGTAAAAGAAAAACAAACATTTCACAAAATAGCCTGTACCTACCAAAATGCTCCAATCACTGTAAGGAATTGTCCTTGAGCATCTCTTGTGTTCTCAGCATCCAAATTGCCTTGACCTAGGTTTGTCACTACAGGAAGGACATGGTTTAAAACTGTTTTACAAACATCTTGGTCACGACGATACAGAGAACACACATTGCTGTGGTGAAAAAAATTTAACTTTATAAGCTTAGCAGAACTTATCAGTTAGCTGAGAAATTTAAAGGGAAGAGAACATGGTTTTAATTTCTTACGATAGTGGTTTCAGAAGTTCAACAATATCTTCCATTGGCAAGGGATACTCTCCTCTGGGAAGCTCCTTTAAAAGCACTAAATACTAAGATAGTAGGGAAGAAAAAAAATCAGCTTTTTTCACTGGTCATTCACATATTAGTGTATACACACACACACATATATATATATACACACATATATTTCTTATACATACACACAAACACATCCATGTAAATTTTCAAAAGGGCATATGGTTAAAAAAAAAAAGCCTTTGAGGTCAAACAGAGCTGAATGTAAAGCCTACTACCAACAACATTAATTTATATGGTTAAAAAACCATCTGGGACCTTTGTACTCTCACCTGTAAAACAGGGATATACACTGACCTGGCCTGACAACTGTTGAAGATTACAGAAAATAAATGTAAATCTGGCTGCCATGTGGAAATTCAATAAATGATTATTATTATCATGAAAGAAGTATTCAATGAGAATCTGAAACTATATTATATCTTCACCCTCCCAAAATAATGATTGGATTTTAAGAATTCAATGGTTAAAATCTATCCTGTTGATCTGTTTTGGAAACGTGAGAAAACCACAGGCAGGGAAGAAAAGTCAAAGGCCCTGACTTACCCTCCTAATGACAACTTTCTGAGGCTTAACATGGAACTATGGATACTATGCGCTATTTAGCAACTGCCATACATAATGGAAGATACAGCGAGGTACCAAACATTTTTCTAGTTATACTAGGAGATCATATGAGATTTTCCCCCTAGTATTTATAGGCAGAATAGTATATTGCTTATTTTATCTTTAATATTAAGAAAATAAAATGAAGCTTTCAAATATTTGATGTGAAAGTCACATGTTACTGAGTGCTTTGAAGTGACTTTAAACACCGTTTCAAGAAAAGCATACAACAGTTTCCCTTTGGCCAGGACTAGAGATTTGACTAGACTAACTGGCAGGGCCAAAACCAAGGGCTCAAGCAGAGCACAAACTTGTTTGCTGTGGTTGGGGGATCACATGCATATTTGCCCATGCTGGGAATGTGTTAAGCCAATCTATCAGGGACACAACCAGCATGTTTCTCTGAATTAGTGACTCACCAAATATGTCTGCCAATTTTTTGGAAATGGAAACATGCCCTGGTACCCACTCAGCTTCTCACTGGCCTAGGGACTCTTATCACCTTATACACAGGGGCTGAAGTTAAGGAAACAGCCGACATGGTCAGAGATTAGTTACATATAAAGCAATTGAGTTTTAAAGTAAACGTTTTAAGATTAAGTGGAAAGCTACGTTTATGACTTTCACAAAATGGAGCTACATATACAGAAAGAGAACACCAAACAAACCCTATGGTAATGAACTAGAAATGAACCTATCTTTCACTAGTATCAAGACAAAGGCAAGATGCAAACTTCAAACACAATTATGCATTACTTTTTATATTCTACATCTGTTTCTTGACTTAGTCCAATAACAATTTGATAATTATACATAAAGGGAATAATCTAACCAAATTTCATCCAAGTTTCAATGTTTCAGCAAGCATTTAAATTTTTTTCACAATACATAAAAAGGGAAAGTATATTTTATAACTAGTCCCAGATTCATTTCTTAAGCAGGCAGTATCAAGTCTTCAAAGGCAATTGTGATTCTCACATGTTAGACTATCGCATTTAATCAGTACAATGAAACAGAATCAAACAGTTTCTTCATTTCACTTAACTCACCATGTGTAGGTGGACAGATTTAGTAGGGTCTAATATGCTAGAATCAACTAGCATCAACAATTTTCTCCGAATATCAGCCGCTCTAAATGACACAGTACTGGTTTGAGAAGTAGTTACACACATACACAAGAACTTGACCATGTCTAAAAGAAGGAGATCGTGCTTTGACAGATATTCTTCAGCTAATGGATTCATGGCACCTAAAAATGAAAAGCACTTATTAACACTGAGAGGTAGAAAAGCCATATATTATTATTTTTTTTAGAGGCTAGCACTGTGGCATTGCAGGTAAAACCACTGCCTGCAGTGTGAGCATCCCATATGGACGCCGGTTTGAGTCCCGGCTGCTCCACTTCCAATCTAGCTCTCTGCTATGGCCTGGGAAAGCAGTAGAAGATGGCCCAAGTCCTTGGGCCCCTGCACCTGCATGGGAAACCTGGAAGAACTTCTGGCCATTTGGGGAGTGAACCAGTGGATCAGAACTGGAGCAGTCGGGACTCGAACTGGCACCCATATGGGATGCCGGCACTTCAGGCCAAGGCATTAACCAACTGCGACACAGCGCCATCCCACCACATATATTAACTGGAATATCCTCCCCTTCTCCTACCCCAAAAAGTGTACAGAAAACAAAACTACAATGAATTTAATTATACAACAAAAGCTTCGAATTTCTTGATGAAAAGGATTCTATTATTAAGAAATAATCAAAAACAGGAAAAAAGGTATTTAGATTAATTCCACCATAGTAATGCTATTACAAGGAAACAGAAAAGAACTCTTCTATGAGTTCCAATAGTCTTTTTTTTTTGGCCAGGCAGTTAGACAGGGAGAGAGAGAGAGAGAGACAGAGAGAGCGGTCTTCCTTCCATTGCTTTACTCCGCAAATGGCCGCCTCAGCTGGCACCACGCCAATCCGAAGCCAAGAGCTGGGTACTTCCTCCTGGTCTCCCATGCGGGTGCAGGGACCCAAGCACTTAGGCCATCCTCCGCTGCCCTCCCGGGCCACAGCAGAGAGCTGAACTGCAAGAGGAGCAACCAGGACTAGAACCCGGGGTGCTGGCACCGCAGGTGGAGGATTAGTCTAGAAAGCCACAGTGCCAGCTCCCAAATTTCTGACAATAAAAATTGGTCGAAAAAAATTGGTCAAGAAAATCACAATATTTAGTATTAGAATAGTATAGTTGGGGCCAGCACTGTGGCTCAGCGGATTAACCTCCTGGCCGGAAACGCCAGCATCCCATATGGGTGCTGGTTTAAGACCCGGCTGCTCCACTTCCAATCCAGCTCTGTGCTATGGACTGGAAAAGTTGTAGAAAATGGCTCAAGTCCTTAGGCCCCTGCACCTGCACAGGAAACCCAGAAGAAGCTTCTGCCTCCTGGCTTTGGATCAGCGCAGCTCCGGCCATTGCAGCCAACTGGGGAGTGAACAATCGGAAGGATGATCTCTCTCCCTCTCTCTGCCTCTCCTCTCTCTGTGTAACGAAAACTTTCAAATAAATAAATAAATCTTTAAAAAAATAGTATAGTCATTAAAAAGTTGTGCTCTAACAGGTAAAATCACTGCCTGCAATGCTGGCATCCAAGCTGCTCCACTAACAATCCAGCTCCCTGCTAATGGCTTAGGAAAAGCAGCAGTTACTTGGGGAAAATGCTTATTTTAATGTTAAACTAACATTAAAACTAACAAGTTATAAAAGGGATATGGGAGCAGACACTTGGCCAAGCAATTAAGATGGCCGAATCCCATGTCAGAGTATTTGGATTCAATTCCCAGCTCTGGCTCCCAACTCCAGCTTCTTGCCAATGTAGATATTAGGAGGAAGCAATGATATAGCTCAAGTGACTGGGTCTCTGCCACCAATTTGCAGGCATATGCAGATCAGAATTCCATCTCTCATTGGTGAGATCCTGTTCCCCAAAATCTATCAAATGGCTCTACTTCCTTTTATAAGTTTTATTTATTTATTTATTTGAGAGGCATAAAGATAGCGAACATGTTCCCATCTGCAGGTTCATTTCTCAAATGCCCACATAGTACTCCCAGATGAGTGACAGGAATCCAACTACTTGAACCATCTGCCGGCTCCCAAGATATGTGTTATAAGGGAGGTGGAAAGAAGAGTAGAGCTAGGACTTTAAGTCAAGCACTCTAACACAGGAAGCTGGAATGCCAAGCAGAAGATTAACCACCACAACAAATGCTCTTTTCAGAGGGGTGAAATTTAGCAGTAATGTCTTATAATTCTGAATTCCTCCCGGGAAGAATATAATAGAAAGTTAATAAATTCAGTTTAAAAAAAATAAATCCAGGCCGGTGCCGTGGCTCAACAGGCTAATCCTCCGCCTTGCGGTGCCGGCACACCGAGTTCTAGTCCCGCTCGGGGCGCCGGATTCTGTCCCGGTTGCCCCTCTTCCAGGCCAGCTCTCTGCTGTGGCCAGGGAGTGCAGTGGAGGATGGCCCAAGTGCTTGGGCCCTGCACCGGCATGGGAGACCAGGATAAGTACCTGGCTCCTGCCATCGGATCAGCGCGGTGCGCCGGCCGCAGCGCGCCGGCCGCGGCGGCCATTGGAGGGTGAACCAACGGCAAAGGAAGACCTTTCTCTCTGTGTCTCTCTCTCTCTCACTGTCCACTCTGCCTGTCAAAAATAAATAAATAAATAAATAAATAAAATAAATCCAAGAAATTTAAGGTGAACAGGAAGGGAACAATCATTACAGATTACGCTAAGGAAAAATGAAATGAGCATAAAATTGAAATTAATGAGACTTTCTATAATGTTCAAGTAATATAAACAGGGAAAAGACATCCCAAACAGAAAATATGTACTTACCAATAGTATTTTGGTTCTCTCCAAATTCATTTGCATCACTCTCACTACTAGCAGAGTGATCATTAAAGAGATTCATGGATGACTGATCTTCTACCTCCATTAGATTTTCAGTAGTATCATCTTCCATTGATTCTATTTCTCCACAGTCAAATGGCTTTTTTATTAAGGTTGCCTTCAAAGAAGAGAAACAAGGATGTTCAAGTTGGCTCCTTTCAGGAAAAAATAGTTAAAACTCACCCAGAGAATTCAATATTTATGTATCCATGAATGCAACAGTATTATTTTTATTCAACATCCACTTGGAAAATGGATATAAAAACTGTAATACAGCAGTATTCCTAATTTTCAAACTTTATAAATGATTCTTTGTATTAAAAAGTTATGTATTGGGGCTGGTGCTGTGGCATAGCAGGTAAAGGCACTGCCTGCAGTGCCAGTACCACATATGGGTGCCGGCTTGAGTCTTGGCTGCTCCTCTTCTGATCCAGCTCTCTGCTAATGGTCTGGGAAAGCAGCAGAGGAAGGCCCAAGTGCTTGGGCCCCTGCACACAGGTGGTAGACCTGGAGGAAGCTCCAGGCTCCTGGTTTCAGCCTGGCACACCTCCAGCCACTGTAGCAATTTGGGAGTAAGCCAGCGGATGGAAGGTATCTCTCTGCCTCTCCCTCTCTTTAGCTGTAACTCTGCCTCTCAAATAAATAAACCTTAAATATATATACACATATGTGTATGTGTGTGTGTGTATGTGTATATCCCAAGTTAATAAGGATGTGTGGAAAAACTAGTTTAACTATTTTGAGGGATAATGACACTATCCATTAAAAATAAGATTCATATTCTCAACAAGCAAATTTACTGCTAGAATTTATTCTGTATCATTCATTTGCACGAATACAAGTACACAAAATAAAGAGTTCAAGAACCTTTACTTTAGAACTCTTTGCAACAAAAAGCAATATTTTAAAGAGATTAAAATTAAATATATATATTTAAAAATTATATATATATTTATATTTAAAAGTATATGTTTAAATATATATTTAATTTATTATATATATATTTAATTTATATTAAATATATATTTAAAATTATATATTTAAATATTAAATATATATTTAAATATATAAATATATATACATATAAAATTCATAAAAGGTAGGACACCATACATTGCTAAAAAAGGCACAGAAGTGCCGAGACAGCATATGATAAAGTAAAACACCCCTTCATGATGAAAACTCTAAGCAAACTGGGTATAGAAGGAACATTCCTCAACACAATCGAGGCATTTTATGAAATACCCATGGCCAGCATCTTATTGAATGGGGTAACGTTGGAAGCATTTCCACTGAGATCTGGTACCATACAGGGATGCCCACTCTTACCACTGCTATTCAATATAGCACTGGAAGTTTTAGATGGAGCCATTAGGGAAGAAAAAGAAATTAAAGGGATACAAAATGGGAAGGAAGAACTCAAACTATCCCTCTTTGCAGATGATATGATTCTTTATGTAGGGGATCCAAAGAACTCTACTAAGAGACTACTGGAACTCATAGAAAAGTTTGGCAAAGTAGCAGGATATAAAATCAATGCACAAAAATCAACAGCCTTTAAAGAACTTCTAAGATCAATCCCATTCACAATAGCTACAAAAACAATCAAATATCTTGGAATAAACTTAACCATGGATGTCATAAATAAAAGTGTCAATTGTTAAATCAACAGGAGTCACTGTACACTTGCTCCCCATGTAAGATCTCTGTCCTTAATGTGTTGTACCATGCAAATTAACGGTAAAACTACTACTCAAACAGTACTTTATACTTTGTGTTTCTGTGTGGGCGCATACTGTTGAAATCTTAATATATACTAAGTTGATCTTCTGTATATTAAGATAATTGAAAATGAATCTTGATGAAGAATGGGATGGGAGAGGGAATGGGAGATGGGATGGCTGCAGGTGGGAGGGAGGTTATGGGGGGAAAAGCCGCTATAATCCAAAAGTTGTACTTTGGAAATTTATATTTATTAAATAAAAGTTGACAAAAAGGCATAGAAGTATGTAGCTTATAAAATAAGTACAGTTATAGAGAAAACCATCAATACTTGCATTAAAATAAAAATAACCAATTTATAGAGTATTATCTCACTCAGAATAAATGTTTATTCTATGTTCCAGGCACTAGGCACATATAATAAATATGACTGGGTTTTTGCTACTAATTTGCAGGCACTTGCAGATCAGAGTTCCATCTCTCATCTGTGAGATCCTGTTCCCCAAAACCTATTATATGGCTTTATTTCCTTTTGTAAGTTTTATTTATTTATTTATACAACAGAATGTATGTAGCATTAAGCTGATTTTCATGGGATAAATAAAAAATCAATACCACAGTAAGAATATGTTGCAGGCCGGCGCTAATCCTCCGCCTTGCGGAGGCTAATCCTCCGCCTTGCGGCTCCAGCACACCGGGTTCTAGTCCTGGTTGGGGCACCAGATTCTGTCCCAATTGCCCCTCTTCCCGTCCAGCTCTCTGCTGTGGCCCGGGAGTGCAGTGGAGGATGGCCCAAGTGCTTAGACCCCGCACCCGCATGGGAGACCCGGAGAAGCACCTGGCTCCCAGGTTCGGATCAGCGCGGTGCGCCAGCTACAGCGCGCCGGCCGCAGCGGCCATTGGAGGGTGAACCAACGGCAAAAGGAAGACCTTTCTCTCTGTCTCTCTCTCACTCTCATTGTCCACTCTGCCTGTCAAAAAAAAAAAAGAATATGTTGCTTGTCTGGTAATGTTTTTCATTTTTTTTAAGAAAAATAATTATTCTGAATTTTGGCAGTGTTACACAGAAAGAGGTATGAGCCCAGATGATTAGTTTCCAGTTTTAGAATCTATTATTTATTGAGAATCAAAAAGCCAGGTACTGCATTAGGTACCAACATTAAGGACCTATCAAATACATTTTCTTCAAACCCAATGTTTTTATTTAATATTGTCATTTATACAAAAATAAGATGATATACATTTTGAGATCGAACCTTTTTAAGACATTTCAACAAGAAAAAAATACACATTTTAGAATCATAAAATTAAAACAGGAACCATACTTACTAGACTTTTACAAATATCTGCAATGTCATTCATTAGCTTTGATGTTAACAATCGTAGGAAAAAGCCAGATGTAATCTTATTTGGATTCTGCTATAATTAAGACAATGAATCAAGCAATAAAGAAATTTTAAAATTACTCTTGGCAGATAGTATTTGTTCTACTTCAAATAAAATGTACATAAAAATTTACTATTAAGGCCAAACCTTAAATTATTTCAGAAGCAGTAATTTCTTTTCTTATAGAAATAATAACTATAATACGACTTTGAATATGAATGTGCTTAAAAAATTTAAAATATCAGCTAATTATACAAAACATAAGCAGTAACTGCAGATTACAGTTTTTTTCTTCCATTTCTATCTTTTCTCACTTAAAGCAAATGGCAGAAATCAAAATGCAAAACCAGAAATATATGCTGATAATATTGATATATGGTCAAGTACTTTTCAAGATATTTCCAGTTATTATTAACTTTTAGAGATCTTTCCAATTATTATTTACATTCTGCAGGGCTGAACTAAAGCCATAGACCTGCTCCAAGTCAAAACAAAGATCACCAGGAATAGTAGTCTTTCTACTAAACACTATCTAAAATGATGTGGGCAAAATCAAGTAACTTATGTGCTAGAATTATCTTTGTGATACACATTAGTCCTGGTATAGGAATATGCATATCACATAGTTTATAGTTAACAAATTTTCATTAAACAAATGAAAATACGTCAGCAATAAAAGAATCATCTATGTTAATGCCATATGAAAGTGGGTAGAAAATCTCAGAAAATTTCAATGATGAAATTAGTTCCACAAGAAACTCAGACTACTATTCCTTTATTCCTCTGTATATTATCTTTACAGTTCAATTTATCTTTAAGTCAGTTTATGAACTTAAGAACGAAGCCAAAAAAAAAAAAAATCAGTAATTATTCCCCTAAATGAGCTACATTCCAAGTAAGCAGAGTATCTTACCTTGGTACAGTTACATAAGCAACTTGTACATATATGCATCATATTTCTCAGGGAACCAATTCTAGATTCCTCATATGTCTTATTTTTGAACAGAGTTATGCTTTCTCCTGCACACTGCATTAAAGACTATTAAGAACAGAAGGAGGGAAAATTAAAATTCTAATTAAAATTATAGTTTAGTATTGCTTCCATAGACAATTGCATTTACAAATCGGACATGGTCATAAAGTAAAATAAAAAAGCATGAACATTAAAAAAATTACAAATCTTATACTTTATTTTCTGCAAGTCATTCCATTATCAGAAATGCCAAGGGGCCTACATCATAGTACAGCGGGTAAACCAGTTGCCTGCAACACCAGTATCTCATATGAGCACAGGTTCGAGTCCCAGATATTAAGGGGTAAACCAGCAGACAGAGATCTCTTGCTCTCCCTTTGTAATTCTTTCAAATAAATAAATAAATATTAAAAAAAAAAAAAGTACTGAGAGAGAAGGACATACAGTATGATTTCTTCTCAGGCAGCATAAATAAAAGAAAGGGTTAACTATATGGGCTGAGTATCCCTTATCCAAAATGATTAGAAGTACTTCAGATTTCTTTCAAATTTTAGAATATTTGCATATAATTGAAGACTAAACATGAAATTATTTCATACACACCTTATACCCTCAGCCTGAAGGTGATCCTATGCAACAATGTGTTATGCATCTCCATTTTAACTATAACTCATCAAATGAGGTCAGATATGAAATTTCTACTTGTAGAATCATGTCAGACTCCAAGTTTCAGATCAGGGAACATGTCAGATCTCAGATTAGGAATGTTCAACTTAAGTAACATTTTGCTTTCCAAACAAATTTAACTAGTTTTTCAGAAATCAACAAAAATTCTCCTACCTTGGCTTTCTGGAACAATTCTGATTTACATGCTTCCTCTTCAGCTATTATACCCATAGAAGAATAGCAGCCGAGAACACCCACCAAAAGACTTGAACACCGGACGAGTGTTTCTAAATTTGTAATCTGAAACCACAAATAGGAAAATATTATTTTATTAGTAGTTTGGGGTACTGTAAAATTACCTTTTATTAAGACCAAATTTTATATACATATTAAGAAGCAAAAGGTCAGTTAAGTGAATTAAAGATGGCATATTATGAACATCTTGAGAAAACACCAAGTAGGTTACTATAGTGTTCTAATAACAAAGATTCTCAATAAAAATGGCTTAAGTTTCTCCTACTGACCAAGTAGGACACAACCTTTAAAATGTTCTCTACACACAGATCTTCTTTTTGTTTAACATTTATTTATTTGAAAAGCAGAAATACAGAGAAGCAGACGCAGGGGAAGGGTAGGAGAGAGAGGTTTTCCATTGCTGGTTCACTTCCCAGAAGAAGCCAGAGCTTCTTCCAGGTCTCCAACGCAGGTGCAGGGGCCCAGGGACCTGGGCTATCTTCTACTGTTTTCTCAGGCTATAGCAGAGAGCTGGATCAGAGGAGGAGCAGTTGGGATTGGATCAGAAGTGGGGCAGCTGGAACTCGAACCTGCACTCATATGAGATGCCGGCACTGCAGTCGGGAGTTTTACCCACTACGCCACAGCACCAGCCCTTACACACAGATCTTTAAAGGAACGGTGCACAATACACACAGGTTCTTAAGTATTTGAGGTAGTGGTAAAAGAGAAGATAAATATCCTGACCAGCTGGCATTGTGGCGCAGTGGGTTAAGCCATGGCCTACAGTGCCAGCATTCCACATACATGGATGCCAGTTCGAGTGTTAGCTGCTCTACTTCCAATGCAGCTCCACAGGAACACACCAAGGAAGTCAGTGGATGATAGCCTGAGCATTTTGGCCACTGCCACCTGTATTGGAGAACCAGACAGAATTCATGGCTTCTGCCTGGCCCAGCAGTGGGTGTTGTGGCCATTTGCGGGGGTGAACTAGCGGGTGGAAGATCTCTGGCTGTCCCTCTCTGGGTAACATTGCCATTCAAATAAAATAAACAAATCTTTAAAAAGAAAAAATCCTTACGGGCAAATAAATGTTTCTCAGTCTTGAGATATAACTAGAAATTAGATGCATATAAAGAGACTTCAAAGGAGCTGGCACTGTGACGTAGTATGCAAAGCTTCCACCTGAAGCACTAGCATCCCATGTGGGCACCAGTTCGTGTTCTGGCTGCTCCTCTTCTATTCCAGCTCTCTGCTTATAGCCTGGGAAAGCAGTGGAAGATAGCCCAAGTCCTTGGGCTCCTGTACCAGCGAGCACACCAGAAGAAGCTCCTGGCTCCTGGCTTCAGTTCAGCCCAGCTCTGGCCACTGTGGCCATCTGGGAATGAACTGGTAGATGGAAGACTTTTCTCTCTGTCTCTCCTTCTCTCTGCAACTGTAGCTTTCAAAGAAATAAATAAAATCTTTAAAAAAAAAAAAAGACATTAAAATAACATTTTTAAAAGACTATTTGTTTATTCATTTGAAAGGCACAGTGACAATATAGAAAAGAGACAGAAATCTTATATCCACTAGTTCACTCTCTCCAAAAATGCCCACAAACAGCCAGGGCTGGACCAAGCCACAGCTGTGAGCCTGGAAATCCTTTCAGGTTTCCCAAGTGGGTGACAATACATTAGCCATCATGTGCTAACTCCCAGGTGCATTATCAGGAAGCTGGATGAGAAGCAGACATGGGACTCAATCCTAAGTATCTTGATATGGAATGTGAATACCTCAAGTAGTAGCTTAACCTGCTGCACCACAACACCCACCCGTAAAATGGCATTTTGAGCTTCTGAAGGAAAAGTACCTTGATTTATACAGTTTTTTGGACTCCAGAGACTAGCACAAAATATTTTTCTAATAGATACTATTTAGACAATTTACAGAATATGTAAGGTTGCAAAGATTACATAGTAAAACAAGATTTTCAGATTTTTCTATTCCTATATTGCACAAAACAGTACTTTAGTGGAAAAGGTAGAAAACAATAAATTACTTTACAATGGAATTAGATACAATTTGATGCAGAAGGATGTCAGTAATCAAAGGAAAGTAAGAGATAAAACAGACACACACTGGCCCCTCTAGGGTCTTTTGGGTCATTTACCTTGGATATTGAACTAACTCCCTTCTATAGCTTCTGGGCTATTTTATTCAAGTATTTTATCACTTATCTATGTAAAAAGGCATTGTGGAAAACAAAGAATAAAAAAAAAAAATATGTATGGGAGCTAGTGCTGTGGCTTGGTAGATAAAGCAGCCGCCTGCAGTGCCGGCATCCCATACAGGTGCCAGTTCATGTCCTGGCTGCTCACTTCTAATCCAGCTTTCTGCTATGGCCTGGAAAAGCAGACAATGGCCCAAGTCCTTGGGTCCCTGCACCCGTGAGGGAGACCTGGAAGAAGCTGTTGGCTCCTGGCTTCAGAATGGCTCAGCTCTGGCCATTAAGGACAGTTAGCGAGTGAACTACAGGTTGAAGACCTCTCTCTCTGCCTCTCTGTAACTCTTTCAAATAAATAAATCTCTTTTAAAAAGTGTGTGTGTGTGTGTGTGTGTATGCATATATATATAGGGGGCCAGCACTGTGGCACAGGAGGTTAATGACCTGGCCTGAAGCGCCAGCATCCCACATGGGTGCCAGTTAGAGACTCAGCTGCTCCACTTCCAATCCAGCTCTCTGCTATGGCCTGGGAGAGCAGTAAAGATAGCCCAAGTCCTTGGGCCCCTGCACCCACGGGGGAGACCAGGAAGAAGCTCCTGGCTCCCGGCTCTGGATCGGTGCAACTCCAGCCGTTGTGGGCAACTGGGGAGTGAACCATCGGATGGAAGACCTCTCTCTCTCTCTCTCTCTCTCTCTCTGCCTATCCTCTCTCTGTGTAACTCTGACTTTCAAATAAATAAATAAATCTTTAAAATAAAGTGTGTGTGTGTGTGTGTGTATATATATATATATAGAGAGAGAGAGAGAGATAACATACATAAATATCACGGTATAATGAAGATCCTATGGGCCATTAAAAATTCAAAATATTAAAAGTATTCTGAAAATTTAAAGATAAAAATCTATTAAAATTGACAATGTCTAAGAAAGGCTCAGCAACAACCTTAATATGTGGATGGGGGCTGGTGCTGTGTTATAGCGCGTAAAGCTGCCGCCTACAGCACCACATGGGCGCTGGTTTGAGTCCCGGCTGCTCCACTTCTGATCCAGCACTCTGCCATGGCCCAAGTCCTTGGGCCCCTGCACCCGTGTAGGAGACCTGGAAGAAGCTCCTGGCTTCATATTGGCACAGCTCTGGTCATTGCAGTCATCTGGGGAGTGAACCAGTGGACGTAAGATTTCTCTCTCTCTGCATCTGCCTCTCTGTGACTCTGCCTTGCAACTAAATTAATAAATCTTAAAAAAAAAAAAAAAACTGCACTACAATTCCCACATCATCCAGCATTCTTTAAAAAATAAATACATTTTTAAAAGTAGATGATTTGAATACAAAGAAATGGGCAGAACAATAGTTCATGAGGAAATACGAGTTTAGTCAAGAGGACAATACACATGAAGCAAATTTGTGGTTTTATATCAGGACAAAGAAAAACATAATGAGAAATATATTATCACCCATTCCTCTTAAAATGCCACCAAAACATATCAGATCTGTTTAAATTTTGTACTTTTTTGGTTAATATCTCCTACCTTTGTATTGAGAAGTTTGTTTCATATTAAAAGTCAAACTGTGACTACTCTAACTAACATACCCAAACAATCTTATTCATGTCTACCACAATTCCTGGCAGAAAACAAGTATTCAAATTATTATTCTTTAGTTACCTTTTTTTCAAGCTAAGTTTTCCCTAATCATTGCAATGTATTGCCATTTTGATTTTAAAACCAATTATTTAGGGAAGGTGTTTGGTGTAGGAGTTAAGACATTACTTGTACAGGGGTCCCTGAGATCTATTCCAAACTCTATCTCCAACTTCAGCTTCCTGCTAATGTGCAACTTGGGACACAGTAGGTGATCAGTGAAGAAGTACTTGGGTTCCTGCCACCCACATGGAAGATTTGCACGGAGTCCAGGACTCCTGGCTTCAGCCTGGTTGTTACAAACATTTAGGGGTGGGAGATCTCTCTGTAAGTCTTGTCTCTGTTTCAAACGAATAAAGTGATTAAAAAAAAAGAAGAAAGGAAAAGCCCTTTCCCACCACCATGTCTCTTTTCCAACAGCCTGCTAAAGTTAGAATAAACTTAAGTTTCAGTTCTTTTTTCTAAAAAAAATCTCACCTCAGATGAATAATTATTTAGAAGTTGTTCTGATAATCCCAGAAGATAGCGGTTCAGTGATTCCTTGAGATTCTGGTGAACAGAAAATCCAATACTGGATTGAAGCTTTTCTGTTGCACATTCTTTTACAACAGTTAAAAAATCCATCTTGTCAAAAGTTGTCTGAAGAAATAGTTCTTCTATTTCAGAGAATGAAGGCTCTTCTTTAACTTTTTGGTGTTCACTTTAAGAAAGTATGATCTTTAATTTATAATCTAATATTTAAGTTCCATAAACTAGCAAAATATTACAAAGGAAAACATTAACACAGTATCTACATTATTCAGGTACTGCTTATACAATGGATTATTCCTCATTTAAATAATTCTCTTCCTTGGGCTTTGATACCTACTTGGATCAAATTACATTACACAGTAGGAAATTTTACCACAAGATGAACAAAATAAATACAAGTAGGGCTGATGCTGTAACACCATAGGTTAAGGCACCTCTTGCAAAGCTGGCATCTCCTATTTGTGTGTGTGTTCAAGTCCTAGAAATTTGCTTCTGATCCAGCTTCCTGCTAAAATGCCTAGGAAGCCATAGGAGGATGGCCCAAGTACTTGGAGCCCTAAAACCCATGTTGGAGAACAGAATAGAGTTCCTGGCTCCTGGCTTACACCTGGTTGTTGCAGTGATTTAGAGTGAATGTGTGAATGGAAGATATCTCTTTGTCTCTACCTCTCTTACTCTGCCTTTCAAATAAATAACCTTTAAAAAGAACAAAGAAAAAAAGAGAAATACAAGTGAAAATTTCAAAGGCAAATTCAGAAAATACTAAAAGGTAAGTAACACCATATATAAACACTGACAATACTGCCTAGAAATATATCTTTTTTCACCTTTGATTTCTCCAAATGCTAGGATTTTTTTCATCTTACATCTTCTTGAGGAAATCTGCATGCCAGTGATTATTTTCAGTCACAAATTAGGGATACATATTATTCTCTTAAGTCAATCAAGTAAAACCTAGCTTTTTAGATTTTTGGTTTCAATTATTACTATTATTGAAAAAAAAAAAAAAAAGAGAGAAAAGAGAAAGAAAGAGAGCATGTGACAGAACTCCTATCAGATAGCTAATTTCCCAAATGGCCACAACAGCAGGAAACAAGCTACCCGGTAGAAGCTGTGAGGTGAGAACTCAATCCAGTCTCCTACATAAACCCAATTACTTGACCCATCTCCACTACCTACCAGGATCTGCATTAGCAGGAAGCTGGAGTCAGGGGCCAGAACCAGGCATGGAACTCAGGTACTTAGTTACAGGATGCAGGCATATTTATTTGAGAGGTAGAATTATAGACAGAGAGGGACAAAGTTCTTCCATCTGCTGGTTCATTCCCTAAATGGCCACAATGCCTGGAGCTGAGCCCAACTGAAGTCAAGAGGCAGGAGCTTCTTCTGGGTTTCCCACACAGGTGCAGGCGCCAAAGCACTTGGGTCAACTTCCACTGCTTTCCCAGGCCATACACAGAAAGCTGGATCAGAAGAGGAGTAGCCAGGATACAAACTGCTGCCCACATGGGATGCTGGCAGCTCAGGCTCAGGCTTAGCCTATTACGGCCACAGCACCTGCCCCCACTAGGATGCAAGTATATTAACTAGAATTTTAACTACCAGGCCAAATGCCCACCCAATTATCATTACCTTTTAAAACGAACAATAATCAAATTCTACCTGATTTTTAAGACATGTGTAACATCTTTAAGAATTGATTTCACAGAATTTTTGTTTTTTAACTTACCTTAACTACTCAATTTTTCCATTGTCACTTGTTATACTATTATATATATCACATTATTTAGATTAAGATCCAGTAACCTTGATCTAAAATTATAGAACACATATTACAATCACTGATTTAAAACAATCTTTTCTCCAAGGACACTTGTGATTTTGTTACTAATTTAGCTAATAATTAAGATACAACTAGTACTCTAGTAAAATTATTATCTTTGTAATTAAAGATATGTATTAAAGGGGCCAGCGCTGTGGCATAGCGGGTCAAACTGCCAACTGCAGTGCTGACATCCTATATGGGTGCTGGTTCAAATCCCAGCTGCTCCACTTCCGAACCAGCTCTCTGCTATGGCCTGGGAGAGCAGTAAAGATGGTCCAAGTCCTTGGGCCCCTGGACCCACGGAGGAGACCAGGAAGAAGCTCCTGGCTCCTGGCTTCGGATCAGTGCACCTCCCGCCGTTGCGGCCAACTGGGTAGTGAACCAGCAGATGGAAGACCTCTCTCTCTCTCTGCCTCTCCTTCTCTCTCTGTGTAACTGTAACGTTCAAGTAAATAAATAAATAAATCTTAAAAAAAAAGATATGAATTAAAATAAAATAAGACTATATTTGACAACATACCATTCTTGCCCACTTTGGAAAAACTTCATTGCAGCTTTAGAGTTTTTCATAGTGAGACTCACCAGAATTTTCTCCAGTATGCAATGAGGAAAATTACTATAAAAAAAAAAAAAAAAAAACTAAGAAAAAAGTTCACATAAGGGACAAAAAGCCATTTAAAATATTCTCTAAACATTAACATTTATGCCTGGTTATAAATCTTGACCTCTAAACCTGGATTTTAAATTAAAATTGTTTTCATCTGTACTAAATTCCTTAATATATGAATGGAGAATATAAAAGGATACACATCATGTTACCCTCATTTCCAACACTTCTTGTAAGCAGAATCAAGTCTGCATTTCTAGATACGATTGTGAAATCAAAGCAAAACTATCAGCATTCAGAGGTATACTCTCATCACTCACTTCCAATTACCATCTGTGGAAAGGTCAAATGGATAAGTTGCTCTGCTCCTCTATCCAAGTGCTATTTTGTTTTTCTCTTGTTTCCTTACCTCCTTAGTTCAATACTTTTCACCCATATGACACTCTCATGAATAAGGATCCAGGATCCACTTGAGTCACATATATAGATCTATTTACACAGGATTACAAAGGGACATACAAATGCTCAAAAATTATATGCATATTCCTCATGTACATTCCCATATTTTCACAGTAAGACAATTTATTTCAGAAATGATCCAAGCACAAAGACATAGAGTACTATATAAGCAAAGAGAATATTTATTATTAGGGCTAGCTCTGGAAAACCCTGCATTATCACTACAAAACACAGCCGTCCCATCTAATAACAAATTTATATAAAGCAACAGAGGGCAGGAGTGTGGCGGTAGCAGGTAAAGCTGCCACTTGCAATGCTGGGTGCCTGTTCTATGTCCCAGCTGCTCCACTTCCAATACAGCTCCCTGCTAATGGCCTGGGAAAAGCATAGGACAGCTCTAGCATTTGCGCTCCAGCCACAAGGTGGAAGACCAGATGAAGCTCCTGGTGTTCTTGTTTTTGGCCTGTCCCAACCCTAGCTGTTGCATCTGTCTGGGGATTGAACCAGTGAATGGAATCTCTCCCCTCTCTAAGTCTTTTAAATAAACAAATCTCTAAAAACGAAGAATAACCAAAACAAAACAACTAGCAGAATACTAATATTAATGAAATGATATTACCTGTGAAGAATAGGGGGCAATTCTATACTGTCTTCTAAGTCATCTTCTAATTGATAAAATAAGAGCCATTTCATTATCAATTCCTTTAAAGAAAAACTTCTGTTTACTTCACATATATTTAACTCTATTCCTGTTTTTACTGTTTCTGGAACAATGCAGCTAGACATTGCCAAAGCCAAACAGTATACAGTAGAACTGTAACAAAAACAAAGGACAATTGTTAAAAATAAGCCTTTGGGGTCATATATTTGGTACAGCAGTTAAGATGCCACTTGGCAGACCTCATCTCCTATCAGAGTGCCTACATGCAAGTTCCAGCTCCGCTTCTGATTTCAGCTTCCTGTTAATGTGCACCCTGGGAAGTAACAGGTTCAAGTAGTAGGGCCCCTGTCACCCACCTGGGAGACCCAGATGGAGTTCCTGGATCTTGGCTTCAGTCTGGGAGAGCCCTGCTATTGTGAGCATTTGGGAAATGAACCAACAGCTAAATGAACCAACAGCTGCAAGATCTTTGTCTGCCTTTGAAGTAAGTATAAATAAATATATGCGTGTATACATATGTATACACACATACACATATATCTATAAATATATATATTTTTTAAAGGTAAGCTTCTTTGAGAGTAAGACACCTTCTCTAATCAATTATCACTATGTCTTCAGTACTCAGGAAGGTGCCAGGCACATTGCAGGCACATATACTAAGTTAAATTGTATTGACTAAATGAACAGAAAAACTATAAAAAAAAAAAAAAGTCTGAATGTATTTACATATCTCTTATAATAGTTGGTAGCATTACAAAAAAGCTTATGAATATTAAACTGCAAATTACAGATAAATTTAAACTTGTTATAATTCTTTAAAGAAATTATTTTTAATCGGTCTTCACTAATCCCTTGACATTTTAACTAGATTTAACATTTATGTACTTAATAACTTTTCTTAAACAGCAAAACCATTAAAGTAGAATTTGATGTTATCCGTAACAAACCACGAAACTGAATTAACAAACCACGAAAATGATCATATACATAATATCCATAATATCTATACAATGCATATTCAACTTACCATGAAGGTCTACAGGCTGACCCAGTAAATAACTTCCAGAATTCTCTGTCGACCTCAACTAAACTACCTTGAATTATGGCTCCCAACAGGCCAAAATTTTCGGCTTGGACTTGTTCAGAACTTATACCACGGAAGGCCATGGTCCAAATTTTAATCCAGAGTTTCAATAAATCTGACTTCTGTGAGCTTTCTAAGTCTGATTTCTTGCCTTGACACAATGCAACTTCTGTAAGACATCGTAAAACATATGGTGTGCGTTCCCCACGTCGCTGTTGAGGAAGAAGCTGGTAGAGTATCATCAGTAATGAAGACAGATCATGATTAGGTAAACTTGCAGGGTATTTTGATATTAACTGGGTTGTAATTTGTAGCCTAAAAGGAAAAAAAGAGGATAATTAGAAAGTTATTCTACCCTATTAACAAGCTAACACAAAATAGAGACAAGCTACCCCTGGAACAAACTAATTAAAGAAGCAACAGCATCATATTCCATATTACTATTCTCATAATAAATTGGCTGTTAAATTTATAAGGTCCTACATTCTAAAGTGACAGGAAGACCACCAACTTTTTGGCTAGTTGGGTAAGTTATATTTCTCTTAAAGTCTGCTTTTTCTTGATATTAATTATTCAATAAATATCCGCTGTGAATTCTCTAGAATGTATACAGCTTAAGTATAAGAACTTCATGTTATTTAGCTCTATATCTCTAATAACTGGCACACAACAAGCGTTCCATAAGTAACTGCTAATTTAATGGACAAATTTTAAAATCTAAAACAGGTACTCTCAATCATAACATGAGCTTGACCAATAGGTACCTACATAAATATAGTTTTCTCCCACCACTAAATTATATTTAAGCATTCCATTAACATGGCAAATATTAGGGTCAGTGCTGTGGCGTAACAGGTAAAGCTGCTGCACGCAGTGCCGGCATCCCATATGGATGCCGGTTCAAGTCCCAGCTGCTCCACTTCTGATCCAGCTCTCTGCTGTGGCCTGGGAAAGCAGTGGAGGATGGCCCAAGTTCTTGGGCCCCTGCTCCCACATGGGAGACAGGGAAGAAGCTCCTGGTTCCTGCCTTCGGATCAGCACAGCTCCAGCCGTTGAGGCCAAGTGGAGAGTTAAACAGTGGATGGAAGAACTCTCTGCCTCTCATTCTCTATGTAATTCTTTCAAATAAAAATCTTTAAAAAAAATATGGTAAATATCAATTTTTTTTTATTTCAACGGCAGAGTTAGAGAGAAAGAAAGAGAGAGAGGGAGAAACAGAGAAAGATCTTCCATCTGCTGGTTCACTCCCCAAATGGCTACAACAGCCCGAGCTGGGCTGATCCAAAGCCAGGAGCCAAGAGCTTCATCTGGGTCTCCCATGTGGGTATGGGTCAGCTTCCACTGCTTTCCTAGGCACAGTAACAGGAAGCTGCATCAGAACTAGAGCAGCTGGGTCTAGAACCAGCACCCATATTAGATGCTGGTTGAACAGGCAGCAGTTTTAGCCGTTATGCCAGATGGCTGGCCCCAAATATCAAGATTATTGATCAGAAGTTTAACTACAATACATACTTTTTCAATTGTCTTTAGCCAAGATGTTAACCCTTATGAGTTTCAGTTTTCTTTTTAGTATAGCAAACAGGCTGAAATGAAGAAATTCCAAAGATCCTTAACAGATATATCATTTTGTGATTCCACAGATTTATACAATGAATCCACATAAATATTTAGGAATGTTAGATATAAGTAAACAAAACAGAAATTAAAGGAAGTAATCTTTTATCATGACATATGGTCAAATTGCTCTGTGGTTTTATTTTTTTAAAATGTGTTTATTTAAAAGGCAGAGTGACAGGAAAAAAAATGAGAGAGAGAGAAAGAGAGAGAGATCTTCCTTCTTGCTGTTGGTTCACTTCCCAAATGACTGCAATGGCCAAAGCTGAGCTAGGCTGAAGCCAGGAACCTGGAACTGCATTCAAATCTACCAAATGGGTGGCAAGGGCCCCATTCCTTGGGCCATCTTCTGCTGCTTCCCCAGGAGCATTATAGTAAGAAACTGATCAGGAAGTATAACAGCTTGGACTCTCATCAATGCTGACATGGCATGCCAGAGTCACAAGTGGTAGCTCATCTCCTGTGCCAAAATGCTGGCCCTGGTTCTGGGATTTCTGAAGTTTACCTTTAATTTCTTCCTAATGTAATTCTATTGCAAGGGGCTATGCATGCTAAAATCTCTTAATGTCAAAACATATACAACTTAGTGCCATGAGAAGAACACTCAGTACCCCTTTTTCCTTGCTATGGCTATATGCGTAGGAACCATGAAGCCTGGCAATCACATTTTTCTTTTATTAATAACTGGTTTAGGATTAGATAAATTACTTAGTTCTAGCCAATAAGATGAAAGGATTCTACTGGAGGTATTCTAAGAAAAAAATAAATGAGAATAACAAGACACTGAACAGCATTTTTACCAAGGCACAAGATCAAAATCATTCTGTGACTTCTGAAGATGATCCTTTATTACTTCCCAGCCTAGTTCTATTTTCTTCCTTTTGCAAGGTGTACTGTATTCACTAGATTCTCTTTGTGTAGTAGTGTAAGACTGAGAAATTTCCAAAGATCTGGTATCTTCATTAAACACCTGTAAAATAAACATAAACTTACTTTTTTGTTGCTTCACTTTCTAATAATTCCTCAGAAAAAAATTTCTTCTCAAATGAAGATATAGGAAATTCAGAAATAAATTATAGAAACACATAGAAATAAAGTACAGTAAGAAACATTTTGAATGACAATAATGGCATCCTTACAAAGCAAGTACTGGTGGATCCCAGATAGCTGAAGATGGAAAAGACGAACTGATTTTGACCACGGGAAGCTACCAGAAGAACGGGGGAGGAACCACATTCCAAAGGGACAGTTAGAAGTTTTCAGTAGAAAGTCCACAGAAAGGACAGACACTCCATGGAGCAGTGAAAACTGTACAAAAACACAGCAACTAGCAGACATCACCCAAGACTCCCATGGTCAGTGGGGACACCACCTTAACAAAGCAAAGTGTGAGAAACTTGTAGTAGTTCATGCCACTGATGATCTTGTCTGAAGGAGAACCCCACAGAAACTGAGTCTGGCCTGAAGAGTTGGCAAGGGATAGGATGCCCACCTAATCCCAAGAATGCACACTGGTTTCCTCCACTCCTCCCATCAAGGTGTCCAGTGAATGGCATGAAGCAAGCACCACCTTCCCAGAACAAGGCCAGTCAAGGCTGCTATGGCTCACACAACACTGGTGGATTTTGTCTGAAAGAGAAATCCATGATCCCCAGTGTCTCTGAGTCTGTCCTAGAGTGTTGGCAGGGGCAGGATGCATACTTAGTTCCCTGAAAGGAGGCCAAGTTGCTACCCTCCCCTCACCTGACAGACCACTGTCGAACAGTTGGCTGATACTGTGCATAGGGCAGCTCTCACATTGGACAGAAGAGCTCACAAGGCAGGGAGAGGATCCCCTGAACCCCGGGACTCTGCATCCTTTAAATGTGAGAATCTTGCGACTGCACAACAGGAAAGAAAATTGAGACGGGCATGAGGCGTGCCTGGGTCTAGGGCAACCCAGGCACTAGATCCAACTCTAAAGGCGTGAAGCTCCCTGAGTACTGAGGAGGGACATTTACAGGGCTTAAAGATCACACTATGGAGCATGGAGATCCTTTATGTGGTTTGTGTACCTCAGTGGGTATAGTGTACAGGTACAGTGGCCTCATTCTTGGCAGCAGGCTCACCTTGGCATAGAGGGGCTGGGGTTGTGAAGACACCAGCCCGATAAATCATACCTTCCTCCCTGCTGATGACTATGACCAACACTGGTATCACTCTGGACTCTTGTCCCACCCTCAAGTTCTGGCCGAAGCTCTTGGCCCCAGTCAGCACACACTTCTTCTGGTTATGTACAGAAGGAGCAGACATTCCACTAAGCCATAAAGGCATATTTCAAATAACAAAGCCTTCAGTAAAATTATCAACAATTGTTTCCCCAGATGCATAAAAACAAATACAAGAAACATGAACAAGGTAGACAATATACTCCGCAAAAGGAACACAATAATACTTCAATATTAGACTGTGAACATAAGTAGATAGATGAAATGCCTGAAAAGGAATTAAAAAAAAAAATTATCACAAGTTTACTTAAAAGAACAAAGATGCAAACACCTAAGTTAAAGAAATCCTTACATCACATGGATGAGAAATTCTGTGAGGAGATAGATATTAAAGAAAAATCAAACTGAAAAGTTAGAAATGAAGAATTCAGTATGTCAACAAATACAGTGGAAAGCCTTAAGAACAGACTCAGGAGCCAGAAGAAAGAATACCCAAACTAAAAGACAAATCTTTAGAACTATCTCAGATTAGAAAAACCAAAAACAATGCTCAGTATCTATAGGATACCATCAAACAATCAAAAACAAGTCTTAGAGGAGTTCCTGAAGGTATGAAAAACAGAATGGCTAAAAAACTTATTGAGTGAAATTAGAGCAGAAAAATTTCCTAATTTGGAGAAAGATGTGGACGTCCAAGTACAGGAAGGTGCACGGAACCCTTCATAGACATGATCATGAATGATCTTCAACATGACACATTATAGCTAAACTTTCAAAAATATAACAAAAGTTCCTAGAAGGTGCGGGAGAAAAGCCAGACTATCTTCAAAGGAACTGCAATTTAGATTGATAGCAGATTTCTCATGTGAAATCCTATAAGCTAGGAGATAATGGAGAGACATGCTCCAAGTCCTAAAAGAAAAACAATTGGGGCTAGCAATATGGCTTAGCAGGTAATGCCATTGCCTACAACACCTGCATTCCATGGGTGCTGGGTCAAATCTTGGTTGCTACACTCTAGCTCCCTGCTAATGCACCTGGGAAAGCGGTGGAAGATGGGCCCAAGTACTTGGGTCCCTGCACCCTACTGGGAGAACTAGAGGAAACTCCTGGCTCCTGCCTGGCCCAGCCCTGGTGGTTGTGGCCATCCAGGGAGTAAACCAGCAGATCGAAGATTTCTCTCTGTCTCTTCCTCTCTAACTCTACCTCTCAAATAAAAAAACATTTAAAACAGATAAAAATGTATTTTAAATGAAGAAAAGAAGAATCAGATAGATTTCTAGACACAATTTACCAAAACTGAGGCACAAAGACACAGAAAACCTCATAGACCAATGACCATGACAGAGATTGAATGAGTAAAAAATACTCTAGCAACAAAGAAAAGCACAAGACCGAACAGCTTAACTAAACTACCAAACTTCTTAAGAACTAATTCCAGTTCTTCTTAAACTATTCTAAACCACTGGAAGGGAGGGAATCCTCCTAAACCTCTTATAGGAGGCATCACTTTAATTCCAAAACTAGAAAAAGATACGAGAGAGAACTATAGATCCATATCACTGAGGAACATGGATCCAAAATCCTCAACAAAATACTAGTTAATCAAAACCAGTAAGAAATCAAAAAGATCATCTACTTGTACCAAGTTGGATTTATCCCCGGGATGCAGGGTAGTTCAATGCATGGAAATCAATAAATGGGATACATCACATTAACAAATTGGAGAATAAAAACCATATGATTATCTCAACGGGGTAGAGAAAGTATTTGATACAATACAACATCCTTTCATGATACAAACCATAAGGACATTGGGTATGTTTCTTCTATACCCAGTTTCCCTCACTATGTTCTTAAAACTATATATATAGCGGGAGCCGCGGCTCACTTGGCTAATTCTCCACCTGCGGCACCAGGACACTGGGTTCTAGTCCTGGTTGGGGCGCTGGATTCTGTCCCGGTTGCTCCTCTTCCAGTCCAGCTCTCTGCTGTGGCCCAGGAGAGCAGTGGAAGATGGCCCAGGTCCTTGGGCCCTGCACCCACATGGGACACCAAGAGGAAGCACCTGCCTCCTGGCTTTGGAGCGGAGCAGTGCACCAGCCGCAGCGCGCTGGCCGCAGCGGCCACTTGAGGGGTGAACCAACAGAAAAAGGAAGACCTTTCTGTTAGGGAACCATTCATGGAGAAAGTAATTGTAGCGCCATTTGAAACAAAGTAACTGCGCAATAGCCAGCTTGAAAGAAAAGTAGAAAGGTAACCACCCTAGCTGGTAAGATTTGAAAATGGACGGCCTAACTAGATGGCCTAACCACAAACTGTTGTTGCCATGACTATGGGATCCTGGGGGGTCGGAATGTGGGCAGTGCTAACCTCTAGAAAATGTATATACATTGTAAAAGAGGTTGCTAAGCCTCTCTCCCCTGTCCCTAGTGCCTAGTGCCCGCGGGGAGAAGCTCCTGGTCCATAGTGCCTAGTGCCCACAGGAGTAGGCTTGAGAGATCTCTCCTCCTAGTCGCCTAGAGTACCAATAAAGTGTGTTTAGCTTGACCTTCCTCAGTCTCCTCGTCTCTTCCTTCCCAGTAACCTGGCCAGTTCCCGAAGGGCAAGCTCCTGACACTTTCTGTCTCTCTCTCTCTAACTCTGCCTGTCAAAAAACAAACAAACAAACAAACAAACAAACAAAAAAAAAAAACCCTCTCTCTCTCTATATATATATTATATATGAAATCTGCTCCTGTTGTATATATAAATAAGTTTTAAGAAGAAAAGCAGATATTATCAACTAAAATATTAATCTTATTTCTTGGAAAGATACTAAAAGCACCAGGAAATCTAATAGTGTAGCAAAAACCTGTATTTTCAAAACTACTGTCTTTAATTTATTACAAAATTGGATAGACTGAAATTACTTCCTAGGATTTAACCAAATTTCTAAGGAATATGCTTTACTTGAGAAACATTAGGCCATCAATTAATGAAGAGCAAAAGGTATTATATCCACCCAGACAAATGAGTATTATTCAGTTAAAAAAGACTGAAGTACTTACTGATTCATGGTACAACATGGATGACCTTGAAAACATTATGCTAAGTGAAAGAAGCCAGACAGTAAAGAACAAATATTGTATGGATTCCCTTAAATGAAATGCCCAAAATAGGCAAATATATAGAGACTGAAAGTGGACTAGAAGCTAGCTGGCAGGAGCCAGAAGAAGCAAGGAATTGGGACTCAGTTCTAAAATACGTAAAGTTTCTTTTCAAAGTGATAGGAGTGTCCTTGAATGAGATAGTGGTGACCGTCACACAACATAGTAAAAATAATAAAAGTCAGTGAATTATACACTTTAAAATAGTAAATTAAAAAAAAATAAAATAGTAAATTTTGTTAGTTACATTCTATCTCAAATTAAAAAGGAACATTAGGGCTAGGGTCATCATATTTCCCATAGATGATCTTCTAAGAATGAAAAAGTCCATGAGTTTTCATTAACTGCATAGCTGTGAAAGCTTTATCTTCTAAGTTAAGAGGGTAATTCCAAATATTTAGGGTATTTTGAAAAGAATAGGTATGTGAACACAGTCATTCCATAGACTTTTTATAAGAATATAGACTTTAAAAAGCCAATTACAAAGAAATTAATATGAAATTTCATAATATGACAACATCTTCTTACCTGGTGACAAATATCAGCCATCAATTCAATCAAATTTTCCTTGACAGCAATGTTTCGAGATCCTGAACTATATTTTCCTCTACTCCCTATATAACTTATTTCATTCACTATCAAATCATATAAGTTATATAGGATACTTTGCCATTTTGCTGATTTGAAAGCACCTAAAATTCAAAAAGTTACAAAGTAATTTATACTACATATCCATTTGCACTGTCAATTTTCTCAATTTGTTCAGCTATTAAGGTACATCATCATCATTAAAAGACAACTGGGCCAACTATTCAGTACTAATTAGTCTCTTCTGACTATAACCTTGACAAACTATACTTCATAACAGTGTCTATTCCACATCCAAATAATTGTATTTGTTATAAATTTACTTCATATTCTAACAAAAACTCCACCTTTCTTCAACTCAACCATTTTTCTGGAGTATAGTTATTATGTTCCCTGTTTCATATGAGAATCAAATGCTCCAGGTTTTGTTTGTTTGTTTAGAAGAAACATATTAGCAGTTCCTATAACAAGTGGACAAATGACACATTATACAGAGTTCTCACCATGTCAGACATCTTTACCAAGACACACTCCAGGCAACTTATATCCCCCTTAGAATGGTGACTCTATAAAATCTGAAAAGATAATACTCCAACTGTAGTCTTCCCAGTAGGGCTTACAATACGGCTATTAGTTCCCACAAAAAACTTAGCAGAAAATCTATTAATGTAGCCTGAAATTATATTTGCTTTTCTGTAGCTACATCATCCTGTCAATTTTCAACTCATCCTAAATATGCAGTTAACTAAAACCCTTAACAAATATTTCCTAATAATCCTAATCTTCATGATGGCAAAAAACTAGGAAAAAGACAAAGAACTACAAAATACCACCATTCTTTGACTTATACTGGTTTCATGTACTACCTATGTATCTAAATGCATTTACTAGAAAAGCCCACGAAACATACACCACAATTTTAACAAAAAGCAGTTTCCTCCGTTTTAGCTGCTATTAATCAATGGCGTATGTTGCTTTAATAAGGTCATTAAACTAGCCTCAAATTGGTCCAAAGCTAGTTCAAGTCCAAAGCAATTGCAGACTGAGCTTGAGAACTGATTAAAGCTCTAGTTCTACTTGATAACTTTCCTGTCCACTGAACAGATTATACCTTCCAGGCAGTATTCTCTTAACGAAAGACAAACATAAAGGAATCAGCAGAGACCAATGATTCATTCCCAATTCTCCCAGCCAAGAGCTCTGGAGTAACCATGAAGCCCAAAACAGCAATTTCCACTTTGCATTTCACAAATGAACGTATATGTTCCTTGGTAACTGAATAACCTGAGTAGCTGTTTTCAGTACAATGTATTTCCTAATTAAAGCAATATGCAGATAAATTGAATTCTGTTTTCTCTACATGTTTTTACCCAACAGTCTGCGCCATACTTGTTATACCTAATTATTAATGCATCACCAGCTCTTAGAGCAAACAGCCATTATCTCTTCTATGTGTATACTGAACAAATGGAAAGGCATGATATAATTTGTTATTACTTCTTCAAATTCTAAAAACTGCATGAAAAACATTTTCGTGACTAATATAAAGGAGAGCTATCCAGAGGAAGGTCATATACTTCTACAGGAAAGTGATTTCATACTTAAGTCTTAATGAAGAAACAAATTCAAAACAGTAAAAATTTCTTTTATACCTCTGTCTTCGGTTTTGGCTCCTTTCGGGTGATGGATAGAAACTTGCAGTTGAAACAATTCAATAATTACTTCTTTTAAAGAATCATTAAGTCTATGTTGAGCCCAAATATAAAGCAAAGTAGGAAGAATTTCATCTCCTAATTCACAAGCTCGAATTCGACAATTGATGGCTAAAGTCTTCAGAAAGATTATAAGGGCTGCTAAGATATGATTTAAACCTGCAGAACTCTTCTCTTGTCTGTGATGGAAAATATACAAACTCAACTTAGTGTAACAGGACAAAAAAACCTGCATAAATTAAATAACAAAGTTGAATGTTGAAAGAAAAATTTTCAAATAGCATAGACTCAAAACTTCTGAAGCAGTAACTTTCAACAGCCCTTGTCTGGACTGTTGAGGAACAGTTTTCTGTTTTTTCACTTTGATTTTTTTTTGAACTCTTTTACCTTTTTCTTTCCTTTTCTTTTTCGACTAAACAGGATAGGGATGAGGAAGGGGCGTGGGAGGAATTACTGTGTTCCAAATGTTGTATTTATGAGATACACACAAATAAAAAAACTATTCAGAAAGAAAAATATCAGCAGCACTACAAACAAAAAAATTAAATTATAATCCGTGCTGAGCCCACTTCTATTAGCTTTGTCTACTGTCTAAAAATACACAAAATTGATGTGTAATATTTACCATATGTTTCATATTATAAATCATGTAATGTCACCGAGATATACAACATTAATTTGTACTTAGAAGATACAGTCCTAATTTATTATTAATACACTATATATTTTAAGATTTATTTGAAAGGCAGAATTACGGAAAGAGAACAGCAGAGAGAGAGAGAGAGAGAGAGATCTTCCATCCACTGCCTCACTCCCCAAATGGCCACAACAGTCAGAGCTGGGCAGGTCCGAAGCCAGGAGCCAGCATTTCTCCTAGTCTCCTAAATGCATACAGGGGCCCAAATACTTGGGCCATCCTCTACTGCTTTCCCAGGCATATTAGCAGGGAGATGGATCAGAAGTGGAGCAGCTTGGAATTGAACTGGTGCCCAAATAGGATGCTGGCATTCCAGGCAACAGCTTTATCCACTATGCCCCAATGCCAGCCTCAAAATATTATATTCTTAAAATAGAAAAAACATAACTTCTTAGAAGATATTACACTCTAAGAACAAGACAGATCTCCCATTTAAAAACTGGGGTGAGGGGTCGGCACAGTGGCACAGTAGGTTAATCCTCCACCTGTGGCACTGTCATCCTATATGGGTGCCAGTTCAAGTCTTGGCTGCTCCATTCTGATCCAGCTCTCGGCTACGGCCTGGGAAAGCAGTAGAAGATGGCCCAAGTCCTTGGGTCCCTGCACCCGCATGGGAGACCCAGAAGAAGCTCCTGGCTCCTGGCTTCAGACTGGTGCAGCTCCGGCCATTGCAGCCATTTGGGGAGTGAACCAATGGAGGGAAGACCTTCCTTTCTGTCTCTCCCTCTCACTGTCTACAACTCTAACTCTCAAATAAAATAAATAAAATCTTAAAAAAAAAAAAAAAAAAAAGTTGGGGTGAGGAGCTGGTGCTGTGGCAAAGAGGGTTAAGCCACTGCCTGTGGTGCCAGTGTCCCATATGGGTGCCAGTTCGAGTCCCAGCTGCTCCACTTTTTTTTTTTATTTGGCAGAGTTATAGACAGAAAGAGAGAGACAGAGAGAAAGGTCTTCCTTCCATTGGTTCACTCCCCAAATGGCTGCTACGGCCGACGCTGCGATGATCCGAAGCCAAAAGCCAGGTGCTTCTTCCTCGTCTCCCATGTAGGTGCAGGAGCCCAAGCACTTGGGCCATCCTCCACTGCTTTCCCGGGCCACAGCAGAGAGCAGGACTGGAAGAGGAGCAACCAGGACTAGAACTTGGCACCCATATGGAATGCTGGCACCGCAGGCTTAACTAAGTGAGCCACGGCGCCAGCCCCCCTAGCTGCTCCACTTCTGATCCAGTTCCCTGTTGGTATACCTGGGAAGCTAGCAGATGATGACCCAGGTCCCTGGGCCCCTGCCACCCATGTAAGAGACCAGGTACAAGTTCTGCCTCCTGGCTTCAGTTTGGTTCGGCCCCAGCCAATGTGACCATTTGGGGAATGAACCAGAAGACAAAGATTTTCTCTCTGCAACTCTGCCTTACCAAAAAAAAAAAAATAATAGAAAATATAAAACAGAAGGCATTTGGCCTAGCCATTAAGACACCAACATCCCACATCAGAGTGCCTGAGTTTGAGTCCTGGTTCTGCTCCCAATTCCAGATCCCACTATTGCACACCCTGGGAGGCAGAAGGTAATGGTTCAAGTAACTGGATTCCTGCCACTCACATAGGATACCTGGATTGAGTTCCAGGCTCCTGGCTTCCTTCTGGCCCAGCCATGACTCTCCATGGAGTGAGCCTGCAGACAGGAGACATGTCTCTTTCAAATAAATAAAAAAAATTTTAAAGGTAATGTTTTTAGTTACTGAACCTAAAACACAGTTTAGTAAGATCAAATGGGTTTTCAGTTTAAAATTCGAAGATTAGATTACCTTGCATATTGAATAGCCTTGGAAAAAAAATCCAAAAATTTGGAATTTAATCCATCAGTTTGCAAACAGCATCCTTTGGTCACAGCATGAATTATTCTTGCCACCAAAACTCTATTAATGTCCTGTGAAGGTTTCAGATACAGCCTGAGGTACACAGAGAATAAGTCTTAAAAAAAAAAAAAAAAGCTATTATTACTTTTTTTTAATAAGAAGCTCTAAGTAAATTAAGTCCAATGTCACAATTCAACTTAAAAACCCCATAAATACAGGCAAAAACATCAAAAACATTTAAAATTGAATGGATCTATATTTAAAACAGAAAAAGGATTCTGGCAATATTTTAATTTTATATAAGAATGCTCTAAGACAGAAAACCTAGAGACAACAGAGTGAGAGCACCAGTTTAAGACACAGATCTCTGATAAGCTACTTCTTTAAGCCTAAGTTCCTTCAATGAGGCTTAACACAGCACTTCACAAACTGTATACTCCAGGTTTTATTTTTTATAAGTAATGCAGTTTAATTAATAATATATGTAAAAAATGTCTATATATTGAAGTGCCTGAAATTTTACTGAACTTATAATCTAACAAAGTAGCTGATAGTTTTAAGGATGTTCGCAGAAAATATGAGATTCTTGATCATAGAGAAAGGATAATTTCTCACTCCAATGACAGCAACCAGAGTACCTTCCTTTTGCATCAGTTTCCCAACACCAAAGGCAACATGAAGGAGGACATTTGAGAGTAGAGTGCAAATATTGGGCTGCAATACAGGCAAGAAATCACAATGCTTTGCATACAAACCTGTTCTCTGGACTAAACCACCATCTCTATCTCCCTAGGCTTTTCACCATCCTTTGAAGAACTGTCTGAAAAATGAAACAGCATTTCTGCTTGCACGATGTGTGCAAATGCAAGATATACTGAGAATTCTCTCTCAATAAAATCAAAAGCAAAGTTCCTAAAGTAGGATGTTCATCCCAAGAGACATAAAGTCCTCAGGGAAGAGTAACACCTATGAATATCTTCCATTTCAATTGTGTATGTCATATGAATCTGCAGAAATGTTTAAATTCAGAGACATTAAAGAGCAATGACAATGTAAGTACCTCAAACACTCCTCAGTGAAAAACCAATTTTAAAATGATTCCTATCATAGTATCTGATGTCAAGGAAAGCAATTATTTGGTGCTTCCCAAGGTATCTTCACTGCATCAAATAGCTAGATCATGCTAAAAACCTGAGTTTATATACACAAATTCAGAGAAAAGAAAATGGAGTATCTTCATCATTTCCCTCTTTTTATTTGATAGGAGGAGAAAGTTAAAATAAGAAAAGTCAACAATTCAACTAACTGCCTCTGATTAAAGCATAGGACTTTATGTTAGCTGGGGAAAACAATCCCAGTTTTCAGAATCCCACATAGACCCCTCGTAGGTGATAAAAAGACTGCCTTAAGACACTCAACAAAAGTCTCAAAAAGAATTTAGCTTCTTTAAAAAAACAGCAATGCATGCCTTTATGAATCCAGTAACAGCCAAAGAAAGGTCAAAAACAGATGGTACAACACAGTATGAAAAAGGAGTTTCTTAAGTCCCCAAAACACCAACATAATTAAATGTAGATTCCTTGGGACTTCATATACTGAGACAGTTATCTGTAAAATGGCAATTATTTCTTCCTCTTCAATCTTTAATCCTTTTATTTCTTTTTCTTAGCTAAATATGCTGATTAGAACTCTCTAATAAAACACAGAACAGAGAAGGCAAGAGCAGACATCCTTGCCTTGCTCCCAATTTGTCTTGTGAAATGTTTTGGATTTTTCGCTTTGAGTTTTTGATGTTGTGTTCTTTGTTTAATTTATTAAGATAGAAACTTAGATTACTGGATTGAGACTTTTCTATAACTTTCCAAGGCTGGTATTTAATAGCCTCTGAGCACACCTTTAGTCGTATTCCATAAATTTTGAAAAGTTTTAACTTCCATTTTGACATAGTTCAAAATATATTTTTATTTCCCTTGGTATTTCTCCTTTGAACCATGATTTAGAAGTTTGCCATCTATTTTTCACAAAGAACTATGAATGAAACAGAGTATGATGATAAAAAAAAAAAAAAAGAGAGAGAGAGAGAGAAATAAATTTAGAAAAGGCAGTCAGGGAATCGGAATTAAGTCTAGCACTTAAGACACTCACATCAGAGTCCCTGAGTAATGGAATTCCTAACATGCACAAAGGAGAATTAGTTCTAGATTGAGCTTTTGGTTCATGGCTTCTCCCTGGCTCATCCCCAGTGATTATAGACATCTGGGAAATGAACCAAGGATGACAACACTGTGTGTGTGTGTGTGTGTGTGTGTGTGTGTGTTTCTCACTCTTTTTCTCTCAAATGAATCAATGTTTAACAAAAAAAAAAAAAATAGGGCCAGCACTGGGAAAAAAGGATAACACTGTGTGTGTGTGTGTGTCTGTGTGTGTGTTTCTCACTCTTTTTCTCTCAAATGAATCAATGTTTATAAAAAAAATAGTTGGGGCCGGCACTGGGAAATGAACCAAGGATGACAACACTGTGTATGTGTGTGTTTCTCACTCTTTTTCTCTCAAATGAATCAAAGTTTAAAAAAAAATAGTTGGGGCTGGCGCCATGGCTCACTTGGTTGATTCTCCGCCTGCGGCGCCGGCATCCCACATGGGTGCCGGGTTCTACTCCCAGTTGCTCCTCTTCCAATCCAGCTCTCTGCAGTGGCCCAGTAAGGCAATGGAGGATGGGCCCGAGAGCTTGGGCCCCTGCATCCGCATGGGAGACCAGGAGGCAGCACCTGACTCCTGGCTTCAGAATGGCATAGCTCCGGCCGTAGTGGCCATTTGGGGGGTGAACCAATGGAAGGAAGACCTTTCTCTCTGTCTCTCTCACTGTCTAACTCTATCTGTCAAATAAAAAAAAAAAATAGTTTAGAAACCAGTAGGTAAAAGAAACTATTAGTAACTGCTAGGGTAGCTGGAGCATAGAAGGATGGAGAATGACTTTAGTTAAGTCAGAAATTAAAGTGTTTCAAAAACAGAGAAGCTTATTTTGACATAAAAAATTTCTGAAACCCATGCATATGGAGGATCTTCAAAAACTTCATGGAAATACATACTATGAAAAAACTACGGGGCCGGTGCTGTTGAATAGTGGGTAAAGCCACCACCTGCAGTGCCAGATACCATATGGGCGCCAGTTTGAATCCTCGCTGTTCCACTTCCAATCCAGCTCTCTGCCATGGCCTGAGAAAGCAGAAGATGGCACAAGTCCTTGGGTCTCTGCACCCACATGGTAGACCCAGAAGAAGCACCTCACTCCTGGCTTCAGATTGTCCCAACTCCAGCCATTGCAGCCATTTGGGCAACGAACCAGCAGATGGAAGACCTTTCTCACTCTCTCTGCTCTCCCTCTCTGTAACTCTGCCTTTCACATAAATAAATAAATCTTTAAAAAAAAAAAAAAACATGAATGAATTGCAAAAATTGTTTGCATCAAATAAACTTATCATTTATTCTTTCCATAACTTTTTAGAAGGACCCTTGTGTACAAAAGAAAATTTAACAAAGCTTTGAAGGCCTAGAAGAATCTGTATTTCTTTTTTTTTTTTTTTTTTTTTTTTGACAGGCAGAATGGACAGTGAGAGAGAGACAGAGAGAAAGGTCTTCCTTTTGCCGTTGGTTCACCCTCCAATGGCCGCCGCGGCCGGCGCACCGCGCTGCCGATGGCAGGAGCCAGGTACTTATCCTGGTCTCCCATGGGGTGCAGGGTCCAAGGACTTGGGCCATCCTCCACTGCACTCCCTGGCCACAGCAGAGAGCTGGCCTGGAAGAGGGGCAACCGGGACAGAATCCGGCGCCCCGAGCGGGACTAGAACCCGGTGTGCCAGCGCTGCAAGGTGGAGGATTAGCCTAGTGAGCCGCGGCGCCGGCCTTCTGTATTTCATATTAACTGAACAGGGAAGCTACTGGATGTTTATAACTTTTCCTCCTTCTTACAGAAAACCTATTTTCTATCCTAGAGCCAGTTCTGCAACTTCTGCTTTGGAGCCCTTTCTTCTCAGGAAAATATATAACCAAATAACCTGTGTATACAACAACACTCTCTCCATTGAACTATTATGTAATAGATATCTTAGCTGATCCGATGGCAGGAGCCAGGTACTTATCCCGGTCTCCCATGGGGTGCAGGGCCCAAGCACCTGGGCCATCCTCCACTGCACTCCCTGGCCACAGCAGAGAGCTGGCCTGGAAGAGGGGCAACCGGGACAGAATCTGGCGCCCTGACCGGGACTAGAACCCGGTGTGCCAGCGCCGCAAGGCAGAGGATTAGCCTAGTGAGCCGCGGCACCGGCGATTAGCAATTCTCATTTTTTAAAGAATTCCTTTTCCTTATAACCAAAGCTTTTGACAATGGTGTCTGTACCTTGTAACAATTTACCTTACATGATGCTCATGTTTTTACACCAGTCTGCTATAAAACTGAACACAAACAGTTAACATTAACTGCCATTTCTACAGTAATTCAACCATTAACAGCAAATATACATTTTTCAAATTCACATGAAACATTTACCAAGTTAGATCTTAGCCTAGATCATAAACAAGGCCTTAATTTTACTTATTGTTGTATTCATTTTTTACTTGCGCATGATTTTTTTTAAAAAATGTTTCTTTTATCTACACAAAAGGTAGAAAGATACATATATTCAGAGAGATCTCTTCTACCTGCTGGTTCATTCATCAAATGTCAGCAACAGGTAGGCCTAGATCAGGCTGAAGCCAGTATCCTGGAACACTATTAGGGTTTCCCATGTGTGTAGCAGGAACCCAAGCACACAAGCCATCATCTGCTGCCTCCCATTGTATATATCAGCAGGAACCTGGATCAGAAAACAGAGTAGCTGGGATGCAAACTAGAGCTCCAATATGGGATATGGGCAACCCAAGCAGCAGTTTAACCTACAGTGCCACAAAACTCAGCCCAAAACCTCAAATACACATCAAAATTTAAGAGTTTTTACTGTAAGTGTTCACAGAAAAATTTATCACATAAATGCACGTATTAGGAAAACCATTTCAAATCAATGATCAAGTCTTCTACATTAAAAAAAAAAATTAGAAAAAAGGAGTGGAAAATTTGGC